TATATATATATATATATATATATATATCTGGTTTAATATATATATATATATATATATATATATATATATATATATATATTAATTCAACAATATGAATAAAAATAATAATTTGGCAAAATTTTAAATAATTTAGGGAGGATCCTTTTTTTCTTCCTCTTTTCTGTGAGTTACTTAAACGTTATCGGACCTAAAGTTATCTTTTATTACCATAATTTACATGGTAACTAGGTACCCATGGGTACTCAGATATTCGTGGTAATGGTTATGGTAACTTTTTAAAATGGTTTGGTATGGTCATGGTTTGAGCTATATTAGATTGTAATGATTCTGGTATTGCACTTTTTTTAGGGTACCCGCTCCACAGCCATCCCTATGTAGTTTAGAAACAACCCATCAAGTACAACCCGACCCGTTTCATTCAACCCAACCCGGATTGCCATATTGTGTGCAATATTACCACCGGCACTATCTCCACCTAAGTAGACTTTCCCATAATCAACATAGTTCTTCAGCCATGGATCAATGCCAGAAAATACCCCATTGGAGGACAAGCCAAGAATCTTCATAGCCAATAGGAAGAGGGTTTTCAGGGGCTAATATGTAATTTACGGAAACTGCAACAACGTTCGCTTTGGGCGAAGGGCGAACCGTGGAATTATACTGTAGCAAATGTGACTGAAATCAAATGAAAGATAAGTGACAAGCGTAGAGAAGTCTTCTTGCTAGACATTGTGATCAATTGAAGTTGGGAAAATTTCTATAAATAACATAGAAATTTATAGAAACAATGTTCAGAAATGGGTACAAGAAGTAGGAAACAAGAAAAGAATAGCATTTGCAGCAACCTCCATCTCTAACAATTGTTTAAAAATCGATTGTCTATATCTATAATTTAAGAGACGAACATAGACGAATAGTGTTATGCAACACCACTTTTAACATTACACTCCAACAACATTGTTTATAGTTTACACAATTATCATATTTTATTATTTTACAAAAAAATTAGTTTTGAATTAATTTTAATAACTATCATTTTAATTTCACATACATACATAGATCTTGTTTTAGTTTTTTACTCAGAAACTTGTTTGGAAAAGGAATTAAAATATATTGCAAAGGATAATTTAATATTATACATACATATATTTAAAAAAAAAACTAAACACTCTCTATTTTATTAATAAAAATTATACATGGAAACATATATATGCAAAATAATTACTATCTGCAAAATAATTACTGTATTTAATTATAATATATAAAAAATAGCACTGTGGAATTTTTATTATTCTTTATTTTTACACAATTTGTTAAATTGTAGTTTTGGTTTCTCAATTTTGGATATGCAAAGTTAAAATGTAACAAATTTTGCTTTTTCCCATTTTGTTGTTGGAGATGTGATTTTTGGTTTAAAATGTGTAAAAGATGTAAATTATAGGTATATTGTTGGAGATGCTCTATTTAGAGTTGAAGAGTTGACTGTGACAATACCAATGGAATGGTTGTTGCACAAAGCTTTAGATTTGATTGAAGGAGAATACTCTATTGGAATTTTACATCATTACCCTTTATTTATTACTCGAATTCGATATACAAGATAGAATGCAGCTTATGAACTTATAAGCTACAATAAAATATAAAATAAACAGCTTACCCCTCAAATATAATTAAAAGTTAAAACCTCAAGGGTAATTAATTATAATAATATGATTAAGGATACCATCATACGTAGGGGTGTAAACGAGGCGAGCTCGAGCTCTTCGAGTATTATTTTTCTAAGCTTGAGCCTGAGCCATTTTGTGTATTTCTTTTAATATTATTAGAAATTATAACCAAAAAAATGGAAAAAAATGACTTGTAATTTATTTATTTTAATTATATATATGAATTTATTTCTTATTTTATATTAATTATATTTGATACAAAAATAAACTAAAATGAAAAATAAATAAACTTGCGAACCGGCTCGCGAGTTCACGGACAACTAAAAATGAGCTCGGGCTCGACTCGTCAGAAAGCTCGAGCTCGAAAAATTCGGCTTCGAGTTCAAGCTTTTGTCGAGCCGCCTCGGCTCATTTACACACCTAATACCATTTACGTTTTTCCTCATGAAACACCATGTCCAAACACAAACTAACACGCATAAAACATGATACCATTATTCAGTTTGCCCTACTTCATCTTGAGGGGCAAACACACACACACACACACACACACACACACACACACACACACACACACACACAGTAAATGTATTTCTGCACTCAATCTCGATTGAGAAACGAAGCCAAGTGGTTCAGCATTTTCATGGCCTTGGTGGTGTTCGGAAATCGTAAATTAAAGACGTGATCTTCACCCTTCACCTCCACAGCTTTCACGATTCCATTCCATTTACTCCTCCTCAATGTTCTCTTGTAATACAATCCCCTATCCTTCAGTATATCCTTTTCAGCGACATAAACCAAAACCCTTTTACCATCCATCTTCGAAAGATTCGGATCCTTTGCCGGGTTCGACAACGGGTCGTCGAAACCCGTTGAATTCGGGTAAGCATGGATCCAAATACTCTCCATTACAGCTCTCCTCTGAGGGTCGCCGCCCCCTTCACTCCCAATCAGCTTCTTCCCCCAGAAATGTGGGCAGTTTAAAAACATCCCAAGTAGTTTAACCCGGCCCGTTTTATCCAGCCCGGCCCGGATAGCCATGTTGTGTGCAATATTAGCACCAGCACTATCTCCACCTAAGTAAACACGCCCGTAATCCACGTAGCTCTTGAGCCACGGATCGGTGCCGTTACCACCTTCAGAATGTGAAAACACCCATTTTAGGGCGAGCCAAGAATCTTCGTAGCCAATGGGAAGAGGGTTCTCGGGAGCTAATCGGTAATTTACCGATACCGCGACTACGTTGGCTTTTGCCACGAGGGAGTTCATGTGGTTGTAGTAAGTGGGAGAGAAGGCGGATTCGGTGAAAAACGCACCGCCGTGAAAGTACACTAACAGAGGGAGTTTCTTTTTCGGATTAACGGTGTTTTTAGGAAGATAAAGTCTTGCCGAGACATTGAGTTTGGGGGCAATACCGTAAATGTCTTTGGATCGAACACCGTTGATTGGATCGAGTGATGGCGGGAGAGTTTGTGTACCGATGAATCTTTCGACTGTGCCGTTTTTGTACACTCTTACGTAGGGGTAAATGTCGTACAATATATCCGAGGAATTTGTTGCAGCAAGTGTGAATGAGAGGAGATGAGAGATGAGTAAGAAGTAGAGAGAAATCTTCTTACAAGACATTGTGATGAATAATGATGTTTAAATTTGAAGTTTGGCAGTAGTTACATAGCAGAGTGGGACTATATATACATACATATTTAATGCCCCAAAAAAAAATAGGGTTTTTTTTTAATGTTGAAAGTTGACTCAAAGGAAGTTATGAGATAATTCATATAAGATTTAAGGGGGGGAAGAATAGGATTGGGGCAGCCCAGGCCATGTTATAGCATATATTAATGTAATATCTTAATAACATGATCCTCTGTCGAAATATCTTCTTTATTTGGGCTTTGGCCCCAAAAAGGAACATTATTGAAGCAGATTTATTTATATTATATCGGGTGTAATATATCAGATTCGTTAATTAATAATAATAATAATAATTCATTCAAGTAAAAATAATAGCATTCATACTAGTATATATATATATATATATATTTAGAGGGTAAATTACAAATACCCCTGAGGTATGGTCAAATTACAAAAACCCCCCTCTTGTTTGGATAATTACATCTACCCCTCAATTATGATTTTTTCTTAGACCTCCACCTTTATGGTGCCAAATTCAACATAGTCATCTAGATTCCGTGAAATGTGCTCTAGTTTGTACTCTTTTTGTGTAAAAAATACAGTTTCCGATGCACCACAAACTGATATATACAAGCTAAAAATCACATATTATGATCATCTTGCTTCATAATGTAGAGTTTGAATGGGATAAAACGGGTACAAAAGTGATAATATTCCATATAATCTCGAAGATTCCACTGAATTTGATGAGTTGAGGGGGTGGTTGTAACTATCCAAACAAGAGGGGTGTTTTTGTAATTTGACCATACCTCAGGGGGGTGTTTGTAATTTACCCTATATTTAAATTACGGCCACTCCACTGAGTTAAGGTTAAATTACGAAAAATCTCTCTTATATGGATAATTGTAACCGTTTTTCTCAATTATGAATTTTTTACATGGTCATCCTTATGGTGTCAAGTTCAACATAATCTTTTAGAGACACATCTTGATCATCTTGTTTCAGATGTGGAGCCCGAATGGGATAAAATGTGTACAAACTGGAGAATATTTCACACAATCTAGAAGATTTTGGTAAATTTGACACCGCAAGAGTGGATATGTAAGAAGATTCACACTTGAGGGGGTAGTTGTAACTTGTAATTACCAGTGTTCTAAAAATCGGCCGAGGCGGCCGATTAATCGGTCTCCGAGGCGGAGGCGGTCCAAAACCTTTACGATTTTAGTGTAAAGGTTTGAAAAATCGGTTTTTTGCCTGTGAGGCGGTTTTAGGCGGTCTGAGGCGGTCCGAGGTGGTCTGAGGCGGTCAAACCTTTAAGGCGGGTCAAACTCGGTGGCAAAAATCGGTTAAAAATCGGTTTTTTTTTTTTTTTTTTTTTTTCCTTTTTATAATTCAAAACAAAAGTTGGATTTTAACAAAAGAAAATAGGAGTTTATGCCTTATTTTGTTTATATTAATTGTTATTGTTAAAGAACTAATGATGTATACCACGAATGTTCAAAAATAAATGTAAATTCAAAAAAAATATTTTTTTATTTATATTTTATAAGGATATTTATGTATTATGATCTTATGATTATTAATCTTTTATTATGTTATTAGGATATATACATGATGGAGATATAACTATGTTTAAATATTTTTTATATATGTTTGGAGTATTTATAAATAATTTTTAGAAATATATTATATTAAATTTTAAAAACCGATTTATTTCCGATTTATCACCGATTAATCACCGCCGCACCGATTAATCGTGAGTCGGTGCCTGACCGACTTGGACCCGATTACCGATTTTTACAACCTTGGTAATTACCCAAACAAAAGAAGTTTTTTCGTATTTAACCTTATCTCAAGGGGACCGTTATATATATATATATATATATATATATATATATATATATATATATATATATATATATATATATATATATATATATATATATATATATATATATATATATATATATATATATATATATATATAAACCATCAACAATGTATCAAGTGGACATTTCTTAAGGTGATGATTTAATGTCTAACTCTCAAGAACCGATTTCGATCTGACCTGTCCGATTTATAATTTTTAATTAAGGTATAACAAATTATTTTTGGTGGTTTATATGTTAATCATAGAAAAATTCACATGGTAATTGGTTATATTCTATCATATACATATATTAATTCACACGTAATTTATCAGATGTAGCATCTAGATAGGCAATCTTAATTTATTTTTAATTTTACAAGCATTACAAATTAAAAAAACACCCTAAACCAATTTCACTCATTATTAATAAAAGAAGCCACTTTTTTAAGCATAGCCATACTATTTTCACTCTTGGGAAAAAGCACACTAAAAATGTGGTCTTCTCCTTCAACTTCAACAACCTCAATATTACCATTCCACCCTCTCTTCATCATCGTCTCTTTAAAAAGCCAACCTCTTCCCTTCAACACATCCTTTTCCGCTGCATAAACCAGCACTCTCGTACACCCGAATCTCCAAAGATTCGGATCCTTATCCGGGTTGATCCGTGGATCGTCCGACCCGGCCGTATCCGGGCATGCATATTTCCATATCTTATCCAAGTACGTTTTGGGAAAAACTTCGTGTTTGTCTTCATTCTCGAGTGGATCTACACCGCAGAAGAAGGGGCAATTTAGGAAAACCCCAACTAAATTAATTCCGGCCAATTTTTCCTTTCCTTCGCCGCCGAATCGTACGGCTAAATTGCTGGCTATGTTGCCGCCGGCGCTATCTCCGCCTAAATATACGCGATTTAAGTCGGCGTATTTTCCGATCCATTCGTCGTTAATGGATCGAGAAGCGATCCATTTGAGGGCGAGCCATGCGTCCTCGTAGGCGGCGGGGAGTGGATACTCCGGCGCAAGTCTGTAGTTGACCGAAACGGCGACGACATTGGCCTCCGCCGCCAGTAGATTGAGGTGGTTATGGTACAGCGGCGAGAAGGCGGACTCCACCACGAAGCCGCCGCCGTGGAAGTAGACGAGGAGGGGGAGTTTGTTCGCCGGGTCAGCGTTTCGTGGGAGGAATATTCTGGCGGAGAGATCGGTCTCCGGCGAAATGACGACGTCTTTCGACTGCGTGAGGGTTTCCGCGTCGAGTGACGGAGGGACGAGCTCGGTTGCCCAGTACCTTTCGACTCGGCCGTCTTTGTATTCCCTCATTAAGGGGAAGAAATCGTGGAGGACTTCGTTTGCGGTTTGTGGTGCAGCCATTGGAGCTCTGCTTTAATGGAGGTTTTTGATTGATGAGGAATTATGGATTGGAGGTTTGTTTGTTTATATATATATTAATGGAGAAGATTTGGAGGGATGTGAAATACCGACATCAAATTTAAATTGGGTCTACCTTTATAATCCAAAAATGTGACGAATTCCATGAACCAAGCGTTTGGTTGACAAATCAATTCCAAATTCCCAACTACTCTTGTCATCAATTCTTGATAATAATTCCAATTTTCCCGCGGGAAACAGCATTGTGACGTCATATATTTGGACAAAGACACATTGGGCTTGTAACAAATTAAAAAAGGCCCATTATTATGGCTTGGACAAAAAGGCCCATCTTTGTTGTAAAATATTAGGGGTGAGAAAAAAACCGAGAAACCGAAAATCGAAAACCGAAAAAACCGAGAAACCGAAAATCGAAAACCGAAAAAACCGAGCCGATATACACCGTCCCGACTTAAAACCACATACACGGTAATTTTTTTTGAAAAACTGAGAATATAGGTTTGTGTATGGAGGATAAAAAAATTACCGAACCGAACCGATTTGTACAAAACGACGTTGTTTTGATATTTCGTATAATTATTTGCCGTCTTCCCCTAGCGCGCCTCTATCCTTCGAACGCCTCAATGTGACATGTTTTTTATTAGTTAATTTTGGATTGTGACATGTTGTTTATTGGTTAATTTTGGATTGTTATTTGTTAATTTTCTCAAACAAATGTAATGAAAGTTCAAATTCATTGTTAATCAAATATCAGTTTTATGCCGAATCGATAGATGAAACCGAAACTGAAAATAAACCGAAATGGTTAACCGAAAACTGAAAAACCGATCAACACCGAACCGAAAAAACCCGACAGGGGTGGAGCAGTGCTTTTATTGATCAAACGAACACGAATTACAGAATACGAGATCTACGGAAGGATTACAGAAGAATCTCTCAAGAACAACTATTTTTCTTAGAGTTTTCTCTCTCTTCTCTCTCTCTCATTGAGCGTGTAAATTGTGTGTTCTAACTAACTACATCTGTGATGCTGCTCAAATGTCAATTGGGCAACCCAAGAGCCCTTGAGCCCACAAAGATAGAGAATGCCGTGAGTCACTGCCACTTGTTCGAGCAAGAGCCCTTGAGCCCACAAAGATAGAGAATGCCGTGAGTCACTGCCACGTGTTCGAGGTAGTCGAAGGGACTGCTCCGTTCGTTAACCTACAAAACAATTGAAACACTAGATGACACGCCGGGTTTGGCCCGACGATTATCCTCCGACGCTCAAGTCAGAAGATGTATTAATATAAGCAAATAATAGTAATTAATTGCCCAATTAGAGTGTACCTTCCTATGTGAAATGACACATACATTTATAGGTGGATGAATAGGTAGGACTTTTGTAAAAATCCGATGTGGGACAATGTGTTGTCATTTTTAAAGGTCAAAAGTAATCTAATTGAGTTTTCACACAATTAGATTAATTAGGGCAATTTGGGCCTAATCTTAATTAAGTTTATGGGCCTAATTATGATTAGATACATCAATCTGAGCTAACATTCCTTTTGTATATGCAAAAGGAATCCTTCTAGAAGCTTTTCCAAAACTAACAAATTCAGGTTCAATTTCTCCAATGATGACTTGACAAAGAAATAACTATCTCCGGTGTCGATCTTCTAACTTCAGTCTGTGGTCGTAGAGTAGGTAAATAGCCTCATTTCGGGGTTGGGGATAAACGAGAAGCAGCAGTGTCGTTAAAGCCGCAAGTACTAATCGTAGCACACAGGCCGATGAAGAAATTCGATAAGCCTCGGCAAGCCCCACTTGCACGTGCATTAATTTGAGTTAGTTATTCCGGCATGACATCAATTGTACCTCAGGTGCAATCTCAATACTTTAACATACATGCATCAATTGCACACAAAAAGAAAAATGTACACAAATTCAACCCAACAAACTATTCCAATTCATTATTTCATGATAAAAACATTTATTACCACATCAGCCTGCCACTCTTATTGCAATAACAAACCAAATACAACAAAACAACTATTTTTTTTTTTTTTTTTGAATAAATTACAAGAAAACAATTATTAGTGATTGATAAAAGAAGCAACTTTTTTAATCATAGCCAAACCATTTTCACCATCAGGTGAAAACACACTGAAAACATGAACCTCTCCTTTAACCTCGACAACCTCGATTTCTCCGAACCAACCGCTCTTCTCCAACGTCTCCTTGTAATACCAACCTCTATCCTTCAAGTAATCCTTCTCCGCCACGTAAACCAGCACTCTCGAGCAACCCAAACCGGAAACCCTCGGATCCTTCGCCGGATTTATCCACGGGTCATCGTAACCCGGAAATTCTTTCGGGTGAACAAAAACCCATAAATTATCCACGAATTTCTTCCACAAAACCATTTCTTCGGAAGATTCAACCCCAACCGGATCCTTCCCGCCGAAAAACGGGCAGTTGAGAAAAATCCCACGTAAACTGATGTTCGTACCCTGTTCCGACCCGACCCGTATTGCCAAGTGGTGTGCAATGTTGCCACCGGCGCTGTCTCCGCCTAAATAGACCCGACCCAGATCCGCGTAGTCTTTGATCCATTCTTCATTCTGCGCTTCATCCGAGAAAACCCATTTAAGAGCGAGCCATGAGTCATCGTACGCGGTCGGGAGAGGGTACTCCGGCGCCAACCTGTAGTCCACCGAAACAGCGATAGCGTTGGATTCCGCCACCAGGTAATTGAGGTGCTTGTGGTAGAGCGGAGAGAACGGGGACTCCACCGCGAACCCCCCGCCGTGGAAGTAGACCACGACGGGGAGTTTGAGTTTCGTGTCCGGGTTGGCATCCCCGGGGATGTAAATCCGGGCGGCGACGCCGAGCTCCGGTGAGATTTGAACGTCCTTGGATTTGACGCGTGTCGCCGGATCGATGGATGCGGGGACGAATTGTTCGCCGGTTAACCTTTCGACGCGGCCATTTTTGTATGCTTTGAGCATGGGAGTGAAATCGTAGAGAACTTCATCTGAGTAGATTTCAGCCATTAGTGAATGAATAATTGAGATAAGAGATTTTTTCTTTTTTGAACAATCTTTTAAATGGAGAATTATCGAACAAAAAGTGATAAAGAAAAGTCGGTAGAAAGAGTTAATTCTGGTCCCTACCGCTCAATAATTTGCGCCTATACAATCAAAATATAGTTGGTTGTATTTATTTCGTTGAAAATTACTTCATATGGACGCCACTATGGCTGTTGGGCTTGCCTCTAGAGCACAAATTAGTTATAATAAATTGGATTTTCCTACAATGCTATGCATAGCTTCCTAGGCCCACAAGAAATAGAATAAAGTTTTTTTTTTTCTTTTTTTGGTTAATACAAATAGATGAAATCTTTAACTTATTCACATGGCATTAATTTAATGTTTCATCTAGTGAAAATAGTGTTGGGTGAAATATTAGTGATCCGGCCTGATTTAGCATCATCCGACAATGTCGGGTCCAATGGGTCCGGATTCATTTGCCCATTTTATTGTATTTTGATAAAAATAGCCCAAAATATTGAGATATGGTAGATGACAAGCTACGAATTGAGAATAGTTTGATGAATTGGAGAGGTGGCGAGCTACAAGCTGAGAGTAGTTTGATGAATTAGAGCGGTGGCGAGCTACGAACGGGGAGTAGCTAACCAACTGACGAGGTACGAGCTACTCTACAAGCTGAGAGTAGTTTGATGAATTAGAGAGGTGGTGAGCTACGAACGGGGAGTAGCTGACCAACTGGCGAGGTACGAGCTAAGAGTAGTTATAAGCTAACGAGTAACGAGTTGAAAGTAACTGACGACATGAAAAATGTCAAACAGAAAGTAGCAGGTGTCACTTCATGATTTGGAGGCTTAGGTGGTGTTTGCAAATGATTATTTAAAAGCAGAAGTTAGTGATTGTGATTTAAGTTAGTTTTAAGTGCTTATTTTTAAAAGTTGGGGGTGTTTGCAAATATTTCGGAAAATGAACTAAAATTGAAAAAGCAGGGTTATGGGTGTTTTTAAAAAAATAGCTTAAAGCAGATTATTTTAAGAGAAGCAAAAGCAAAAGTTGATTTTGCAAACACCTAAAAACAGATTATGAGCATAAAAAACCGCATAATCACTTTCAAAAAGCATTTGCAAACACCACCTTAGAATAAGATTCTAGTAACTTAGACACTAAGATTTACAAAAGTTTCATGCGTTTGAAATGACCCAATTAATAGAAACTAATGGTATGTGGAATGCCTCTTCAATAAATAGAGCATCCATAATCCTCAAGGTAAGCCATCGTAACATCAACAATGATCTTTCTCGATTATATGTTTGTTTCTAAATTTGTGATGTGTTCTAACTTGGGCACAGGAATGCTAACGCAGAACACCTCTCCCAACTCCTTTTACAGCTCCACAATGAACATGCCCAAGACGAAAAACGAGCTTGAAAATTTGGAATTTCTTTAATCAATTTTTGAGCCGCATCAATTAGAATATACATATAGATCAATTCACATACTATACATACACACAAACAATCACAATTTATTTCATGAAAAAAATCATATGTATCACCTCAAGAAAACAACAACTAGTGATTAATAAAAGAAGCAACTTTTTTAATCATGGCCAAACCATTCTCACCATCAGGCGAAAACACACTGAAAACATGATCTTCCCCTTCAACTTCGACAACCTCGATTTCTCCGAACCAACCACTCTTCTCCAACGTCTCCTTATAATACCAACCTCTATCCTTCAAATAATCCTTCTCCGCCACGTAAACCAGCACTCTCCGGCAACCCAAACCCGAAACCCTCGGATCCTTCGCCGGATTTATCCACGGGCCATCGTGACCCGGGAATTCTTTCGGGTGAACAAAAACCCATAAATTGTCTACAATTGTTTTCACCAAAGCCATTTCGCCCCCAATCGGATCCGACCCGCCAAAAAACGGGCAGTTGAGAAAAATGCCACGTAGATTGATGTTTGAACCCGTATTCTGTTCCGACCCGACCCGTATTGCCAAGTGGTGCGCAATGTTGCCACCGGCACTATCTCCGCCTAAATAGACCCGATCCAGATCCGCGTAATCTCTGATCCATTCTTCATTTTGAGCTTCACCGGAGAAAATCCATTTCAGAGCGAGCCATGAATCCTCGTAGGCGGTCGGGAGAGGGTGCTCCGGCGCCAGTCTGTAGTCCACCGAAACGGCGATGGCGTTGGATTCCGCCACCAGGTGATTGAGGTGCTTGTGGTAGAGAGGGGAGAAGGGGGAATCCACCACGAAACCGCCGCCGTGGAAGTAGACGACGACGGGGAGTTTGAGTTTCGCGGCAGGGTTGGCGTCTCCGGGGAGGTAAATCCGGGCGGCGACGCCGATTTCCGGCGAGATTAGGACGTCCTTGGAATTGACGCCCGTTGTTAGATCGAGCGATGCGGGGACGAATTCACGGCCGGTTAATCTTTCGATGCGGCCATCTTTGTAGGCTTTGAGCATGGGAGTGAAATCGTAGAGTATTTCATCTGAGTAGTTTTCAGCCATTGATGAATACAGTCAACTTTTTTGAAAGAAAAGTCAGTATAGAAAGAGTTATGTAATACTGCTGCTCAATAGTTTTCCGCTTGATTATTTGGTGAATAACAGTCAAACAATAGGGACGAAACCAACCATTATTATTTTTAGGGTAAATTACACCCACCCCCCTGAGGTATCATCAAATAACTCACAAACCCCTGTCGTTTTAGGAATTACAACAACCCCCCTGAGGTATTGCTCCGTCTAACAGTTACCCCCTTACGGCCCCCTTACTAACGGAATCTACAAGATTCCATGGAATATTCGTTTTCAAATTCCAAATATGCCCCTGTACACGTGTCCCAGTAGGCAGTTATGTTTGTAAGACTAATATACCCCAGAGGGGGCTAATTGTAATATGTTTAATTTTATAATTATAAAACAAAATTCAAATTTTAATATAAAAATAAAATAAAAATTCTGACCGTTTTTATAGCCGTTGTACCATGAGGGGTTAATTGAAATCGAAAACATTCCAGAGGGGGGTAATTGTAATGTCTGAACAAAAATAAAAAAATAGCCGTTTTGCCCCACCCTTTATATAAGTGTCACCATATGTTCAATTTTTTTGTTCACTCAACTCATTTCGTTTTTGTAATTATATGGCATCCTCAAGTAATAGTTCTCAAATCAGTGGACTTCGTTACAAGAAGCAGAAATGCAAGCGGTCGAATTGTGGAAAAAAGACTAGTATCATGATCTCGGAAACAAGTTTAAATCCGGGGAGGTTGTTTTATTGTTGTTCCGAGCACGGTTTCTCTCACTGGTGTGACCCGTTTGACGGTCTGCAAAACTGCTCACACAACATTTCGAAGGACTTTCATGATGAAAGTGAAGCAACTAGTGCAAAAAACGAATCTGCAGTGAAAATTGAAGAACCTGCAAATGGAGTAATTCATAGCCTAATTGTTTTAAACCTAGCAATATTTGCATTTTATATGTTATGCCAAACATTTGTGCTTATATTTCACTAGTGTAACAATCAAAAAAACTTGTATTTTCAATAAGTGCAGATTCTCAACTACACAAAAAAACCACAATATTCTAATTCAGTTGACTTACAAACTTGTTCACTAACAGAATATAAATACAGATTCCCGAGTACACAAAATACCCACAATATTCAAATGCAAACTGACTTACAAACTGGTTCATAAACAGAATATAACACAAATTCCCAACTACACAAAAAAAGACCACAATATTCTAATCCAAACTTGTTCACAAACAGAATAACATCAGTTGGCCTACAAAATAACTACAAGCTTCCAAAATAATAACAAAACAGGCCTCTTTGGCTTTCAAAAATATGCATAATCAAGTACTTAACAAAACAGGCCTCATTATATACTTAATCATTCAAACATGCATAATCAACATTAAAACCTCATCAAAGAAAGGAATTTATCTGCACTCATCTTGGGAAGAAGATGATCATATTTAGTGGTCATGGGGTTGCCAATAGCAATCTTACTCAGCCTCATTCTCTCTTCAAATTCATCATCAAGTTTAGATGTTGCCCTGGAAGTTGATGTTGTTGCCTTGGAAGGTGGCTTCCAAACTGGCTGTGAAGCTGCCTTAGAAGCTGTTTTAGCTGCCTTGGAAGGTGGTGGCTTGGAAGATGTTCCCTTGGAAGCTGTTGCCTTGGAAGTTGTTGCCTTGGAAGCTGGTGGCTTGGAAGCTGTAGCCTTTGAAGGTGGTGGCTTGGAAGCTGTAGCCTTTGAAGGTGGTGGCTTGGAAGCAATTCCAGATGAAGGTGGTGGCTTGGAAGCTGTTGCATTGGAAAGTGGTGGCTTGGAAGCTGTTGCCTTGGAAGGTGGTGGCTTGGAAGCTATTGCCTTGGAAGGTGGCCTTACAGCTGTTGCCTTGGAATGTGGCTTGGAAGATGCTTTTGAAGTTGTTGCCTTTGAAGATGCTTTTGAAGTTGCCTTAGAAGGAGCTTGAACTTGGACAGTGGGGCCATCACATTGATCAGTGGGGCCATCACATTGAACAGTGGGGCCATCAACTTGGACAGTGGGGCCATCAACTTGGATGGATGGGCCTTCAGCTTGTAGATCACCCTGAATATTTAAAAGATAATAATGAGAAACTACTGTTCAAAATATATACATCATATTCAAAAAATAACTCTGAACTTCATAACAAACCTTGTGTATTTTCTTTCTTTTCTGGTTGAGGGCAGTATTTGATGTTTTTCTCTTGCCAACTCTACTTGACTCAGCAGCTTGTGACAATGGAATTTCAGCTTCAGGATTGTTGGATGCTTGGAATTGGCTGTCACCTTCAACATTTGCCTACAAACAACAACATAATCAAATGCAAATCAACTAAGCAACAACATCATCAAATGCAAATCAACTAAGCAGTAACATAATACCAAAAAAAAAAAAAAGTTTAATTACACATTTACCTCAACACCAGAAGACCTTGGAGCTCCTTTGCAAGTTCTGATATTGTGCCCCAAGCCATTACACCTTTTGCATCTAACAACAAAAGACCTCTTTGTAGATTCCCCCTCATTTGGTGCTCTTCTTCTGTTTTTCTTTGGCCTGCCAGGTGGCCTTCTATAAGTTGGAGGCAGCAAATTTTGTGGAGTAACAGTGGTGTCTTCTGGCCACAATTCAGAACTTGTAATGGCATGAATGTGGTGACTGTAAGTGGTGAGGTACTGCTGTTTGGATAAACTGTTGTGAACATAATCCTCTATGTTTTCCCTTCTGTACAAAATCCCCAAAATTGCATGCTTGCAAGGGATTCCACTCAGATCCCAAACCTGACACTCACAAGTTCTGCTAGATAACTTAACAATGAAAAGTTGGTTATCTTCCTGAACTTGGAATTCATTGTCACCAGCAACAAAGAAACGACATTTCCTAGCCTCTAATCTCTCCTTGTTCAACCTTATCACTACATTTTTAGGAAGATCAGTTTTCCACCTAATTCCTTTTTCCCTCTTCATTATCAGCCTATTCATCAACTTTGCTCTAAGTCCATCTAACAAATGAAAGAAAGGCTTAGGCCTAAGTTCAGCTACCCAATTATTAAAAGACTCAGAAATATTATTAGTGACATGATCATTCTTCAATCTCCTATCATATGCATACCTAGACCATAACTCAGATGGAATCTTTAAAAGCCAGTTATAAGCCCTAATGTTATGCTCTTTAATTTTGTACATGGCAAAGTTAAAACCTGAAGCAGTATATGACCTAGCAGCTTTCCAAAACCACTTTTTTAGGGGAACCCCAGCAAATGAACTTCTAAAATTTGCACAAATGTGCCTAGCACATTTTCTGTTAATGGCATGAGGGACTCTCTCTGTTATTGCTTCCACCAGTCCCTACAATAAACCAATGAATTCATTAGACATCAAAAATACCACCATATGAAAAATAATATCACAAGAAAAATAATAGGAAATAAAACTGACCTTTTGTCTGTCTGTCATGAAAGTCCATGGTCTTCCATCAGAAAATCCATCAAACATGATACACAGATTGTGAAAGAAGAATCCCCAACTCTCCTTGGACTCAGTTTCCACAATAGCAAATGCTATTGGGTAGAGGCCATTATTTGCATCCAGCCCTATTGCAGACAGTAGCACACCACCATATGGACCTTTCAAATGGCATCCATCAAATCCCAAAAAGGGAGAACATCCAGCCATAAATCCATCTCTCACAGCAGCCAATCCTAGAAAGAATCTCTTGAATGTTGGACCCCTAGGGATGGAGGCATTTTCATCAGTTGCAATATCACACTGTAGTGTGACAACACTCCCAGGATTGCTTTGTTGTACCATATGAGCATATGTGGGCAATTTCTGAAACAGCTCAGCATGGTTACCTTGAATCTCCTCCATTGCTAACATCCTTGCTCTGTACATTTGCATATAATAGGTAGACATCCCATATTTTTTTATCTCATCCTCTATACCCTTCAAATTCAAGTCTGGATTGCTTCTTAGTACATCAATCAGTTTTGAGGCCATCCACTTGGCAGTAACCTCTTTGTCAGCTGAAGTCCTTACACAGTTGTGAGTGTCTGTGTAAGTCTTGATTTGGAATGTTACATTGTCTGGTAACACAGAAGCATGGATTCTCCAGCTACATTTTTTCACTGAACAATAAGCAGTCACCCTTTTTCTCTCATTTTTCTTCCTCACACACTGAAATCCTTCTTGAATAACATAGTCCTTCAATACCAGCCTAAAAGCATCTACATTGTCAAACACTTGACCCTTCTTTAGCACTATCTGATCTCCCTGTCTGTGAGTATACACATGATCTCCAAACTCCATGCATCCATTCAAAGGATCATTGTCAAACTCTTCATCTGAGTTGTTTGCAGCTTCACAGTGGTCATCTGACTCATAATCACTCAAAAAATCATCTTCATATTCTTCTGCATCACTCAACTCAAGCTCACTTCTGTTATCATCCTCATCAATGTGTGCTATAAAATCATCATCTGAATCATCAATGGCATCATCCCTACCATCATTCTCTTCTACTGGCACATCCACATTTGGCTCATCTTGTTGAGCTTCATCAGCAATCTCAGTCTCTATGAACTGAACAATTTCTTCAATGTATGCAGAAAGATCACCCTCATCCACATTTGCAGCCTCCTCATTTTCTTCAATACTCACCTCAGCAGCCATACTAACACCATTGTCCACAAATAAGTCAAACCAGTCATTCTTTGTATTTCTTTTAAACATTTCCATCACATCATTATCATTTTTAATCTCAATCACCTCACCACCATCAATTGTACATGAATATCTTAACCCTGATACTTCAATACTAGGGAATGACTCTACAACATCTAAACCCAAATCAATATAGCTATACACATCTGGATCAACACCACTAAGCTTCACTTTGGAGCCCAAATAATTCAGAACAATGCAATACAACTTATCTTCCATGCCTGCAATTAAAAATAAATAAAATGTTTCAGACATAAGCAAATTGGGGAATATAAGGAGAAAAATTGAAAAAAATAAAACCTGGGTAAAATGCCTAAAATTGATAAAATGAAAGAACAATAAAAAACACCTAAATCAATAAGTCTGGGTAAATTTTGAAAAGAAAAACATGGAAAAATCAGAAGTGATTTACAAAACCAGAAATCTAGAAAAAACCCTAAATTGAAAAAACCCTAAATTGAAAAAACCCTATATTGAAAAAACCCTAAATTGAAAAAACCCTAAATTGAAAAAACCCTAAATTGAAAAAACCCTAAATTGAAAAAACCCTAAATTGAAAAAACCCTAAATTAACCCATTTAACAACATGGGGAAATTGAAATCTTTTACCCATAAATAAAGGGGAAAGAGACGAGAAACCTAATCAATTAACCACGTCATAACAAACCAAATCTCAGAAAAAATGGGTAAAAACTCACCGTTTTGTTTGCGTATGAACAAGCAGGAAGCCTTCTTCGTGCACCCCACGAATTTCCAGCGCTCAACCCTCAACGCAGTCAACTGACTTCAAGCAAAATAAAAACCCAGCCTTCTTCAAGCAGGAAGCCTCTCAAATCGCAGTGAGAGGCGAAGGAAAGTGAGAGAGAGATTAAGAAAAATAAAAACCCTAAGTGAAACGTTTTCATTCTTCGTTTTTTTTCAGACATTATTATTTAGAGGGTAAAGTGGACTTTTCCATTCTCTACATTTTTCGTTTTTTTTCAGACATTATTATTTAGAGGGTAATTCGGTCAATTCCTTCATTCTGTTAGCATAATTGACGGTCGGTCAATTTCAGGGGGGTTGTTGTAATTCCTAAAACGACAGGGGTTTGTGAGTTATTTGATGATACCTCAGGGGGTGGGTGTAATTTACCCTTATTTTTATATTTTATATTTTTAATTGATTTTTAAAAAAATGGGTCGAGTTCCAATGTAGAATTGTTAACTAAATTACGAAAACACCCCTCTTAAGAGTTGAGAGAAGTGTACTAAGCAAAATTAAAAAATTCCGTTGCCGGGACTTGAACCCGGGTCTCTCGGGTGAGAGCCGAGTATCCTGACCAACTAGACTACAACGGATTCACATTCACTACTTCTATATAATGATACACATCTCCACATAATTTCGGAACTACATTCAGAAATTAAATTGAATTGGTTCTTGAAATCTATACATGTATTTCAATTTCGTTCCAAAGCAAAATCGAAATATCGGAAGTCATGACTTTCTGATTTAGGAATGAAAAGTATTCTTCCGAAATCGAAAGTATTAGAACGGGATTGGCGGACTTCGAAAATTCTATTCCAAAATATTGAATATTGAACTCCAACGACAAAAACATTTGTGATAAAACGTCTTATAACGAATGTTTGTTTGTTCCAAGCTACTCCCCGTGAATTTATCGGGTTATACTTTACCTTAGAATTATACACACCACACACATATACATGTGAATGTGTGTAAAATATGTATAGAAGAACTATACACGTATATGGTACGAACAAACCGTTTATTTGATTATGTCTGTCAAAACAAAGATCTACACTCAACACCAAGTCAACCAACTTCACAAAAAATTCATTGGCATCCCATGGATATCAATTGCCAACATATATGAACCACAAACACTCATATTCAACAACTCGAAAAAAGGCTAAATATTCAGCCAACATAAACGAAAAAGAAAGAAAAGAAAAACGGGGTTTCGATATTCAAACTGTCTAATGAAAAAAACATATTTACATGAAAAAACCACGGAAGGACGAATGCTATTACCAGACAAGCCATCAAGAAGTTACGTACACAATGGCTGCCCGCGTGAGCACTGTCTGTTTTCGGCCGAATAAGTGCTATTGCCAGTATCACCCGATACACGCTCTCGTTCCACTCTTCCATGAATCCGTTATGATCACTAATGCCTGTTATAATGTTTGCCGTTTCACCACATATTCGTTGCACTGATGTCACCGAGCGTTTAAATATTAAGATGAAAAAAGGAGTTTTATTGCAAGGAACTTCACATAAATTGGATTAGAAATGCGACAAAACATGAACTCCACCAGAATCAATGAACCGGACAATCCGGTTCAACAAGGCAACAGCCTTCTCGCAAACCGGGTCTATCAAATGAAAGACGTGTTCTTTCCCTTCCGTCTCGAAAAACTCAATCACACCTTTCCACTCACTCTTCTTCAATTCCTGGTAGAAATTCAAACCTCTTTTCCTCAAGAAATCTCTCTCCGACACGCAAACCAGCACTCTCTCGCAATCCAGCTTCGATAATAGATCCGGATCCGCTGTCGGGTTCAGTCTCGGGTCATCACTACCCGTTGTATCGGGGCAGATGTAATTCCACAGCTTGTCCGGTTTACCGATCCCGAAAAACGGGTGAATCAGTATCAGGCCCGCGAATTTGAAATTCGGGCCGTGTTCTGGATTGTTCTTCGCCCTAATCACCATGTTGTGGGCGATGTTGGCGCCGGCGCTGTCTCCGGCTAAATACACCCGTTCGAAGTCGGCGTACTCGTTTATCCACGGGTCGGGTCCATTTCCTGGTCGGGAATGCGAATCCAGCCATTTAACGACGGCGTACGAATCGTCGTAGCAAGCTGGGATCGGGTGCTCCGGTGCGAGCCTGTACTCGATCGAAACGACGACGGATCTGGATTCCGACGCTAGCGAAACGGCGTAGTTGTGGTACGTTGAAGAGAACGCCGATTCGATTGAGAAAGCGCCGCCGTGGATGTAGATCAGTAGCGGGAGCTTCGAATCTCCACCGGTGGTTTTCGGGAGGAATATTCTGGCGGAGACGTTGTTTTCCGGCACGACGACGACGTCTCTGGAATTAACGCCGGTCAACGGATCGTGCGACGGCGGCACGAAATCGTGTTCGATGTATCGTTCGACGTGGCCGGTGTTGTGGACGCGGAAGAAAGGCGGGAAGTCGTGGGTTATTTGGGAGGGTTTGGAATCCATCTCCGGCGAAACAGAAATCTGAGAATGGAAAAAGGTGGATAGAATAATCAGATGAGGACGAGGGGTTTTATAGTAAATATTAAATAGACTGCATCGCTGTATCACTATCATCATTTGTACTTTGTAGTTAAGAGTAGGTGAGTGAGGGTCTGTTTTCTAAATATAGCAAAATTACGAAATGGGTTTAAGAAAGAAAAATATGTGGGGGGTTTTTGAACTTTTGGAAATTGTTAACTGGGGCACCGCTTATTGACTTTTTGCACCTCTGCCCCTAATTTTCCACTCCCACAGGCCACAGTCCTACCTATGTCATCTAATTTGTTATGTTTAATTATTATTTTTTTGCAATGAATATTTTTTATTTAATTTTGAAATTTTCATCATATATGTTCAATCCATTAAATTCATCAACAAAATTACACATTTGAAAATTAATACTATTACTTACTATTTTAATACACAATCTAGGTGAACCAACTCCAGCAGAATGCAAGGCTATTAATTATTTTGAATTTTTATCCAACTTTGAAATTTGTATTTTTATCCGGGCCAAATTATGACAATCCTTATGGGTTATGGTAAAATTATGAAAATACTCATTTTATTTGAGTAATTATAACGAACCCTTCATTATTAAATATTTTTACATGACATTTATGTAATTCAGTTATTTGTCGAATCAAATCGTATATTCAGTTTGGCAATCGGTATGAAATGTATCGAAATTTCAGTTCGGTTTTGTCAATTTAGCATCCCTAAATTTACCTCGGAAGAGTTAATTTCGTAAGATAATACATAATTACGATTTACTTTCTTAAGATAATACATAATTACGGAGTGAGTGACTGTGACAGAAGGGGATTTTTCATAATTTGACCATAACTCAGAAATTGCCGTAATTTGGCCTTTTTGTTTAAATTGATAATCTATCGAATCAAATCCGAACAAAACCTTAATCAACTCGAACACAAATCAAGCTCGAGAGCCAACTAATTAGCAAAACGAAGAAATATGTATTCAAATTTGGTTCGTTAACAACTCGAGTTCAACGGACCCTTTAACGAAGGATCTTGAAATAATAATTAACAACAATTTTTATTTGAATTAATTGACATAAAAATACTAACAGGTATTAAACAGCTCAACCAAACGGTGAGTTATGGCAACAGCTTTATCACTAGTTGTATCGAACAAATGAAAGCAATGCCCCACTCCTTCACTCTCCATAATCTCCGCCTCTCCCGCCCACGCGCTCTTCTTCAAACCCTCGTAGTAACCCTTCCCCCTCTCCCTCAAAAAATCCTTCTCCGCCACCAAGAACACCACGCGCCGCCCCGCCATCTGCCCGATCCGCGGATCCACCGCCGGATACAGCCGCGGATCGTCGTCTCGGGCGCTGCTCGTCGGACACAGCGACTTGTACAGCTTGTCCTCCTCCTTCCCGCCGAAGAAAGGATGCACCAGGAAGAGCCCCACGATCTCCACGCCGGCGAATCCGCGAACCCCAGCCCTAATCGCCACGTCATTCGCTATTGTGGCCCCCGCGCTCTCCCCACCGACGAACACGCGCCGGAAGTCGGCGTGGTCGTTCAGCCACGGCTCGGGGCCGCCGCCGCCGCCGTCGGCGGCGGCGTGGGATGCGATCCACTGGAACGCGGTCCACGAGTCATCGAATGGGATCGGGAGGGGGTTCTCGGGGGCCAATCTGTACTCGACGGCAACCGCAACCACGTTCGCCTTCTCGACCAAATTGGAGATGAAATTATGGAAGACCGGGCTGGCGACGGATCCTACGCAGAAAGCGCCGCCGTGAATGTAGACAACGAGGGGGAGCTTCTGCGGCGGATCGCGACGGCGAGGGGCGAAGATGCGGACGGAGACTCCGGTTTCGGCGTCGACGGTGACATCCTTGGAGCGGACGGCGGCGTTGGGGTCGTCGGAGGGAGGGAGGAATTGGGCGGGGCCGATCCTCTGGCATGTTCCGTCGCGGAGTAAGCGGAAAAACGGCGAGAGGTCGAGGACGATCTCTTTGGGATCTGAAGCCATTGAAGTGTGTGAGTGTGCTTTTTGAGGAAGTGAGGGAATTTATTTTTATAGGGTGTAAAGTGTAAACCCCAATTTATTTTGGACCATACTCGTGGCGAAATATGTCCATTGCTTTTCTTTTTTCATTTTTCTTTTTCTGAAATTTGCATTTCAATTTACAGACAACAATATGTAAATGTGTGAAATTAAAAATAAATTATGTTTTTTTTTTTTTTTTTTTTGATAAAAGTGTAAAATATGTATGAATTTATATAAGTGAATGCTAATATAAACTGTCATATAATTCAATAATGTAGCATAGGACAAGTAAAATAAAGAGGATTATGGATGAAATTTGTTTTCAATTTGAATTATTTTGATGTTTTGCGTAATAATAATACTAAAAAGAATGGATTCTTCTCCTACTTTAGAGTACAATTATTTAAGGGGGAATATGCCAAACACCCTCCATTGGGTTTTTTATTCTTGATAAATCCATAATTAATTAATGGTATTTGAGATAAATCCATTGCACTTGAAAACCCATATATACCCCCACTTATTAGTATAATTATTAAACTAAATATTACATTAATTAATATCAAATCCCTCCCAAAAATAAATCAAAACCTTAATCAATTCCAAAATCAGATTGCCGTATAATTCGCCCCTTCCCCCAATTCACGGTAAAAAACCACTCCGCCCCTCTTCAATGCCCCACAGCACGGTTCTTTTTTTTATTTTTTTTATCTTTTTTTTTTGGTTTTTTGTTTTAAATTGTTCCATAATCTACACCAAATCTTCTCCAAAATTTATTCCCCGCCCCTCTTCAATGCCCCACAGCACGGTTCTTTTTTTTTTTTTTTTTTTTTTTTGGTTTTTTGTTTTAAATTGTTCCATAATCTACACCAAATCTTCTCCAAAATTTATTTCCCTCATCATCCCAATTCAGTTTTTTTTTCTTTTCTTTCTTTTTGTTTAATGGTTTTCTTTTATTTCGATTTAAAAGAATATTTTGTAATTATTTATTATTTTTTATTCGGTTTTTTGTTTTAAATTATTTTTTTTCCTTATTTATAGTTTTCATGTTTTTTATTTTAATTTTAAAAAATGGTTATATTTATATTTTTGTTTTTTCAAGGTTTTTTTTTCTTAATTTCAATTTTTTCCAGTTTTTTTAAATAAAAATCACTCTATATAAACATGAAAACCACTGTTTATAAACAACTACATAAACATGAAAACCACTCTGTATAACAACTATATAACATGAAAACCACTATGCATAACAACTATATAAACTTGAAAACCACTTTATATAACAACTATGTCAACAAAAAAACCACTATATATATAGAGTTATATAAAAATATGTACAAAAATTATTGAAAACCACTAATTTTTGTACACATTTTTATAGTGGTTTAAAATATTGAAAACCACTATAAAAAACCTGTACATAATTATTGAAAACCACTCTGTATACACAGATAGATAAACATGAAAACCACTATATAATTAAAGTACTTCATTGCAAACATATCAAAAAATACAAACTATCAAAACGATAAATTCTAATAAAACCGACTATGAAAAACACCATCTTCTCTCTTGTGAACGAGCATAGATGTTAGCATCTTCTTCTTATTATTACATTTCTCAAGGATCACTCACCTAGTCATCACTTCCACAATCACTCCCCCTGTTCAAGAAACAAAAAATAATATTCAAGAATTAATCACTAAATAAACCACTTTTAATTTATAAAATGATAATATGTTTGGGGTGTCATCATTTTATTGAACAATTATTTACAACGTGCAATACATAAAAAAATCAAAATAAATTAAAAAATATAAACTGGTGAAAAACATAAAGAATATAAGAATGATTATATTAATTAAATGAAAAATTCACAAACCAAAAAAGTTTAAAATCCATACATATACATAATTTAAAACGTCCAAATATAAAATAAAAACAACACATAATTACAAATGCAATACAAGAAAAGGGACGAAATGAGAAGAAAAATTTACCGGCAACCTCTGGTGCCAAGCGGCTTCTCCTTGCTTCACGCCGCCGCTTTTAAATCTCGAATCAAGCCTCGCCCACATCGTTGATCATATTGTTGCAATCTTCGAAATCACATACACTGCCGTCTTATATATGCCGGCATAAGAGAAGGCTGACGCAAGGAGGCAAAAATATAGATGGTTAGGACGGGGGAGGAGCGGCAGAAATATAGGTGTTACTTGAATGGGTAGCACCGTCCATAATAGTGTTGCTTCTCCGAAAGTTCATGGTGGTGGTGGTTGGATACCACCATACAGAGATCGCGGCATGACTGATGGAGAGAGGGGAAAGGGGAGCCGCTGTATACAAAAGATTGTGAGAAAACGAATTGTTTTAGATCGTGATAGGGTTTGAAAGTTTGGGTGGAGATTATAATTGTTTTATTGTAAATTAATTTTAAGTAATATACTTATGTAAAATAAGAAAAAGGGTATAATTGTGAAATTGTATTAATTTTTATTAATTAAAAATATTTTGGATTTAACTTAAAAATGTGATTTTTTTTTGGACTCATTGTAATTAGGGGGCTCTAACAAGGGACTTTTGTCAAATAATCCCATTATTTAATGAGGGGACGAGCTGGTAACCGATATATTCAATTTATGAAGCTGGAAATTAGGTCGCCAAATCCAACGTCGAATAGTCAAAATAGGATTATGGAGTAGGGTTGACCAAGTTCGACCCAAACAGACCAACTGGGTTTTGCAAATAGTAATGGGTACTTATTCAAGGTCCGAAAGACTTCTACCCGACCCATAATTTAATGGGCTCCGTCGGCCCATATTTTGAAACGGTTCGCTTTTAAGCTGCATGACTTAATTGAGCCCACATTTTTTTTTATTATTATTATTATTTGTAAATAGTAAGATAATATTATGAAAATAATAATTTTACTTTTTTCTTCGTATCATAAATCATAATGATAACGACCATGTAGTAGTTTATAAACCTTACATGTCATAATTGTACTAATATCTCATAATTGTTGCGTTAATCTTTATTTAGAATTTAAATCTATCAATGACAAGAAAATAAAAGCTAATTAATTAATTATTTATTTATTAATGGGAGGTGAGTAGTTCGAGGAGTGGGCCCTACCAATATATAGAATTGAATAATTGGATAAGTTGTGCAGTGCACTGATGAACACTTTTGCCGTTTTCTAATTATCACCGCATGTGTAAGATCTATACGTATATATTCCCGATTCTACTTTATGCATAACTTTTTTGTTTTCCATTATAATTATTTAAAAAAGATTGGTTCCTTTTCTTAATTGAAAATAATTAGCAATAAAGTTGATTGATTTTACTTTAATAATTAGCAGTAAAATAATTATGTATGTATATTCACTATGTTTTATAATTAATGTATTAGTGACATATATCTGTATATATGTTATTCAACCTATTCTTTATGTCACGTAGTAACGGTCTCTTGTTAACAATAATTTTTGTTATATTTTTACATTTCTAATATTGCATCAGATACATTTTTTCTTGTTTTAATCTTCTTAATTAGATTTTAAATATTAATTCTCTATTATCACATCATTAAATGATCAATATTATTTTTAATTTTTATAATATGTTTTTTTTTTCTTTTCTCTAATTGATATGCAAAGCTGAAAAACTATAAATGATTTGTAATCAGGGGAGTATGTGTTATAGAACTTACTAGAAATTCCAGCTCAAGACCAATTCAAGTAACTCGTATCTTGAAAAACTCGGCCATTCATTATTACCTATTTTTAGAGATATATATTTCATGTTTAACTGTAAATTAATTTTATTGATAGAATAATTTGATATATATATATATATATATATATATATATATATATATATATATTATATTATATATTTCTAAGTATAATATTGAATTTTGAATTTTCCGAAGACAAAAATGAATTTTAAATTGAAAAAGTAATATTATTTTGTTTGGGATGTAATGGTAAATCTCAATATTTAATTCCAAGAAGAACAAAGTAGGAGATAATTAACTAAGACTTAGATCGATGATCTTAATTAGCACTAAATACTAGTAATTGATTCCAATATTGACAATTATACTCGAATGACACGGTGTCGTTTTGTGGGGTTACCTGGATTCTATTTCCCCTCCACATCAGAGCTAGCTAGAGAGAGAAAGAGGAGAGAGAGAGAGAGAGAGTAATAGCAATAAGGGAAGGAGTTGTAAATCTGATTGAAATATTGGGAAAGGAGAATAGTGAGCGCGACAACGGTCATCATCATATTGTTCTTCACCATTAAAGGAAAAGATCTAACGTTTGTGTTTTCTCTCTCCACCGATAGATACAAATTATACACGTATTTTCTCCATGCAAAACTTTTTACTGGAAAAGAGAAAAAGGCCTATAGTATGAACAAATTAAAAAGGAAAAGGGTGAAGAATATTTGAATCTCAGCTCCACCACATTTTTTTTGCGCACAAACGGAATTAAGCAGCAGATATGGCAGAAGATCTCTGCTTATCGGCCAAGGTACGCCTTTCCCCCGCCCCAGCGCCGCCGCATTTCAATTTTTATTAGCTCGTCGGAAATAATTTTTTTTTGCTCGTGTTGGATAATTTTAAGGCAATCCCCTAATATTACGTTGATTTTGTTTGGGTAAATTTTCTCTTTGCATCGTTTTAGTTTTATTAAACCACGATTTAATCTAGGTCGTTTTGGATATTGAAAAGTTGGTGTAATTTCACCTCCCGTTGGTGTGATTTCTGCCATTAATGGAAGCAATCAAGCAATGTGTGTGTATATATTATTCTATTTTATTTGTATCTATTTGTTATGATTAGAAAGGGCTTTTCACGATTTGGGCTCATATGAGCTGAATTTTATATTGCAGGGGCTTCTTTTCAAGTTTATAATAGTTGGGGGGTTATAATCATATATTATATGTATAACCTTGTTATATTTGCTGGAAATTGCAGGATAGCTTAATAGTAAAGCAGCATCAAAAGAAAAATCCACTGATATTCAGGATGTTGGTTTTGATGGTGGTGATGGTGTGTGGAGTTTACATATGTTCGGTTTGTGTTAAGCAAATCGGCGGACAGTCGAGCGTACGTCTGTTAAGTATTCATCAGGTGGTTGAAAAACCGTGCGTAGCAACTAATATCGAACCTTCAGAAACGGCTTACGTACATTTCCCCAAACCAAAGACTTTCAATAGGTAAAAAAAACACATTGTAGTTATCGAATAATCAGCTCTGAATAATTGATGGAATTATTGGTATGTATTGGTTGATTGATTTTAGGGATGAATGTGCGTGCAATCCTGTAAGAAACTTTGCGATCTTGTCTACACAGAGATCTGGGAGTGGATGGTTTGAGACATTGTTGAATAGTCATATGAATATAAGTTCCAATGGGGAGATATTCTCGGTTAAGGTCCGGAGAAGTAATATTTCCACGATTTTTGAAACTTTGGATAAGATTTATAATCTTGATTGGCTTACTAGTGCGTCGAAAAACGAGTGCACCGCTGCTGTTGGATTGAAATGGATGCTTAACCAGGTGAGTTTATATCCTATGTGTTATGATTTCTATGTTTCATGTTCAAACTGTTAATAAGTTTTTTCGTGTCAATTTGCGACAATCAAGAACTTTTCTGGATAATCGACTTATCTTTATTTTTTAGGATTTCAAGTATGGAAAATAACCAAACCTTTAAAAGTTGATTTGTGTTCCCCTGTACATCCAAAAATAAATCGTTAAAATCGTTGGTTCCCCAGTTTATCTTGTTTTCAGCCGCCTAGTTCTGTTTGTGGACTTTATCAGAACAGAGTAATGAAGAGAAAAAATCAGATGAAATAGTGCACCAATTCCCGGTTTCCGACAACTTAACTGCGTTTGAATCTTTCTTATACTATTCGAATATTCTTAATTGCAGGGCTTAGTGCAGCATCATGAAGAAATAGTCGAATACTTCAATGCGAAAGGAGTTTCTGCAATTTTTCTCTTCAGAAGGAATCTTTTACGCCGCATGATTTCAATACTAGCAAACTCTTATGACCAAAACGCCAAGCTAGTAAACGGAACTCACAAATCCCATGTCCACTCTCCTCATGAGGTCATCTCTCTCTCTCTCTCTCTCTCTCTCTCTCTCTCTCTCTCTCTCTCTCTCTCTCTCTCTCTCTCTCTCTCTCTCTCTCTCTCTCTCTCTCTCTCTCTCTCTCTCTCTCTCTCTCTCTCTCTCTCTCTCTCTCTCTCTCTCTCTCTCTCTCTCTCTCTCTCTCTCTCTCTCTCACACACACACTCACCCACACCCACACCCACACACATACTCACACACGCACGCACACACACACACACACACACACACACACACACACACACACACACACTTCATTACTCTGGTATTGAAGTTAGTAAAAACCGGGTGCAGGCTGAGGTTCTAGCTAGTTACAAGCCGACTATAAACACGACTTTGCTTATCCCCAATCTGAAACAAGTGGAAGATATGGTTAACAAATCATTGGAATATTTCAAGAGCACGCGCCATATTATCCTCTACTACGAGGATGTAATAAAGAATCGAACTGTAAGATACTCCTCTCATCAACAAACAAGAAAGAATCTACTGTGCATTTTTTCGTCAAATTTTTTTCTTTTTTCAGAAATTGGTAGATGTTCAAGATTTTCTGAAGGTTCCGAGACAAGAGCTAAAGAGTCGTCAGGTGAAGATACACAAAGGATCTTTATCTTCACAGGTCGAAAACTGGGCAGACATAAAGAAGACACTCAAGGGAACACATTACCGGAGTTTTCTAGACGACAAAGACTACAGGTTGTGAAATGTGCATATATAGTTTCTTTAGATTTGCTTTTGTTTTATTCATTAAATTAATTCTTTCAACTGCAAATTAAAAGCTTAGTGAAATTTTGATGGGGTTACTTTTAGAAGACAGTTTGAAGAGAATTTAAAGATTTGTTTCTTTTTTTTAAATTGCTCGAGTCCGCTACTATAGTAGAAACCAGCAATTAAATGCTACTACTTCATAAAATTAGGATTAATATTGTAGGGGTGATTAAAAAGGGAAATTACAATTTTATCCTTAAAATAATAAATTAATTTTGTGTAGTAAGAGACTTTAGACTATTCATCTATAATACATGAATCTGACAAATTTACTGCAAGATGTAAGCTAAGAAACCAAATATTTTGTAATTAAGTATACTTATTTAATCCTTAGGTATTTAATCCAATCTAATCTAAATAAACAATAAACAGTATAAATTGAAGAAAAATCAAGGTCTATTTTTATTATTATTTTAATGACAACTAGAATGAACCACTAAGGAAAATAAATTAATAAGAAAAGCCATAAAACCGACTAATAATTATTATAACTTTAAACCGATGAAATGCATCCGTTTATGAGATGCTATATTTGGAGAAATACATTAAATAATTTTAAACTATAAATTTATACAACTAATCACCTACTAAGTACTATCTTTTAAAATATTTCAGACGGTGTAGCATCTACAAAACCACATTTTTCGGCTAAAAAACACAAATTATTGAAGTAGGAAGATTTTTAGGTTTGATAAATTCACCAAACCCCAATGAAATTATGGTAACCAGCCATTTTGGTTGACCAAAAATTGTAAACACACAAATATTGAACAAATTGGATGTGACATGGTGGCCATAAACATCTCCTAATTTTGACCACGACCATGCCCAAAGTCTCCTTTAAAATATTAAAACTGTATTATTATTCCATGCAACAACGTAAGCACTAAGCACTATCCCAAGATTTGTTTGGAGTGGTGGAAAAAAAATAAATAAATAAAAATAAAGACATGTTTCCCCATGTTTAATGTAAGATTGGAAATTGACAAAATTATTAATGTCTGATGAACGATATCTGTCATGTGGGTAGGTTAAAAAGTGGTCTCACTTAGAATGAATTGTAGCTTTCTTTATTTAATTAATTCAAATTGCATTAATGTTGCTACTTTTCGTGATTATTATGTTTAAACATTTTTCTATTTTAAATGACTTGATAAATAATTTAGAAAGTCCAATTTTGTAGACAAATAATGAAAAAAAAGAAAAAGAAAACGAATATTTTTTTAATTAAAAAATGTTTTTCTATTAAAGAAACACACACACACACACACACACATATTTATATATATAATTATTTATATATTACAAAAATACCAGGGGTGGACTCTTATTGCCCAAGTTTTACCCTAAATAACCAGACAGCAACCTCCAGCCGTCAATCCGGAAGTAGCAGCTGTTCCCGTTACAAATCCAACCGTTGGATCTAAAATAGAACGGGACCCGTTAAGGTACCGCGTATCTACCGGGCCCACCAATAGCTGTTTTCCCACAATCCACGGTCCGTATCCAACCACGCAACTAATTGACGGCCGAGATTTAATACCGTCAAATACAATGCAACACGTTGAATCCACCCTAGATCCGTCAATACTTCCCTTTAATTCACTCATTAGCCGACTTCTCAAAAAACCCCTCTCTCTCTCTCTCTGAAAACCTGGTTTCTCCGACCAGGTATATTCCAACTTAGCGGAGGGGTAATTTCGGAAGAGGAAAAAATGAACGGCGGCGATGTGAACCAGCAGCAGCAACAGCAACAGCAGCAGCAGATTCAGCACCAGCAATGGGTGGCGATGCAGCAGCAGTACCAGCAGCAGTGGATGGCGATGCAGTACCCTGCCATGGCGATGCAGCAGCACATGATGTACAATCAGCAATACGTGCCGTACTACCATCCGCATCAGCAGCCGCCGCAGCAGCAGCAGTATCAGCAGCCGCCGCCGCCGCCGCAGGCGTTGAAGCAGAACAATCAGATTCAGAGCTCCGCTGAAGATAACAAGACGATCTGGATTGGAGATCTCCAGCAATGGATGGATGACGGTTATCTGCAGTCGTGCTTTGCTCAATCTGGGGAGGTAATATGAATTGTCTTTCTTTCTTTCTTTCTTCAGTTTGTTTGTTTTAATTTTGTGTGTATATTGTGATTTTTAGTATGCTATAAGTTTACGGAAGTGAATTATCTGTTTTTTATGAAGAATTGTGGTGATCTGTCTGCTTTTAATCTATTTTTGAAGGTTGTGTTTTGATCTGTAAAAAACCAAATTAGGAAATTTTAGATGTCAATTTGACCGGTGACTTGAAGGTGTTTGATGAAATGCCGGATTTAGTTGAGATACTAGTTTTAGAAAGTTTAGAACTGAATTTAGACCAATTAATATTCGAACAATAGTCGTGTGAATCCGTTTTTGTACGTCTATAAAGTAACTATATGTATGCATCGAAGGATGGCCAGTTAAAGACTAACCTAAACTAACACATCTTAATGTAATATTGAAAGACACATGCTCTTAATTTCTGTAAGGGATTTAAATGTAAACATATAGTAAAGGTGTATGTTTGAAAAGGGAAATATTATATATTTAGTATATTTGCATATTTGAAACAGGACAAGACTATAGATGCAATTAATGTGCTAACATGATATACGAGCAATGATTTTGAACTCTCGAGATTTATTAAATCGGAATTGGCAAGTTTCGGTAAGGATCTTTTTTATGAATTCATGGCACTTAAGGGCTGGTTCGTTTTGTGTACACTTGATAATAGTAACATGACATGATTGATCTGTCGTTTTGAAAATGCATTCCTGGTTGTGTAAGAATAATTTGTAATATTTGAAATATCTAATCTTGCAGCGATTAATTCTGTATTAACACGATCTTGATGAAGAACTATGTTATGCTTAGGGCTGGCAATATGGGGTGTTTGTTAATGTATCATAAATGTACAAAATGAAGTTTAGTGTTATAACTTATACAGCAGTTGTATTTTTTACTTGTATGTTAATCACTTCTCTAATCCAAACAAACAGGTCGTTTCAGTCAAGATAATCCGCAACAAGCAGACCGGTCAATCAGAGAGATACGGATTCATCGAGTTCAACTCTCATGCAGCAGCAGAGAAAGTTCTGCAGAGCTACAATGGCACGATGATGCTTAATACAGAACAGCCCTTCCGCTTAAACTGGGCAGCGTTTAGTGCGGGTGACAGGCGCCCCGATATTATTCCTCCTCCTACTACCCCTGGTTCTGATTTGTCGATATTTGTTGGAGATCTAGCTACTGATGTCACTGATGCACTATTGCATGATACCTTTGCCAGTAGGTATCCATCTATCAAAAGCGCAAAAGTTGTGGTCGATGCAAATAGTGGTCGCTCCAAAGGCTACGGCTTTGTCAGATTCGGTGATGAAAACGAGAGAACTCGAGCCATGACTGAAATGAACGGTGTGTATTGCTCTAGCAGACCTATGCGAGTTGGCGTGGCAACTCCCAAAAGACCCTCACCACAGCAGCCACAGTATTCTTCACAAGGTTCGACACAATTTTGTGCTGCCACGTTTGAGCTTTTTATTTAATTCGATTTAACATTTTTTGTTTCCAGCTGTTGTGTTGGCCGGTGGTGGATTTGCAAATGGTGTTGTGCCACAAGGCCAAGCTGAGAACGAGTCATCTAACACAACAGTAAGTCTGGCTCCTTTTCTGAAGTCAGTTATCGAAAAGTCAAGATATTTCACTAACTCGTACCGCATTATATTGTAGATATTTGTGGGAGGACTTGACTCTGATGTTACTGATGAAGAGCTGAGGCAGGCTTTTGTCTCGTCCGGTGAGGTTATTTCTGTAAAAATACCAGCTGGAAAGGGATGCGGCTTTGTACAATTTGCCAACCGGTAAGATTTATAAAATTTGCTGATTAAATGCTATTCGAATAGCCTTAAAGAAGAGGTTTACCATTTTGCTATTTCATTCTTATGGGACAAACAAAAGTAGTACGAATATGAAATATTTTTTTCAATTTTCAATTGGACAGAAACGGTGCAGAGGATGCTCTTGAGAGATTAAACGGAGCAGTTATCGGCAAGCAGACAGTTCGTCTTTCTTGGGGTCGCAATATGGGAAACAAGCAGGTAATTATACTTTTTCGATCTTCAATTTTCTTGCTTTCGGATTGAAATAGCCCTTGTTTTCAACGGCGTTTTAAAAAAAATGAATATATATTACAGTTTAGGACGGATCAAAATGGTCAAGGGTACAACGGGGGTTACTACGGAAGGCAAGGTTACAACGGGGGGTATGGATATGGACCGTCTTCAAACGGTCATGGTAACCATCAGCAGACTGTCAGCTAACCCGAACCCGCCTATATAATATGCTCTCTCTGTATTGAGCTTATGTATCCACAAAACCCAGAAATCTGTGGGTAAAAGAATTTTGTAGCTTGGATTAAAATATCACGTCCGACGAACCTTTTTTTTTTCTTTTCTTTTTTTTTTTCGAACTTGTGATTGAGATATGACTTTTTAAACAGTTTGTTATAATGGTTCTAGTGTTGGTAATTATTTTTTCTTCTGATTTCTGAGGGCCTTACTAAAGATTAATCGGACATTGTTTTATTACATATACCTACTTTTCAAGAAAATGGTTTGATCATTGTATTTGTATACGAGATAATAACAGGTCGTTTTTATTTATTTATATATAATAACAATTTTTGATTACCCTGAATTTTCCCCAATTGCAAAATACCCCCCTGAAATGGATATGTGAATTCATGTTTTTTTTCTTTGGCTTTGGAAATGTTGCAATGAGGAATTGAATGATATTCTTATATATTTCAAAGTCGTGCAATTTTTTATTTAAATTGAAATTAAATGAATGACATTTGTTTACTAAAATTAGTCCTGTATTTATCATTTCAGTTTGCTAAATGGCAAATAATTTACAAACCCCATCAGGCCCTAATTTCAGATTAATTATTTTCTTAATTGTAAATCATTTACAAATGTCAATAAATTTAAAAAGTTTGGGCCAAGACAAGTCCATTCTCTAAAGTCCATTAGGCCCGAATTTTAAAGTATTTAGTTTAAAGAATTTTAACATGAAACTCTCTCTAATAATCCACAATAAAGGATAAAAATTCATTAGAGCTACATTGTTGTACTAATATAAAATAGGGCACGTACTTTGCACGTATCGGATATTTTTACGTACTATATTTGATATATTCTTATGGATATAATATTATGCACCGAAAGGTGTAAATATGTTAAGAACGATATTTTTATGTTTAATTACTTCTATGAATACTTATTCTTAATTCTAACATATTGAAATTTTTCTTTTAGGTAGTCATCTATTAGAAAAGTGCTCGTGCAGTGCACATGTTTTATTAGTTTCTCTATTTACTTCATCATTTTGCTTTTTTTTCTTTTATATCAAATAACCCCTTAATTAATTGACCCACCCAATATAATTTATAAGGAAAGTGGATATCAATTATTTTTTGATATATTATTATAATTAATATATATTTTCATCTTTAATAATAGAACATCTAACTCATTGATATGTGTGCATTTGTTTGATAAAAAACTATGTTTTTTTAAATATTTGAACTCAAAATTATCTATCTATTTCAGCACCAAGAAACTGATGGACTTATGTCAATTAATCTACTAGGGCTGATAAGTAATGGGCTGGAAGAGAGATTTGGTATAGTCTAGATGAAGCCCATCATACTTGATGACACGTGTCAGGATATTATTAGTTCACGAAGAATATTCGGAAAATGTACCTAATTAAACATTATTAAACATGAATTATTTTACCTTATTGAACAATAATAATATTTGTGCTCCTGAACCTGGCTAATGGTTGTGCACGCATTTACGAAACTGCCCCTGAACAGCTAAAAGACGTCAAATACCCCTATGCTGAAAATTGACGAAATTACCCTTCAACCGGAAAAAGTCGAAAACACCTTTCATGAAGTTGATCCAAATTGCAAACAATCTTTGAAGCAAATATGAAGCAAATATTTGTTTTCATTCAAAACCCCATGCAATAATCGAAACCACCCTACTATATATATATAAATATATAAAATAAAATGTAAAAAAAATGTCACAAAATTGACATAAATAAATCAGTGAACTTCTTTATTACACCCTTACCAAATAAAAAAATGGGCTTCTTAGTATCTAAAGTTGATGACCTATTCCACATAATAAAACGAACAATAAATTGGTTTTAACAAAAATAACCGCAACTACAATAAAACTTCGGAGCAAAGTGAGGGTATTGTATGCACTCCCCCACTGGATTACGACCCCCACCCCCATACTTAGAGACGCATAGATCCATGCAACATTGTTCGGTGCATGAGGTAATAGGACACTTGTGACTCGAAAGAGTCTTAACGCACCTCCTATACGGCTTCATTTCATCGCCTAACAATTGTAACATTTCGCAACCTGCAATTTTTTAATTATTATTATTTTATATATATTATAAGCTAGCACACTTGATATACATACACTACAAATTTATTTCGATACCTGGCAAAAAGAAAAAAAAACTTCACCTGAAACGAGGACAAGAATAAACAACAATGTTAAGGCGGCCGTCGTCCTTGCCATTTGATTAATGAATATATATATTTTTTTTCGTTTATTTCGATTTAATTTTCGTTGCAACTTATGCGTTTGAGGTCTCCTATTATATATATAGTGTTCTCGAGGGTATATATGATAGAAGAATTATGTTTACCTAGTCAAATTAAAAGATTTTTTTGTTAGTAAGTTCATAATTAATAGGAAATGCAGCTATTTTAGTTGTGCCACTAATGTTTATCTTAGCTCTGATCACCTACAAACGGATGCACGCAGACAAACTGATCCAACGCAAGGAAATTACAAAACTACCCCTCAACGGCTAAAAGACTGAAATACCCCTATGCTGAAAATTGACGAAATTACTAGTAGATTGGCTAAAAGGTCGAAAATACCCTTGACGAGGTCGATCCAAGTCGAAAAGAAGAAGCATCTCGTTGCGATGATCGGAAACAACTATACCCCATACAATGATGTTGCAATACAAAACCACGACAATTGAGATTTGAAGACAATCGGAGTAAAAGTTTTAAGGAGAACTGAAGCACTCGTGATTATTTAGCCGATGAGATTTTTTTTTTGTCCGATGAATAATTTTAACAATCGAATGATAAATATATAACGTCATAATCTCTTAAACTAATATGCATATATGGAAAATAACATTGTAAATAAACATGTCACGGAATTGAATTATATAAATATAATAGTTCAACGCAAGTGAACTTTCATGTTACACGCATCCTTTCCAAATCCACGTTATAACACGTAAAATAAATTAATTTTAGCAAAAATAACTGCAAGCGCAATAATACTTCGGAGCAAAGTGAGGGTATTGTATGCACAGTCCCACTGGATTACGACCCTCACCACCATATTGGGAGAGGCATAGCTCCGTGCAGCATTGATCGTTGCATGCGTCAATCGGACACTTTGGACTCGAAAGTGTCTTAACGCACCTACTATACGACTTCACTTCATCCCCTAAAACATGTAACATCTCACCGCCTGCATTTTTTTTTAATTATTATAGTTTGATATATATAAACTTCATGTGTTATATATAAAATAAAAAAATAAAAAAAATAAATACAAAATATTCACCTGAAATTAGGACAAAAACAAACAACAATGTAAATGTGTTCGTCCTTGCCATTTGCTTATGTGATTATATTTTTTTTTTCTTCTAATTTTGATTTAATTTTTGTTGTGACTTATTTGTGTTTGAGGTGTTCTCATCTATAAATAGTGTTGTCATGTGTAGTAAGGTTATGACACGTGGCTAATCATATTCCAAAACTATCAATATGTTGTGATTGATATTCCACAAAAGAAAGATCACTATCCGGCAATTCAGATTTCCTACATTTTAATTTGCAAAGGGTTTAAATTTTAACAGATCTTCCAATTCTAAAAATCATTACTCAAAATTATTGTAATTAACCTTTTTTTTTAAGGGGTAATGACGAAACAATGTGATTTTTGCGTTAAACAATTGTGAAACACTTTCCGAAAAAAGGTTGTCCGAATACATAAGTGCAAAGGTTAATAATCACCTGGTGTATTTCACTACCGTGTGTAGGTAACATCAAATAAACAGTAGAAAGAGTTATTATATATCTTGTGTTTGATTTATAACAAGAATTCAGGTAATTAATAATTATATTGTAATTAGTTTTGTAATATTTGGAATGTATCAATTATCATAAATCATCTTACAAAAAATAAGAGATACACTATATACATATATACACCACGAGAGACCTCAAACTCATATATATATTGCACTAATTAAATCAAAATTAAATAGAAAATTAAATGGCAAGAATTGCACTAACTTTTTGGTTTCTTCTTGTCCTCATTTCAGGTAAAAAGTTCTCCTTTCACCCTATTCAACTGAACATATTTATATATAAATATATTTATTTAAAAATAATTAAGTAATTAATTAATTAATGTGCAGGTGGTGAGATGTTACATGCTTTTAAGGCCAGGTGTCGTAGGCCGATAATCAATTTGACGTGCAGTATTGAAGGAAGATGCGGTTCCGATTGTTGCAATGCGCTTTGCGTCTCCAAACATAAGGGCCGTAATCCAGTCGGTGTATGCTCACACCGAACCAATGATACATGGCTTACTTGCGCTTGCACTTTTGATTGTAATATTTAGGTTCATGCTATGCTGCATCGGGCGAAACGCATCAGACACATCTTTATCATTTATATACACACAGACACATACTGGTGTGTGTATATCGATGGTAAAAATTCACCTGATGTAACATTCACTGAGTGTAGCATATAAACAACTATATAATAAGGATAAGAGTTTATTGTGTTAAAATGCACATGTGTTGATTGGCTTCATGAATCAATAATTTGGCTTGCATTAAATTAAAATTCCTTTTGGTACTATTACTTCAATGTCCAAATTTGACAAGAAACATATGTGCTGCATATAAACTATAATCCAACAATGTTTGTCTTTCCAAAGCCTGCACAATATTTGTTAAAATATTATTTAAATTAATTATTAAATTTACTTCCTTCAAAATTTTGTTCTTTGAATTATTAAATTTACCATTAGAGCCAGCAGCTACAAAACAACCAATTTGATAAATAATGTGATAGAAACAATTTTTGCCAACTAATTTAATTACGAGTGTGGACTAAAAGTTTACGAGGGATTTGGGGGCATCGGAACCCTTATATTATTTTTATGAGCTATTTCGAAAAATAGCTCATATATGTGTATATTTTAAATTAAATAATATAAATTAAAATAGAGGAATTGAGTGAGCTAGAAGCCTGCAATCAATCAATATATATATATATATATATATATATATATATATATATATATATATATATATATATATATATATATATATATATATATATATATATATATATTTCCAAATCATAATTTAATTTTTCTTTTAAGGGTTTATTAGGGATAACCCCCTTGTTCATATTTTCTAATGAGGTAGATCCAATTTTTTTCCCCCTTTTTAAGATAGACCCAATTTTGCCAACTTGGCAAAATATATTATATAATTTTCCTTTAATACCCCTGTTTTATTTTTAAACGGCATTTATTTCCTTTACTACGTGATTTGAGATTTGCTGATACGTTGCCTAAAATCACGGAATAAAATTACGTGAGATCATTGGCGTTTATATCAAATCGTGTACAATATTTTTCGAAGGTTCTCTTCAGCGTTCCAGCGGTTTTTTATCGTCTTTGAAGATTTATGCACCGTCGTTGAAATAGGATCGAGTTTGAGCGTTCGTTGTTGGACGTTGTTAACCGGGTATGAATGCGTTATTCGTTTTTATTTTTCGCTCAATGTCTAGGATTGTCGATTACAGTGGTTAGAAATTTTTAAGAGTTGTGTTGATACTTGATTCTATTAAGTAGAACGTTTTTTAACACAATTATTCCGTCATACATACATCGTTATTTTTGGCGGATGATGTTTGTTTGAAAGAGGATTGACAGAGTTAGATGAGCATGGTTCACGCATATCGAACCAGAGTTGTTTTATATGAACATCGTAGTTGGTTTACGCATTAATTGAAATAACTGTCCGCTGTCGTGGAGTTCATGAGTCTGATCCCGGTCGATAGTTGGTTTATTTGTGTATAACAGCGGATTTTAGGACGCTGGGTAGTACATTAAATTATATTTCGTAGTATTTTTTGGGATATCGTATGAATTTTGCATTTTAAGTTTATTTTTTATCATATTAATATATTTTTTAGTATTCTGCATTTTTAATGTCGTATCATGATTCAAGGTTTTTATCGATGGCGAATTTTGTACGGATCTTGTTGAGATTTTGCATTTTAAGTTTATTTTTGATGATATTAATGTATTGTCATTCAAATGTATTTGCAGTCTATTTAATCATTTTTTTGTATTCTGCATTTTTAATTTTGTTTCATGATTTTAGGTTTTTTCGATGGCTAATTTCGTACGGATTTTGTTGAGGTTTGGTGGGTTGGTTGCTATAAAGAGGTGATTACGATGTAATGGCTCGGTAACTTCGGTTAAGTTTTAAACCGTTGTAATACAGTAGTATACTATTATGAATACCGTATGATACTACCATTATCATTTTATTATACTATTATGAGATTATTAATGTACTAGAGTTTTTTAACTCGACATATTGGTTTGATTGTGTTATGATGTGTTTTATGTATTTTATCAAAACCCTAGATTGAAATTATGAGATTATTAATGTACTATTTTATTGGTTATGTTGGAATACTTTACGTTGGTGTTGTTCTCAATGTTCTTGTCATTTCAGTGGTATATTGTTTGTAACACAATTCATATCACTACTATAACCGTAATATACTATCATAGCAGATCAATGTACTATATTGAAATTATTAATATACCATGGGGTCGAATAATACGGGATCCATAGTCGATTAACGAGATCCATAGTCGAATTAGATCAATAAGATAGTCTATTACATGATATAAGGAAAATTACCCTAATTGATTAGTATTTCAAACAAACATATTATTCAGTTTCCATATATATTATTATTTTTTCATATATATTATTATTTACCTTAATCGTTTTCATATAATAAGGAAAATTAACCTAATTGATTAGTATTTCAAACAAACATATTATTCAGTTTCCATATATATTATTATTTTTCCAATAGTCAATTAACTAAACGCATAGTCGAATTAGATACATGGGACAGTCTATTAAAAGATATGAGATAGTCTATTAATTTTAAAATACAAATCCGCCGCCGTCACTTCTCAAATCTAGGGTTTTGATGATTCTTCGGCCCATAGTCGATTAACGAGATCCATAGTAAAATTATACCAGTGGGATAGTCTATTAAATGATATGGGATAGTATATTAATACAGATGTAATTCGACTATGCATCTCGTTAATCAACTATGGGCCGAAAAATTATCAAAACCCTAGATTTGAGTAATCCTAGATTTGAGTAACCCTAGATTGGAGCAGTGACGGCGACGGCGACGGCGGCGGCCAACGACGATATCACTTCTGGTGGATGTCCTGCTCATCAATTGTTGCAATATCACTGATTTAGTGCTCGAATTCGGTATGCGATTATAACATATCTGCAATTACACAAACGTGATAGTCGATTTAGCCAAAACATATCAACAAATCGATGGATGATAGCGATTCAGCGAGTGGCGACGACGTACCTACGACAGCTTGCTCGGAGTGCACGAAAATCGTCGTTTCACGGCAGTGCATACGTCTTCCCCTTTCAATCGGCCGTACCGGGAAGTTGTTCTGGGAGGTTTTGCAGTTTATTCGATAGTGGGTTTGGGATGATAGTGATTTAACGGGAACATAGGAAGGGATTTGATTTTATTTCAAAAGGTAAAGTAACGGGTTTTGTGAGATTTGATTGAGGGTAATTATGTAATTAGGAAAAGTTTAGGCTGTTATCAAAATAACAAATATAAATTTGGGTCTACCCCTATTATTTGAATGTTTAAGGGGATATATCTAATAGACCTTTCTTTTAATTGAAGTAAATGTTAGAGAATTACGTAACAATTTATCTAGTTTAAGAAATATATTCATTAGATATACATAAGGAATATTTTGCAATAACCTCATTAGTCATAACAGCAAGCATTTTAATTTTTTAACAAGTTATGGAAATACATTTTGCGTCTGGGAATATTTTTTTGAACAAAAAAAGAATGATTAATTTTTTTTTTATGCGTCTCTTGTTAATAATTCATGTGAAGATATTCAATAGTGGAGTATGAAGAGGCAAAAAACATCAATTTCATTTTCTGATTGGGAAAATTCATTAGTTGGAAAAAAAATTATCCAACAATTATTATCATAATTTTTGGATTCAAACAGTTCTAATCGTAAAATATATATAAATTCAAAAATACTATATATCTATTATTAATTATTATCATCAATGATTTAGAATTTACCTATATCTATTATTTAATAAGTAACTACTAACTAGTATTGTATGTGCATGACAACTCAAATAGATACACGACAAAGGTATATATAATTAATTAATTAATTATATATGGTCCCCAATCTGCAAATTTTTAAGGCCCAAACAATTATTTTTACTCTTTATTATACACAGCTAATATTTATTTGATTTAAGTTTAGTAGCAATTATCCCTGAGCGATGCACGGACGACCGGTAGAATTCTAAAAAAGTTCTTAAAATAAGACAAGATAAATTATGATAACATAATATTTAGGGTCGACCCGATAAATTATTGTGGATACCAAACAAAACTTAATTAGTGTAAACAATAGCCGGCTTTATTAATTTTTGGCCAGCTTTTTCTAGGACAAGTGAGTTTTTCCACGTGGCCAGATTTTTTTTTGTCATAATTAATATTGGATTATTCATACATAGTTGCCTCAATTAATTTTCACTAGGAACAAATATAGAGCTTAGGGAAAATCACCAAATGATTATATTATATGCAATATATGATTTTATTACCTAATTTACAATATAAATAGGAAGTAGGCAGTGTCTTAGATAAACATAACAAGGTTAGTGTACTAAAGAAAAAAAAATGAAAGGTTCATACATTTGGCTTATTTCTTTCGTGTTTCTAACGGTTTCCGTACAGTGTTACGGCGGGAGAAAATACGACCCTCTTCGAGAACTGATAAAAGCCCGAAGGGCGAAAAGGTCATCATCGGTTAATTATGTTTCCGAAGATGCTACATCGTCAGCGGAATATTCCCCTGTTTACGTACAGAATCAATATGGATTGAAGGAAGTTGACAAGATTCTAAGTTTGCCGGGTCAACCCCAAGTCAACTTCTCTCAATATTCGGGATATGTCACCGTTGATCCGATTGCTGGAAGAGCATTATTTTATTATTTTACCGAATCGGAAGATTCTTCGACCAAGCCTTTGGTTCTCTGGTTAAACGGAGGTTAGCGTTTTTTTGACACATTTTTTTTTGGCTTAAATTTTAACACGTTTTTTCGGCATTTTTTTTTTTTTTTTTTTTTTTTGTGTTGAATTTAATATTTGATTTCGAGTACAGGGCCTGGTTGCTCGTCGCTCGGAGCTGGAGCGATGACTGAATTAGGGCCGTTTCGAGTGAATCCCGATGGAAAAACCCTATGGCTTAATAAAAATGCTTGGAACAATGGTAAAATTAAATTTATTTTTATTTATGTTTTAAAACTTTTATATGGCAATTAAATGATGTAAATGTTGATGAATGCAGAGGCGAATGTGGTCTTTCTTGAATCGCCAGCTGGAGTGGGATTTTCGTATTCGAACAGGTCATCGGATTATATTACAGGCGATAAGCAAACAGCAGCAGATGCTTACACTTTTGTAGTCAACTGGTTGGAAAGATTTCCCGAGTACAAAACGAGAGACTTTTACATAACCGGAGAGAGTTATGCCGGTCATTATGTACCTCAGCTTGCCGATTTAATCCTCAAAAACAACAAAATCACGAATCAAACCGTCATTAACTTGAAAGGAATTGCTGTAAGTTGATAAATAAAAAAAAATTGACGATTAGTAGCAAAAAATTCGAAGCATCTAAAAATTTTTTTAAAAAAAAATGCGACTCGATTTTTTTTTTTTTTTTTTTTTAAGATTGGAAATGCGTTGATCAACGACGAGGATTGGTGGAACGGTCAATATGATTATTTATGGACGCACGCTCTCATATCAGACGAAACTCACAACGGGATTGTAAAGAATTGCAATTTTTCTTCTCCCGATATTTCGGAAGCATGCGATAACTACGCGGGCGAGGCGGACGATGCCGTTGAGGATATCTATTTTTACGACATTTATGCCCCCTTATGCTCGTCTTCTTCAAATGCTCCCTCGGTACTTATAATATTAAAAATAATATATATTCGTAGAAATATTTCATGTTCACGGAACAATATTCTAACTTTTTCCTTCAATGCATATTGATTTGAAAATAGATATCGACATTTGATCCATGCTCGGGTGATTACGCCTATACATACTTAAACACACCAGAAGTGCAGAAGGCCCTACATGCCCATGTAAACGGAACTTGGGAATCTTGCAAGTAATACAACGAACTACGAAACTCTTTTAATTTCTCGTTTTTTTTCTTCTCGTAATTTTATCGATCGTTATTTTACGTGTAGCTTCGAGGTGCATGCGAATTGGCAAGACTGGCAAACGACACTTTTACCTACCATTGAAGAGCTGATGGCTAGTGGTATTCGTGTTTGGATTTATAGGTTAGTGCACGTTACAACTAAATTCCTCGTATTCACGACGAATATTAGGTTACGTTACATATGTACATATTCAAAATCAATTACTAAGTAATTTCAGCTGATGAATTTTGCAGTGGAGATACGGATCGTGCGGTGCCAGTTACAACCACTAGTTATTCGTTGACCAAAATCGGTGCACCGATAACGACTCCATGGTACCCTTGGTACAGCCAAGGCGAGGTAATTAATTAATTAAAAAAAATCGAGTTTCTCTTAATTGCATTTTATAATAACATCCTAAATTCCTTTTTTTTTGTTACTTCGAAAGGTTGGAGGTTACGCGGTTGGATATCAAAATTTAACATTTGTGACGGTGAGAGGGTCCGGGCATTTTGTTCCAAGTTACCAACCCGAACGAGCTCTTGTCTTGTTCACGTCGTTCTTAGCGGGAAAACTTCCGCCTACCGAAAACTAATGTTGTTACTTGTTAATTAACAAGATAATAACTGCCATTATTATGCCTATTGTCCCTGGCCTTGTAATAGATTGTCCTAATTTCACCTATAATTGTAATTTTAATAAGGGGATAAAATCAAAATTCCTAAATTTTATTTTTTTTAATTAAGTTGAAATGCACGAATTTAAGCAATTTCTTATTCATAAAAAACGGCGACGTATTGATATTTATAGGTTAGGAGTTCACTAATTTTTATTTATTTAATTATTAAATAATAAAAAAATTAAATAAAAAATAATATGACAGCTGTGGGATTTGAACCCACGCCCTTTCGGACCAGAGCCTAAATCTGGCGCCTTAGACCACTCGGCCAAACTGTCATTGATGAACAAATATGAGACGTTTTGTTATTTTTCGTTCTTATTTCCATATAATATATATATATATCCATAATTTTTTGTTTCCATGCAATATTCTGGAATTCTTGATGGTATCGAGCTAGTTTTTTGGCTTTCTTTTTGCACAGGAGCCCTTGTCGTTTTAACTAATCACTCACAAATGATATCCACATTGTAAAATACAGGCTAGACTAAATTAATCAGTAACAAGTTATAAACTTTTTGTACGTACTTACGTATATTATTAATATGTGGGATATAACAAGTAATCTTAAATTTCGAACAATACAATATATATTAATGTTTTGAAAGTTGTATCGTTTAATTTTATAAATATGAATACGAATGCGTAGTGGAGATACATATAGTCGCTTCACCGATAACGACTCCGATCCATGGTGGTACCTTTGGTACATCCAAGCCGAGGTATGAAATTAAAACAACGATTTCAATCTCTTCAAGAATTTAATTAGCACTTTTTCTCTTAAACTGCATTAATTATGGACTATATTAATATCATTTTTTTTTAAAATATATATGAAGGTTGGAGGTTACGCAGTTGAATATCAAAATTATTAAAAGGGTTAAATAAAAAACACCACTGTACTATGGATTTTTTATCAGATACCCCTCTTACTTTACATAAATATAAGCCTATAAATATAAGATTTTGTTTGAGACATTTTACACTATATTTTTTAATATTTTCGGTCAATTTTAATTGGGAAAGTTTGATATTTTTATTTTTTTTCTCCAAAACATTTAATTACTTTGATATTTTTTTATTTTCTGAATAAAACCTTTTATTTTTGTCATTTTGAATTTCTTCATTTTTTTTCTTAAATGACTTCCGGTAGCTTAAATTTGCAACAATCATAGGATTGTAAAGATGTTTGCAATCTTAGGATGTTTGAACTACCGGAAGACATTTAAGAAGAAAAAAAATGAAGAAACTCAAAATGACAAAAATAAAAGGTTTTATTCATAAAAAATTAAAAAATCTAAGTAATTAGATGTTTTGGACAAAAAAATATATATACCAAAATTTCCCACGTAAAATTGACTAAAAATGGTAAAAATATATAATGGAAAATGGCTCAAACAGATTATATATATGCTTGAGTGGGTAAAATTCATTTTCGTCCCTGACGTTTAGAGTCAAAAGCAAAATAGTCCCTATGTTTCTAATTTTGTTTAATATCATCCTTTGGACACAATTTTACCGCAAAAAAAGAGCATACTTTACATAATGTCCACACTACCCTTCAAAACCTTGGGGATGAAAATGAAATGTACCTAATTTTGGGCTTTACACAATTTTTTTTCTTCTTTTGTTTGCAATTTTTTTAACATCAATTTTTTTGACCAATTTCATATTTTCGCATAATTACTTAATGCAAAGTTTTTAATAATTTTTAGTATTTATCACATGATCAAAACTTTATTTAATATCTGTGTGAAGCCCACCTATTTTTCTCAAAATTTTGGAAATACTTAGTGTGTATATATATATATATATATATATATATATATATATATATATATAAAGCCCAACTAATAGTAATATACTTATATTTTTGTTAAAATATTAAACATAAATGCTATAATTGTTTGGTTCATATAAATTAGCATTTAATATTTATTTTTTTATTTTGTTGCAAAATTTCTAAAACATAGTGTTGTGCTAAGTTCCTGGGATATCTATTTTTCATGCATATGTATCAGATATTATGATTTATTATGGCTTAATTCCACTTTGCACTCTTGAAATAGAGCTTTTTGGCACTTTGCACTCTTGAAAAATAATAATAGCACTTTGCACCTTCACATTAGAGCCTTTGGCAATTTGCACCATTAAAAAACAATAATAACACTTTGCAGCCTCAAAACACAATAAATCATTCACAATGCACCATGAATTGAATAATAAAGAGAATTTCATTTTTTATTGCGTTTTTTTTTTCGGGGTTCAAAATAACAAATTAAATTGTTAATTTTTTCAACCTCCAATCTAATAGCTGAAGGATTTTTTTTAGTAAAATAGTTTTTGTGATAAAAAAATATTTTTTAAAATATGTTGATGAAATATATTTTTATTTTTGCACTTTATAGTTTCAAAATGATTGATGAATAAAAAAAAAATTAATTTCACATTTGACATCCTAAAAGAATACCATTAAAAATATTCAATTGCCTTTATTTAGCTTTATAAATATATTTGGGGTGCATTATGCAAGATATATTGTGTTTCTATGGTGCAAAGTGCTATTAATTTATGTCAAGGGTGCAAAGTGTCGAAATGGTATATTTTAAGGGTGCAAAGTGGAATTAAGCTGATTTATTAAATTGTTTAAATAAGTATTATAATTTTAAAATTATCAAATTAGATATATTTCATTTTCGTCCCCAGGGTTTGAAGGGCAGTGTGGGTATTAAGTAAAATATATTTGATTTTAGTAGTGAAATTGAATTTAGAGGATGATATTGAAGCAAATTATAACCTGAGGGACTAATTTGATTTTGACTGTAAACCTCAGGGATGAAAATGAATTTTACCCATGCTTGAGTAGGGGTATGTTCGTCATATTTGGAAAAAGTGTAATGTGAGGGGGGTTTTTGTATTTATGTGTAGTACAGGGGGCTATATGATACAAAGTTCATAGTATAGGGGTGTTTTTGTATTTAACCCTTATTAAAATGATTCATGCACCAAATTTTTTTTTTGAATAATTATTTGTTATATTGTAGAATTAAAAAGTTAATAATTATACAATTTATTTGTAATGTCTTTGTGAAAACAGTATCTTATATTCAACTTGTAAGAATTGAATTACATGCGAAATGAAACTAAAAAATTAAAAACCCTAAAGTTATAAGGGTTAAATTAAAAACTAAAAAATTAAAAACCCTAAAGTTATAAGGGTTAAATTAAAAATTAAAAACCCTAAAATTATAAGGGTTTGCATGTAAATTAAAAACAATCGCCGTCTGTGGGAATCGAACCCACGACCACATGGTTAAAAGCCATGCGCTCTACCAGCTGAGCTAAGACGGCTTCTGTTCAAAAATATTATGATTGTATATAAATCCATAACTAAGAACGTAGGTTCTTATGGGAGATTGGAAATGCTTCTTATACAGAATACACGGATCACACATTTGAAATTGTGGAAAAATCACCAATCGAAATTATATTTTAATATGATATTTCATTTAATTATTTTTTAATTTGATGTTGCACATACACAACATAACTATATTCGATATTTACTAGTGTGCGCGGAGTGTATCGATCACATAACTTACGACTACTAGGTTATGACATAAAAAATGAATATGCCTATCAGAATTCGCATTTTGTCGTACCGTTGTACTATACAAATCACGAATATATATGTACAAGTACATGCTAACGGTAGGTATAGTGTTCATATCAAACAGTTTGTAACTTGTAATTTTTTGTTAAAAAATAACTGGTTAAACCATCTAGTTTTCTTAAATTATAATTGATTTATAATTAACTATTAATTTGTGTTTAACACGTCTATGAGAGTGACAAACACAAGGTTAAAAAACAAATAATAAATTATAATATAAAGAATAAAAAGGGCAATATAATGAGGCCTGCACGTTAGCAGAAACAAACACGTCCTATGAAGAATTACCAGACTTTGTCAATCAATTTTAATCTAATTTATTTAAATAGGGATAAAATCAAAATTATTAAAATAAATTAATTGTTGATTTTCTTTGTGATACTTGTCTAATTTGATGGCCCGTCTTTGTAATTTAATTGGCCGAAACTCTGCAGGGAAAATAAAAATAAATTAATTGAAAATGAATATATATTATCCAATTATTAATCTATGGGTTGTAAATGGTTCGAACAACTAAAAAGTTATTTTATAATTAATCGAGTCCCATTCGAATAAAATATAAAATTCCAATTTTTTAAAACAATACTAATCAATTTGAGACCAAACAATTTTTTAAATTATAAATAGAATATGATATATACCTTAATATATATTTTACAAATACAAGAAGTCGAGTTGCACTCAATTGAGGTTGTCTGTAACGTGTTACGTTTAGGATCTGACATATGCAATATAATATGCTTTACAAATTTATTCGTATATCCCGCTTCTCAACTATCAATTATTAATTTAATTTATTTGAAATATTATTGTTTTTATTTTATTAAACAAAATAAAATAAAATAAATAAAATGTGCAAATTAGAATAGAAGCTGTTAGACGTGGTAATCAACATATTAAATTGTCACGCAAGTGTCAACAAGCCCTAACTAAATTGAGGGTAAAATTACAACCACCACCCTAAGGTATGGTCAAATTACTATAAAATCTCTCATGTTTGAGTAATTACAACGACCCCCTCAACTATGAATCTTCTTACACGTCCAACCTTGCGGTGTCAAATTTAGTGGAATCTTCTAGATTATATGGAATATTCTCAGTATTGTACTCGTTTTATCGGGATAATTATATTTTTGGTCCCTCATGTTTGGCCCGATTTCACTTTTGGTCCCCTTTGTTCCAAAATGAACAAAGTGCACCTCCAAGTTTCAAATTTAAACATTTTTGGTCCCTGCCGTTACATGTGCGTTAGCAAGTAACGGAAAACACTATTTTGGGGTGAAAATTGAAATTTTAATTTTTTTTGGGGCTAAAAAATAATTATAAATTGAAAACAGACTACTTATTATTAAATTTTTAATAATATTAAGTATAATGAAATTTTATTAATTAATTTTTTATTATTATTAAAAAATAATCATAAGTAGTATAATTAAAACTAAATTAAGTATAATTCACAATCATTTATTTAATTAATTATTTTTTTATTATTAAAAACAAAAGAATCGATAGGGTCGCTTCGGATTTTTTATTACCAACGAGGCTCCAAAACGTTTTATCATAGTGGAAAAATAAAATCTTTTTGGCAAAAAAATGATCATTAAAAATTTAATTATAAGTAGTATAATTATAATAATATTAAGTATAATAAAAAATAATTTGTTTAGTTAGTTAATTTTTTTGTCAAAAGTAGTATAATTAAAAATAATATTAAGTATGATTAAAAATAATTTGTTTAGTTAATTTTTTTTATTATTAAAAATTTAATTATAAATAGTATAATTATAATAATATTAAGTACAATAAAAAATAATTTGTTTGGTTAATTTTTTTTTTTATTATTAAAATTTATAAGTAGTCTATTTTTAATTTGTAATTATTTTTCAACCCTAAAAAAATTTAAAATTTCAATTGTAACCCTAAAATAGTGTTTTCCGTTACTTGCCAACGGAAATTTAACGGCAGGGACCAAAAGTGTTTAAAATTGAAACTTAGAGGTGAACTTTGTTCACTTTGAAACAAGGGGGACCAAAAGTGAAATCGGGCCAAACATGAGGGACCAAAAGTGTAATTATCCCCATTTTATCCCATTCGAACTCCACATTTTGAATTAAAATGATCATAAGATGTATTTTTTCGCTTGTAAATATCATATTGTGGTGCATCAGAAACTTCATTTTTGCACAAAACAAGTACAAACTAGAGAACATTCCATGGAATCTAAAAGATTATGTTGAATTTGACACCATAAGGGTGGACGTGTAAGAAGATTCATACTTGATGAGGACAGTTGTAATTATCCAAACATGAGGATTTTTTTCGTAATTTGACCATACATCAGGGGTGTGGTTGTAATTTAGCCTTAAATTTAAATAAAAAAAAATGTCGATAACCCCAAACAAAACCATCAAATCTGTGATCAGCAAAGAGGCGGCGGCGGCTCCTCCACCATAAGTCAAATTTCCGCCCTTCCTCCTCCCTTCCCCCACCGCCAACATATATATAAACAAACTCAAAAATCCATTTTTCTCTCTTCTTTTTTCACACACAACACACATTAACTAGTTAACTAAAATGGAGACGGAGGTGATGGCCCCCTCCTCCTCCACCTCCGCCACCCCCTCCGCCGTCGCCGCCGCTGAATTCAACTTCGACAGCACGTGCACCACGCCGTACATAAGCGCCTCCTCCAGCCCCCAGCGCTTCCCCACTACCTTCTACAGCCTCCCCGCCAGCCCAACCCGCATCTCCGCCTTCTACCACCAGTTCCACGACGGCGCCGCCGCCGCCGACGACTCCATGTCGTCAGTCCCCTTCCACTGGGAAGAAAAACCCGGAACACCCAAATCCACCGCCGCCATCAGCTCCACCGCCTCCTCCAACTACGGCGACGCCGACCAAGAACTGAACGACGCCGATTTCGCCTTCGACTTCAGCGGCCACTTCAGCTCTTTACCCGCCGACGAACTCTTCGACGGCGGCAGAATCAAACCGCTGAAACCACCCCCAAAGTTCCTGTACGATCAAAACAGACCCCTGGACTCTCCTAAATCACCAAAATCACCCAAAAACTTCATCATAGAGGCATTTTCACCCCGCAGAAACAGACCCGCCGATGATTTCGACCCCTTCGCCGCCGCCATCGATCAAACCCGCAAAGAAAAACTCCATGAGAACAACAAAACCGACAAAAGAGGAAGAGAGCATTCTAGAACAACAAACAATAACAAAGGTTCAAGATCCGTTTCCCCACTCCGAGTCTCCGATCTCTTATTCGACAACGACGACGACGACGACGAACACGAACAACAACAACAACCCACTAAAACCAATCCACCATTATTATCATCCTTTTCTTCATTCTGGTACAAAAAATGGAGGATCAAAGACCTCCTACTTTTCAGAAGCGCATCCGAAAGTCGGGCCAAAGACGAAGATGAACTCAAGAAGTACACTATGTTAAGAAAACCACCTCCGCCGCCACCGCCTCCGGCGGCGGCGGCGGAGGCGGCGCCGCCGCCGCAGGAAGAGGTGAAGAACTCGAGTTTCAGATCGACGGAAAGCGTGGGATCGGTTTCGAGCAGGAGGAGGACATCTGGGCCGGCGATATCGGCGCACGAACTGCATTATACAGTAAACAGAGCGTTGTCGGAGGAAATGAGGAAGAGAACAACGCTGCCGTATAAAAGGGGGTTTCTGGGTTGTCTAGGGTTTCATCCGACAGTTTCTGAAATGTCGAAAGGAATTGCGCCGATGTCAAATGGTTCTTTGTCTCGTGGCTGATTCATTCATTGATTTCTACGTTGATTAATCTCTCTGGTTTGTGCTTCTTACAAGAATTTCTGTTTTTTTTTTTTTTTTTTTTTTTATTTTAGAAAAAAATATTTTTAACTATTATTTATTATACTGTAATTGAAGAATAATACTTTGTTTATATGTATCAAAACAATTCTATTTGATGACGTAATGTTAATTTGTGGAAGACGAACTATTCTACTTTAAATTGCTTACAATATCCAACATGTTATTAATATTAGCAAATAGAATATATTGTCACAAAAATAATGAGTTTTAGGGATTTATGTAATAAAAATAATGCAATGATTTTTTTTTATTTTTTTTTAATAATCATGGTAAGTATAAGAGTGCCACATGCAATAAAGAACTACGTACGTGATCAGTCACAAAAGTCAATGAGGTTTAGCCATTCACAGAATGTTGTTGTCGTGATATCATTGGCTTTTTGCTGACCAGTCTTACACGTATGGGGGTATAATCGTCAATAAATTATAAAAAATACTCTTGTTTGGGTAATTACAACTATTTTCTTTAATTATGAATTTACTTGTACGTGCATCCTTACGGTATGAAATTTTATGAAATATTCGAGATTATGTCAATATTCTCCAGTTTGTACCCGTTTTACCCCATTCGAACTACACATTTTGAAACAAGATGATTATATGATGTGTCTCTTGGCTTGTAAATATCAAATTGTAGTGTATCAGAAATTGCATTTTTGCACAATATCAGTACAAACTAGAGAACATTCTATGGAATCTAGAATATTCCACTAAATTTAGCACCGCAAAGATGGATATATAAGAAGATTTATAGTTGAGGGGTGATTATAATCACCCAAACAAAAGGGATTTTTTGTAATTTGACTTTTTATCTGGGATGGCCGTAATTATGAAGGGTTATTAAATTTTTGTTTCAGAAAAAAAAAAAAAGAAAAAGGAAAAAAAAACAACAGTTGTTCTTGCAAGGAAAAGTTGGAACCAGCAAACATTGCTCTAATTAGCTTTTTATGATGAAAAGGTTAATAATGTTCCATAATGCAGGAAAGGAATTCAAATTTAAAATCCAGTAATTGTGCTAACTTTTAATTTACACGAGGAGAATATTCGATTCCACCAATTAGATTAAGAGGATACATGAACTTAATTCATTACACTAATGGTGGGTGTAATCATTTAATCCCAGGGTGTTAGATTCATTAATTATTCTCTTAATTATGACACCTGATACATCATATAAAGTCTCTTATCTAGTTTACAGCTCAAAAAATTACTTTCTTCCTTGGTAGGGGCGGAAATCGAACAAATCGAAAAAAGAAACTGGAAATCAAGATTTCAGAATTCTGAATGAAAAAAATAAAGTATAAAATCGAAAAATATTCGAATCGAAATCGTCAAAATTCAGTTTCGTTCCCATTTCCAACGGTAACATCGTTGTCAACAGTCGATTTCATAGTCGTAAATATATAAAATTTTAAAATAATAATGAATAGTCATCAGCAAAGCCTCTCGTTTTCACTCTGTTAATTTATATTAAATTTCCCACCCACCCCACCCCCCAAAACACCCACCCACCCCACCGTCAAATGTTAACTGGTCAAGAAATGAGTAGTAGACTCTGAGAAAACAAATTATTAATATTTTGGAATTGGGATATTGGAAAAGTCTAAGCTGTTGACCAGTAGAAAGTTGACATATGGTTCAATCTGTGGATAATGTGGGCATTTTGTGAAAAATTATTGATTTTGGCGGTAAAATTGTGTTTCAGGGATGAAATTGATCGAAATCAAAAAATACATGGATGAATCTGACTATGACTGCAAAGTTTAGGGACCATAAAATGAATAAGTCGGTCAAATATTAATATGTCATATCTTGTTATTACGTGCTATAAGTACTAGACTCTGGTTTACATGACAAGAACAAAAATTAGGAAATATGTGGCAATAATTAGGTTTATTAATTCTTTTTTTCCTGACAAAATTGACTACAAAATTAAATGTCAGCGTGAAACGTTGACATATATAACAAGATTACTGCAAAAATTTCAACACGTGCGACACAATTCAGAAGACAAAACAGACCCACCACCACCACGTGCCGTCGTCATCTTATTATTACTCAAAATCCTGTTTTTTTTTTTTTTTTTTTTTTTACTGGTCTGAGAAAAAGAAAAATTGTAAATCTTTTTTCTTACTACAAAATAAAACAATAGTTATTTAACATCAATCATTTCCAAAGCATGAGACAGAAGATTCCGGAATCAAAATGCCACGTCAGTGCCTGTAAAGACCAAGCAAAGGTTTCTCTCTCTCTTCAACTCTTTTCCGAGCAGCCTCCCTAGCCTTGAGAGCAGCTGCTTCCTCCTTCGACATAGCTTTCGGTTTCTCATCGAGCCTTTTTCTCTTGACGGCAACCGATGACGTGGCGCCTTTAACGGGTCTCATTGGATTGAGTGGCTTCGAAACAACGCGTCCGGGTGGGGGCCCACTTTCAGAAGTTGAAGTTGAAGCAGTTTTACTTTCGGTAACTGATTGTGGCTTCCCGAAACTGGGTTTCTTTTGGATAGTCCCTGAAGAATCTTGAATTGCTAAAAGGGCCTCTTCTTGCGCCACCCATTTACCTGCTCCGTTTGAATAACAACCGTTAGAAAGCAGCATATGAATGAAGAATCTTGTCGGTAGAGATTATTACGGAAAATGTATATATATATACCTAGAGCATCTGTATAGTAGAAGCCGGAGTTAGGGTCGTAGTAACAACTTGTCTTTTGGTTATAGTAGTATCCTGATGAACTTTCGTACTCCCATTCTGCCCGTCATAAAGAAAACGAACAAGACAATCAAATAAATTGAACCAAAAAAAAAAAGTCGAGAAATAGCAATTATGTTTAATGATTTATATTATTTTATCATGATTTGAAAGTGATAATTTTGAGCAGTTGGTCGGTGTACGAAAGTCATTTCATATGACGAAACTAATTAATATATACAATTAAACAACAAGTTTTTATTACCTCCAGGCATAGAGGAACCATGACCAGTTCCTTCGTCATTATCTTCAGAAACGAGTGCTTGTGCATTCGACTCTCGTGCCTCCTTAAAAGTAGCTAAATCCTTCTGATAGCTGCGCTTCGCTTTCTGACAGACAAACAGTAATTGTAAGAGAACCGGAGTAACACAACACCAAATAAACAGAAGTAGATGTTCTCTAGAATATCACCTCCAATACATAAACAACCGAGGTGCTTTAATTTAGATAGTAGCTGAATATCAGAAGAAGAAAAAAAACGTGTATACTGAATATTGTTAGGCCTCGTTTGGTTGGGAAGATTAGCCATGATTAACTAAATAATCGGACTTTATTTGATGTTTGGTATCCACAATAACTTACTGGGTCGACCCACAAATTTTATGTTATCATGGCTTATCTTGCCTTGTAGGCATCTTTTTTCATTGGATCTTCCGAAGTCCAATAATACAATTGGGTTTCATTAGATTATTTAATCTTATCTTGGCAACCAAACGAGGCCTAATAATTTGGACATAGCTACTTGTGAGTGGGGTAAGGCCTTTAAGCATAATAACCAACGAATAAACTTAAAACATAAATTCATCTCGTAAGCATGCATCATATAGATATCTAAATGGCATAATCTCTTAACGACTGTCACAAAAACCGAGATAATTAAAATCACAAACATTTACATTTAGATATTATGCTAGACAACTATCAGAAAATTTATAATTTACTTACGGATTCTATCTGCTCCAGGACCCGAGCTGTTTGCTTTTCTTGTTTGTCTTTCGCAGCTTTATCTTCGCGCATAGTATTAAGCCTCTTTGTGACATTTTCTTTGTGTTTCAGTCCAAGCTCGTGGTTTCTAATGCTGGCCGGATTGTTCGATATGTAAATTTTGCAGGTGTCACACCATTTGTTACCCTGACTTACCCAGTACTGCAAAATAGACCATAACCGAGTTTTCAGATCAAATAAACAACATAATATATCCAGAAAACATAATGCAAAATTACGATGATCTATGAAGAAGATCATCTTATTCACGCAAATATGCACAGAAATTTTGGGCTGCAAATTTGAAAAATCTGGTCAAAATTATCAGCACTAATATTCTACGCGGAGTGGCTAAAAATCGGATGTTCGAAAAGCTGTTTTCCATATGAAGGATTAAACAATTTTAAATATAAGAAAAGCTACTCGTGAAATGCAGATTTGGAATTCAAATTGAAGATTTCGCAAATGAACAAAAAGTAATGTAATTTATGCTCGTACCTCCGTCATGGCTGCAAATAAACTTAATCTACTTCAGGTTTCGGAGAAGCAGCAAATGCACCACTTGAATTTCAAGGATTCGATTGATTTTTCTTCTTCCGGAATTCGAAGTTCTTGACGCTTCTCAAAAAACCCTAAATCTGGGATTCTTTTTCCCCTTTTCTCTGTTCTCCCTCGCAAAGTGACGGCGTTTTGAACTCTAATGATTTCATTTACATTTTACTACTATTTAGGGTAAATTACAAAAACCCCCTTAACTTAGATTAAATTACAAAACCACCTCTACCTATTCGTAATTAAAGTTTGTTCCGTCTTACATTAACCCCTTACAATTTGATTTGTCACGGGTATTTTTCTTTTTATTTCAAAGAATAGACTTTACACAATTTCAGATATTTTTATTTATTTCTCACTTATTTAACAGAAGGTATAATAGACTGTGCACATTTCATGTTAAAAAACTAGATCATCAGTTAATCAGAAGAGAATTTTAGTTATTAAGGAAAGGTGAGGGTGTATTTCATGATTTAGCCTAAGTTCATAGGTGTTTTTTGCAGTTCCTACTATTTATATATTACAATTAGAGTATGATTATGGCTTATCCTCAAAATTAAAGTCCACGTTTGGTCAACGATGTATCTTTACATTTTATTCCTCATCCATAGAACAAAAAATTAAAATAAAAATAAATTACAACTATGCAATCAATTGTAATACAACATTTAAATTACTTGAGTTTAAATTTTAAACCTTTAATTAAAAAATGCAGCTGCCACTGCAAGCAGCAATTAAAAGCTCCACCGTATGCAATCATCCAACTACCCCAAAACGGTGTCGTATTGCCGTCGTCGTCTCCTTTTTTCTGCCGATCTAACATCTGCTCTCCAGAACTCAACACTTTCTCTCTCTAGGGTTTTCATCTCCCCCAAAATTTTCACAGAAATCAGACCTCAATTCTCACCGGAAAAAAACATGGATCAGTCTTTCCTAATGATGCTATCGAATCTCCTCCACCTCCACAACTACCTGGACCCCACCACCTCCCCCATCCTCTCCTCCACCACCCTCTCCTCCTCCGCCGCCGACGCCACCTCCACCTCTGCCGCCCCCCTCCTCTTCTTCACCCTCGCCTCCGTCCTCTCCTACCTCGCATCCCACCCCCCAACCAAAAAAACCCCCAAACCCTCCTCCGCGTCCCCCTCCTCCTCCTCCGCCGCCGTGAAACCCCCATCGGAATTCTCCGTCGCCGCCTTCCGCGCCCTATCCACCGAGCACATTTGGGCCATGGAAGCCCCCCTCCGCGACGCACAGTGGCGATCCCTGTACGGCCTCTCCTACCCCGTCTTCACCACCGTCGTCGAGAAACTCAAACCCTACATAACCCAATCACAGCTCTCCCTCCCCTCCGACTACGCCGTCGCCATGGTCCTCTCCCGCCTCTCCCACGGCCTAACCCTAAAAACCCTAGCTTCCCGCTACTCCCTCGAACCCTACCTAATCTCCAAAATCACAAACATGGTCACGCGCCTCCTAGCAACCAAACTCTACCCCGAATTCATCAAAATTCCCGTCTCACGCCGCCGACTGGTCGAAACAACACAAGGGTTTCAAGAGCTGACATCACTCCCGAACATGTGCGGCGCCATCGATACAACTCCAGTCAAGCTCCACAAAATCAGCCCCAACACCCTCAACTCTTCAATGTACACCTCTAAGTACGGATTCCCATCGGTTCTTCTTCAAGTTGTTGCAGATCACAAGAAGATATTTTGGGATGTTTGCGTAAAAGCCCCCGGTGGATTCGACGACGCAACCCACTTTCGAGACAGTTTACTATACAATCGTTTGATTTCTGGTGATATAATTTGGGACAAGGCGGTTACTGTTAGAGGGCAGCCAGTGAGGCCGTACATAGTCGGGGACTGGTGTTTTCCAATGCTGTCGTTTTTGCTTACTCCGTTTAGTTACAACAGAACGGGAACTCCTGCACAGAATGCGTTCGATGAGGGTTTGATGAAGGGGAGAAAATCAGTGGAGGAAGCTATTGGATTGTTGAAAGGGAGGTGGAAGATTTTGCAGGATATGAACGTGGGATTGAATCATGCTCCTCAAACGATTGTGGCGTGTTGTGTTTTGCATAATTTGTGTCAGATTGCAAGGGAGCCCGAGCCGGAGATTTGGAAGGAGCCGGAAGAGAATGGGCAGCCGCCTAGGGTTATGGAGAATGAGAAGAGCTGTTGTTATTACGGGGAGAGCTTGAGGCAGGTTTTGGCTGATGATTTGTATCAACGTCTTTCGTCAAGATAATCAAGAAAGGTTATTTTTTTACTTGCGTCGTTTTTTTACTAACTCAATGTAGCCAATTGTTGACCCCTTTTTTTTTCGTTCTGTTGGTAGTAATAACTGAGACAAGTTAGATTTTGTTTTGGGTGATATGAAATTGAAAAGGAATGTAGCTGATCGAATTTGTTGCTCAAATCCGGTGCTGAATGAAATGCGTTTTTTTGTGTTGTTTGTTTATGAATATTCGTATTTGCTGATAGTGTTGTATGTTGGTTTAAGTTTGATGAATTATTATGGCTTGTGTTGCTAGACTAATTTCAGACGAGTATCGACTATCGAGTATACGTCTTTTGGTTCTTTCTTGATTCTTAGGTAACAAAGATGATGATACGGTCTCATTTTGTGGACCTCCTACAAATTAATTTCTGAATTCGACAATTTTGGAACCTCGTTCGCTTGTAGTAGTTACAAGTTACAAGTTCCTCAAGCACACGGTGTAAAAAATGTGGTAAGGAATATCGGTTAAAATTCTTGGCAATATGATATTTACTATAGTCGAAAGAATTATTTATTTCGGTTCTGTCTTCATCAAGAATTCGGCGTGTTTCAATGCAATAGTTTCACAAAGCCATGAAAGTTGAGTTTCCCATCACCGTGCCTTATCCACTCTCGAAGAACGGTATGAACCGGAACAGAAGGACTAAGCCCCAGTTCCTGCAAATCACACACATACGACATTAAAACACATTGTAGAAAATAAAATAAAATAAACGAAAAGAAATAAGAAACACGGAAAATATTACTGATGCTAGTTCATGGATAACAATTGCCCTGTTTCCATCTTTCTCAAATATATCGTACGCAGAGCGAGCTCGTTTTTCCCAATTGTCGAGTGCATCCATTTGTCGGACACTTATAGCAGCTGTACAGAACTCTCCAAAATACATCCTTCTATATTGCAGTGCGTTTAGCTGCATTAGAAATACGTAAAGAAAAACGGGCATTCCTACATGAATTTCAATCACATATAAAGAATTAAAAAAATTAAAAAAAAGAATGGTGTTATTACTGGATCAAGGAAATCGAGAACACGAGACCCGTTAACTGCTGCTGTAGCATTTTTTGTCAACGCCTGCTCAAACCAAAACGATAGCGAGAATTTTATTTATTTATTTATTTAAATCACTTATTATAATAAAATTATATACCATTTTGATGGTCTGAAGAGTAATGCCTCCATTTGCATCTGGACACAACAAAGAGAATTGCTCCTTAAGATAAAAGAGTTCATCTTCTGTTAATGTCTTCGACAAGGCCTGTAAGAAGTTGTTAAATACAGTTACCGCTTCGTTACCAACTTTAACCGGAAAAAAAACACAAACTTTTTGTATTCTTTATTTCAAAATCTAGGTTATATATACACACCCTTAAGGCAGCCTTACGCAAAGATGACGATCGCATATACTCTTTCATGAGTGTCAATATAAGAACATCAATCGGGAGTTTGACTTTAACGTGATTTCGTAGCCATGGATGACCTGCAAAACCGAACATTCTATCTGCTCAGGAAAAAAAATTAATAATAAAATAATAATAAATTTATATTTATCCGGCTTAATTCTTCGGCGAAAGAAATAACTGACATAGAGCCTGAGCAGCAGTTATTCTTCTCATAGGGTCTTCACACAATAGGCGCCGCACAAAATCCTTCGATTCGCAAGAAACCGAAACCCAATCATTTTCTTCGAAACTCGGATCAGCTTTTGTAACTTCTCGAAAGGGGCGGGTCCCACATAGAAGAATATACGCTATAACACCTGTACTCCATATATCTGCCTCTCTACCGTACGATCTTTGTAGAATTTCGGGCGCAACATAATATGCGCTTCCAACAATTTCAGTGAGCTTTTCATCTGCGTTTTTTGAAGTTTCGTAATTGGATTCTACTCGAATTCTCTTACATAATATAAAAGTAAGGAGAAAAAAAACGAAACTAACCTGGTGTGAGAAAAACTGATAGTCCAAAATCAATCGCTTTTAACTCGGAATTTTCATCTTTGGATGTGAATATAAAATTCTGAACAATGAAATAAAATACGGTTACGTTAACAAAACGAACTATTTTATTGGTATATATAGTTAGTTCGTTAGTTACCTCTGGTTTAATATCGCAGTGCACTATGCATTGGAGATGGCAAAAAGCTACGACATTTAGAATCTGTACAATAACTTCTTTTGCATTATCTTCCGAGTATTTCTCGTTTCTAGTAAAAGTAAGTGATTTCGTAAAAAATCCGATCGCGCAAAGAGAAATAAACTAAGTAATGAAAGAGTACAGTACATTATCAAGAAAAGTACCTCCTTATTATCTTATCTAGGAGCTCTTCCCCCTCACACAACCTGTAAAAAAACACGAGCAGTAAAAAAAGTTTGCGATTCATAAGAATAAAAATCGAGCTAATTTTTAAATCCGATTTGCGAATCGTTTCAAATCATTCAAGATTACATGCTTACTCCGTTACTAGATAGACATTATCAACATCTTCATAGGCATCGTAAAATTGTACGGTATTAGGGTGTCCCGTCAATACACGCAATATTTCGACCTCTCTTCTAACGGCTTCGATAGCAATAGCTGTCGTAATCTGTTGAGAAAAAAATCCAAATATTCGAATAAAAACCAAAAAAAAAAAAAAAAAGAGGTGAGGAGATGCTTTGTCTGCTTATAATGCTAAAATCCCGATTTTAACAACCAAAACAACTATATAAGAAACGAAAAATAATTTTAATATTTATGCTAAACGAGCATCGGTATATGTGACACTTTCTACACGTTTAATATTAGTTCCTTTATTTTGTACACACTTGGTTGAAATATCTAGCTGTTTTATGCTTTGAATAGTCGAACTCGAGAAAACTATCGGTTATGCAAACTCAACCACTTCTTCCTCACCATTATTTCAGAGGAGCCCCTTTGTCGAAGCAATCGATCTAACCGTGACAATGTACTTAAGAAGTGGTTTTAATAATCGAAAATTCACACCACAGTAGAACCTCAATAAATTAATAACCTCGCTTACCTAATAGTTTCTTCTAGTCCTGACACGGTAAAAACCAACTGAATTATTAGTTCAATAATTTAATATTTCGCTAAATTAATAGAATTTTGCTAGTCCAGACTGTATTAGTTTATAGAGGTTTAAGTGTTACATCACATTTTCTTGCGAAAGGGACTATTCAAATAATCAAGACGACGACTGATCGTCACCCCAAAAACATCGAAACGAACAGGTGAAGAAACATGTTCTTGAATCAGGAGAGTGAATTTTTTAAATGCTAGCTTGCCATATGAGCATTTATTTATTTATATATAAATTGCTGAGTTGGCAATTCTAGATTGTAGCCAGATATGATCATTCTCATTAAACCATATATATGAACATTTATGGTTTTTTTAATGTAGTTAATTAATCAGGATTAGCAAATAAGTCAAGAGATTAGCAAATAATTACAGACCTTAGATTTGGGAATGATCTTGACAGTGATTTTATGGCCTTTAAGCTCACCCTTCTTGGCAATGGCGGAGCACGTGTACCCAAAATGCCCCTGCCTCACCTCTTCCATTATTTCGAACCTGCTCGCAAACTTCGTGGAAAAACCAAATCTCTTATCCAACTCCGTCTTCTCCTCCGCCGCCGCCGCCGCAGACGGCGTTAGCGTGGTGGTTGGCGGCGGGTTTGAATATTCGGAGGGATCTCTTCTGGCGTAAGGGTTGGGTTTGGGAGGTGGTTTTTTGGAGGCGACGATTCCCATGGCTTCTTAGAGTGAAAAAAAAATGAGGGATTATTTGCAGCGGGGATTACTTGAGGACGACGATGGCTACCTAGCTTTTGTACTAGGAAAGAAACTTCTGTTCTTGATTAAAATTTGCGCAAATTACGGCCATAACCTTCAGTTATGGTCAAATTACGAAAAACCCCATTTGTTTGGGTATTATCTTATGAAAATACCCTTCCATAAGTAAATTTATTAATTTAGGGATGTTAAATTGGCAAAATCAAACCGAAATTTCGGTACGCTGGCATTTCATATCGTTTACCGAACTGAATATACGATTTGGTTCGATAAATTACCGAATTACATGAATTTTATGTAAAAATATTTCAAATGAGGGGTGGCTGTAATTTCCCAAATAAGAGGGATTTTCTCATAATTTGATCATACTTCAGGGTGGGTGTCTGTAATTTGCCCTTAAAATTTAACCAATACTGTCACAAATTATGAGCGTAAATTACAATCACTTACCTAAAGTGAAGTGTAATTACGGAAAAAAATCAAGATAAGGTAGCCCGTTTGGTAAGCATCTTACAGTTATGACTATTTGGTTATAGGTTCGATATAGCAGTAACTATCCTCCTTTATCAAGAAAAAAAATTGAAAAAATTCTGTTGTTTTTGAGGAATGTTTGTAAATTTCTTATGTCCACCCCTATTATGTATAAAAATGTGTTAATGTAAGAAATTTATAAATTAGAGCAAATATATGTAGTTATAGAGAAATGATGGGATTTTTTTATGGGTCCCGTGGTGCAATTAATGTTAATGTAAGTAGCAAAATTCTCCAATACATTGCTAGCACCGAAAATATGGTTGCAACACAATCAATCTTATGTATATGAAATAAATACACTAAAGTTGAGCCCGTATTTATTTAAAAAAATAAAAAAAATTTGCAAGATTATTTAAGTGTATATTGAGTAAAGAATCTATCATTATATATTTGCAAACAAATTAAGAAACTTAATAAATAGCCTCCTTTTAATTGAAAAGTCATATTTGCCCTTTTGAAACTTTGAAGAAAGATAAAATAGTGGTACAAACAAATGAGCTTGAATTACTCAAAAAATAAATGAGCTTGAACAAGTAATGATATAGGGAAAAATTGGTTAAAACAACTATTATAATCTTGAAATTCTAATCTGATACTTAATACGTGAAAAACAAATTGGTTAAAACAACAATTATTTTGAAACGGAAGAAATGAATTTAAATTCTCAATCAATATAATTTGTCTCGCCTCACTATCCTCGGCACATTGACCAATGTCAATAGGTTGAATTTAAGTCCATATTTAAAGTATTTAAGATCCCAAAAACTATCTTATCAAATTGGGAATATATAGATACGTCCAATTAGGTATAATCACGTGAAATCACGTGCAAATCACATGAAATCAGATTTTAACATAAAAATGAACCCACATTATTGCTGGGAGTTGTTAAAATCACGTTAAATAAATCCTTAAAATATGCAAGAATGTTTTGTAATAAAATAACCCACATTAGATATTTTTTAGAGAAACTAAAGTAGCATAGTGAGAGTGACAAGAGTAACGCTGATTTCTTCGAAAATGACAAATGTCACATTCTACCTAATACACAAATTAGTGCACATTAAGCAAACAACTCAACCATGATTTATAATTGCATTTTAATTATTAAAAAAAACCATGATTTATGAATTATTTGTGTGGAAATGGGCCCGAAGGATTTGTTCATTTTCGTAATGGGCCCAAATCTCGATCCACTTGACCGTCCATCTTGGGTAGTCAATTATCTCCGTCTATCTGGTTCCAAAGAAATAATTCATTTAAATTCTACACCATGCTTGAATTTTCGTATTCAATCCACCAAAAAATGGTCGAGATCATACAATTTTAACACGCAACCATACAATTTTAGACATTACGAATTGTCAAATCGAGGCTAACCTCCAATGGACAGTCGAGATCAATCGATTGATTACCTGCGATCATCTTACAGCAAAGCACCATAATTCGATAAGATATATGTGATGAGGAGTACCTAGGAAACAAAGAGCAAGACGGTCAATTTACATACGGACAGAACATAAGGTTGTATTAAGATAACGGTATGTGAAAACATAAGGTTGTACTTGTACTGCTCACAGCAACGAAAAACCTCCGTAAAAAATGTCCGGATTCAATAATAATACAAGAAAAAGAAAATCGTTTAATTGATTTTTACTATTTGTGTAATACGGGGAAAATCGTTAATCGAATTCTGAGTTCCACTAACATATGATATGTGTAACTATACGAAGCCTGTGGCTGCAACTGAATATTTAAATACGGAATCTCTTATTCTTTTCCAGGTCCGACATTTATTGTCGAACTTCGGTAACTGGTAATTTCCATTTTAGACGCATCCAATACCAAAAAAAAAAAAAAAACTTTGTCGTATTTCAATCTAAAGCTCAGATCAGTCGTACGAAGAAGTATGCAGATTTTCAACATACCAGTCGCCAAATCAAACACTGTCATTCAAGACAATGTTGGGATCTTCTTCGTCGGAATCAAATTCCACCTGCAATAAAACGATCAAAACCATAAGTTCGTTAATCCGACTTCTTGAAAACTTACATCAAAACTAACATATACATACTAAACCGACATTTTCGTCCTTGAACCATCTGCCATGGCCGTCGCGCTTCCATCCGGCTTCCGTGAATTTGAGTTCCCTCTCGTTACGCTCCCGGTAATCCAACGGCTGCACCTCTACAACAACCGTGTCGTGTTTTTCTTCAATTTTAATTGGATTGACGGTTTCCGATTTCACCTCCTTCCGAATAAATTCACCGGAAAATACCTCGGAAGTAGCTTTCCGTGTTCGTTCAATCAAGGGTTTGTTCGATGTTTTCCGTGGTTTAATCGAAGCAGAGGAGGCAGAATTGATGCTAACAGAATCAGAAAATGCTAATCTTCTGTTAACTTCTTCTTCCCTAGCTAATTTTCTCTCTCTATGCTTCAATTCAGCTGATCTATGGCGTGCGCCATTCACATGTGTCTGTACAAAATAAAAATAAAAAATCCCCAAATTTTTTGAGCAATCAGAAACGGCGTCGTAAAACGGAATATGAAGAATGTAAATTCAACGTGATCTTACTGAGAGAGTTGTTGCGGTGTCGAGAACGGGATTATTAGGGCAAACGAGGCAAGCGAATTTGCCGCTGGGGAGCTTCTTGTAGAGGGAAGCTTCGACGTTTTCGATTAGCAAATCGTCGACTCTTCTTTTCCGGTGCTGCGCCTCCCTCCCCCAGCTATCGCCGCCGAACACGCTCATCGGAAAATAATTGGGGCAAATTTCCGGCTGGAAATTGGGCTTGCGTTTTCGTAAAATGATAGTCCAACTGGAAGTAATAGCACTTTGGGCTGGATTTCAATTTAGCACAACTAATGAACTGGATTTCAATTTAGCACAATTAATGGGCTGGATCTGAATAAATTCATCCCGCTAACATTTTTTTCTAGAATTTCTAAATCATAAACACACCCCGCGCGCACAGTGCTCCTCTCTCTCTCTCTCTCTCTCACACACACACACACACTCAAGGTGTAGTAGCATCGTCGCGAACACAGGTCACCGACTTCCGGTGACAGATGGCCCCACCGAAGCGGGCGGCGCGTGCAGTATCGCAGCAGGCGTTCGACGAAATGGTGCAGGAAAACATAGACGATCTCGGTATGGACCCCACTGAAGCTCTCGAGGACGCAATCCAGACCCTCACTCTTCAAGGCGTCGATCTCTCCGGTTCGTTTTAACTCCGTCGGATTATTTCAATTCCGTCCTCCGATTTCACTCAGTCATTACGATTACACCACAATCACGGCCACTCAATTTCTTTTCATTTTTGTTTTTTTTTTAATTTATTTTCCAGGTATTGTGACATGCGTTCCGGGAGAAAGCAATCCGGTGATGGAGTGTTTGGGGAAACTGAGAGAAGAGAAGAAATTTCTGGAAATTGTGGAACTGCTAGATGAATTGAGTATTCTGTGCAGCGATTTAGCATCGGGGAATGCAGCTATTGCCACAAAAAATGGAGCTGTGGAGTTGCTGATTTCCATTTGTTCGAAGCTGCGCGACGAGCGTGATCGGGGTTTGGCTTCAGGGCTGACCGCCATGGCTTCTGTGATTCATGGTATAAAACCCCCATAACATATTATTGCTTAGAAATACCCGTGTCTCATATTTAGATAGATTATTTTCATGAGCATTATGCAAATATATGTGAAAATAGTTTGTAGATTTATATCTATTCTTGAAGCTGTATTATACGAGATAGACAAAATTTGGGGTTAGTTTGCTGGTTATGAAGCCATTTTAGCTGTTTCGTGTTCTTGCAGATCTACAAAGTTCTGAAATATTCAAGGAGAATGGTGGCCCTAAAATTGTTGTAAATATCATAATCGACGAAGCAAAAGATGTGAAAATCTTGAATGGTTGTTTCTCAGTAGTTGCTGCAGCTGCAACTGGAAACGAAGTTCTCAAAGAGTCATTCATGGACCTTAAAATTGACGAGTTAATAGTCAAGATCCTGAAAGAACAAAACGGAGGGAATATTCCCAGCATATTTGATGCTATACGAGTCATCTTGTCATCTGATGACAATCGAGTTTTAGCCTCACAAGTAAGTCGATTGTATTGGGAATTTATTTGCCAGAGTAGTTTTAGATAGTTGACTCTATATATATCATGACTTTATTGAACTAACTATTTGGTTTCAGGTATTTGGTTATGCTAGAAAATTTTCCAAGTTAGGGATAGCAGAAGTTCTTGTGGATTCAGTTCGTGAAGGAATCAGTTCTCCCTGTCTAATATCGGCTAGCATTGCTTTGAAAGCTGTGGCTGTCAGCGTAAGTTTTTACTTGTGTCACCAAGGAGAAATATGACGGCATTATTTGATTGGTTAGTAATGCTTCATACTTTTTAAAAGGACTGAAGGTTTTCTAATTCGAAAAATTACGTCTGGTTCTTGTTGGGGTTTGTCCTGGTTGCACCATTGAAGTATCTCTACTGTAATACTAGAATTATAGTTCAAAAATTCTTGGTCTGGAATTCTTTCATCAATAAGTTTGATCTTCAAGGAAATGTGCAAAATGAAAAGTAAATAAGAAATCAAATGGCAATTTTCGATTTTCTTTTAGGTTTTTAGAATGATATAACTTTTGATTTGAAGCAACAACACAGTAAAATACCCTGTACTGGATTTCGACTTACTCTGTTTTTTTTTTTGTTGCAGGATGAGATTTGCAGGTCCATTGCTTATAGTGGGGGTATAGATGTAATTCTCCAGTGTATTGACGATAGTGGTCTGCAGCGAAATGACGAGGTGGCAAGAGCATGCTGCTCTTTGTTGTCTAAGGTGCAAAGCAAATTTTAACCATTCATCACATGCAAATATGCTAGTCTCTTATCAGTCTACATTTTCACTTATTAGTATTTGTTCAAGAATCAAGACCACCGTTAAGTTTGTGAATCCCATTTAAAGGTGACTCCTAAATAGTGTGTCTGTTAGCTTCCCGATTCTTGTATATTCGTTTCCAAAAAGAACTCGTTGTTTAACATCCTTTTCATATTCATTTCGCCGGTTATTTCGAAATCTTTTAACCATAATGTGTTTGATTAGCTTGCAGGAAGTGATGCGAACAAGAGCACGATTGTTGAAAAGGGTGGAATGGACAGGCTTATAAATCTTTCAGCAAGATTCTCCGATGATTCTTCTGTGCTGCAAGAGGTAAGCATTTAGTTTGCTGCAGAAACAATGATTTAATTCATATTTTGTCATCGTGCATCACAAAAAGTTGCGTTGACTTTTTGCCAGATCATGTCCATTATATGTACTCTCTGTTTGAGGTCCCCTGAGAATGCAGCACGTGCGATCGAATCTGGAGTTGGAGACTTTGTTGTTCAAGCTATGCAGAAGTTTCCAGAATCAGATCTGCTGCAAAGGCACTCGTGTTTCATGATCAGGAATCTTGTGGCTAGAAATCTTGAGAATAGGTAAAAGAAAAAGAGAAAAAAACAGTCAAATTTTCTGGTGGAGTGTGATTAATTATTAAAATAATTTTCTCCGATATATTGATGTATTTGTTTGGTATACAGAAAGATTTTACTTGCTATTGGCATCGAGGAATTAATCAGACGAGCGAAGCAAAGGCATAAGGGATGCAAAGATGCAGCCACGGATGCGTTAAGGGATTTAGGAGTCGATAATTATAACTCCTGAAGCTGAGAAACAAATCAGGTTCTACTAAATCAATTCATACCTTTTTTTCTCCGTTTTCTTTTTGGCTGAATTGTTGCATTAAAGTCGCGTATTTTTTCATATTTTTATGTATCCTATTCTGTGATATGCTTTCTCCTCATATGGATTCATGTGTAACAGACTCGAACTTCTCTGCATACAAATTATGATTGGATTAGAAAAAGAAAATGTTATTTAAGGTTTTAAATTTAACAGGAACCGATATATAGATCTCTAGTGACTCGATTATTCGCATTTGACATCTTCGAAAAACAAGTCCCTCAAAATTGCCGGTTAAGCAAAATGACTTGAGGAAGAACTTTTGGGGTGAGAATGGAACCAATTTTTCGAATTTTGGAGCAATATTTTTTTTCATATATATATATATATATGATTCTATTTCTGGTTTTCATTCTGATTTTAATTTCTGGAACATTGACTTCAAATATCAATATTCGTGTGTATTACTGTATTTAATATAATATTTGAATAAAAAAAATGGAATTTTCAAATTATGTCGATCCAATCCAAAACTTTCCGATCTAGAACAAGTTTTTTTCATTCAAAATTTGAATTTCTTATTTTAATTTTTAAAGAACAAAATGAGAATTAATTTTCACTTTGGAAAAATATTAGTCGGATTCCAACACTAGTCCAGATAGAATAAATAATATTGGTAGTCATCACTCATCAGCTAGTGCAAGTCTAAACTAAAAGAATTGTATGCATAATATATATAGAAAGTCCAGCCGAATAAATAAAAGATTTAAAAAATAGAAAATAAAGATTTGCATACTACTAAATATGGTGTCACAGAAAGATGTGGCCACCTCCCAATAGAAGAAAGCGGTGAGAAAGTGGGAAGTTGGGATCGGAGCCACGGCGGAACACTGCCGCGCCTCCGCCTTAGTGGCCGCTCCATATTCCCCGACAAAAAGCTGCTAACTCACATGGTCAAAGTCAAACCGAACCAAAGGAATCTCGATGCCAAAACTCTCGTGCGCGTCACGTGACATGATTGCCCCTGCTGGCCTGCATCATCACCACTTTGCCACAAATACTCCATGGTATTTATTTATTTATTTGTATTCCTCGATACGTTTCATTCTATATTTATATTAATTAATTTTCAGTCAAAAAATAAATAAATAGATTAAAAGGAAAGACCAAAGAATTTTGAGACAAATATAAATGGGAGTGGCGCCGCCCACTTTTCTAAAAAAGACACATTATTGCTGGAAATATTGACAATTCTTGATAAATTATTTCAATAGTGAATAAAGTTGAACCAAAAGTACATAGTTATCGCTATTTATTTATTTTATATATATATATATATATATATATATATATGTATAAACTAAATATCTATATTATATTGTACACTTTTTCTTTATTAATTTTGTATTAAAATATTTAACAAGACGGTTTATAATGCATAATTTTACCCAAGAATACTACTCTTTCTTCTTTAAATTATTATTTTTTTAAATAAAATTTTAATTATAAATATTAAATTCCGTATGATAGTGGCCAATAACAAAAAAGGGGTATTTCCACTTTAATAGGCTGTCACTAACTTATTAAAATTGATTGAAATAAATAGTAAGAAGCAAGCTACGAATAGCCTACTTGCCTCTGGTTTATTTACATTTATATTTATATATATATTTCGTATTATTTTTAATTTTATTTATTCTATTAAAGAACAGCAATAACATTTAATTTTAACAAGTTTTGAACCAACCAGTGATTAAAAGCGGGTCAGTGATAGTACAAATGTAATAAAAGAGTGTAACTGTAGAATGTACTTAGTTTCTGTACTACTACTTAATATACTAATGGAATATCAGCATTAATTATTAAAAACATATTCCCATTTTCACTCCCTTAATTCTCTATAACTGCATAATGCCCACATTGATTTACTAAATTTAATTAAAACACTCGCACTTTTATTGTAGGACGTAATAATTAGGGCAAATTACAGCCACCCCTGAGTAAGAGTCAATTTACAAAAACTTCTCTCATGTTTGGGTAATTACAGTCAGCCATCAATTATGTATTATCTTACCAAACGATCCCTCTAGATTTAATTTAGAGATGTTAATTCGGTAAAATCAAACCGAAATTTTCGGTACACAAACATGTCATACCGTTTACCGAACTAAATATACCATTTGGTTTGGTAAATAACCGAATGACATAATATTTTTGTAAAAATATTTCAAATGAGGGGTGGCTGTAATTACTTAAATAAAATGGGGTTTTTCGTAATTTGGTCATACCACGTGGGTGGCTAATTTGGCCTAATAATTATTATTGAACTAATTAATTATGAAGATAAGCAAAAATATTTTAATTCAAAAAATTAATTTTCTCTTTCCCCCAAATAGAAATTCAATAATAACAATAAAATAAATAATAAATAAAAAAACATTTTACAGTGAAACCTTGGATTAACGTACTGCCTCTACTCGTGTTGACGTCGACGATTAACGTTAGCTTCCTCGTCTCTCTCCTCCGGCGGCGCCGCCCTGGCAGCTTCGGCGGAGGAGCTGGTGACACTATGCTCCACCACCATGCGCGGCGGCGGAGGCGGGTCGACCCGCCCGTCAATACAAGAAGAGCATTTAGTCTCGACCCAGCCTTCAAAATCGTACTGCCCATAACCCCTGAAACCCCGACCCGAACAAAGCCGCCCAATCACCACCGCAATAGCGCCGAGTATAGTAATCACCGCAAGAACTCCGATAACGGGTCCGACCGACCCGTGACCCGGATTAGACGTGTACGTTTGTTGTTGTGCCATCTCCATCGGCGGCGACTGCTGTAAAGGGTCCAACACCGGCGGCGAGGTTGACATATATAAGCACTTTTTTTTTCTCTGTCTAAAAAGTGCTTAAAAATTAAAAAGCTGTTGTTTTGTGAAGTGGGTTTTATATGGATCTAGGTTTGAGTATATTCTTTTGTTGAGATAAAAAAGAAGAGAGGAAAAAAAGGGATCAAGAAGGAGGAGATTTTAATTTTAATTTTAATTTTAATTTTAATTTTAATTTCTTGGGATTATAAAAAGTTTGTTGATGCTCAAAAAAAGTTCATGTGTTACTGTAATAAAATTTACTCCGTGGAAAAGAAGAGAATGCAAGAGAGTTGTACTACTCGAACAAGTTATACTAGTTGTTACTACTACTTTTAAACATTTTTTTTTCTTTTTTCAGAACCCAATTATGTGTAATTATCTTTATATCGAAACCGAAACCGAACCCGAATCCGAAGCAGCTGGAAAAAAAAAGTGGTAAAAGGGAAAATTAATTATTTTTGGGTTTTTATTTTGCTTCTCTTAATGATTTATTTCATTAATCTTTTGGATGAAGTGATCGTTCAATAGTATGAATGTTACGACGAAATTGGATCGATTTTTCGGTACGTAATCACCATATATATTTTTTCGCATTTTTTAAAACGTGATTTGATTCACAAAGTTGTGTTTCTTGACATATTAATTTGGAAAAATAAATAAATAAAGAAATAATAAATTGTTGAGCATTTATTGAAAATGGTTGTGGAGATATATGCAGGTAGGAGCAGGCCTTGTTTCCACAGAGGCAAATTGATGCTTTTTTCAGTCTCATGTTCTGTTTACATCCCAATATTTTATTTTAGTATTCTCTATTCGGGACCACAATATTATTATATTTGCCAAATTACGCCCACCTCTGAAGTATGTTTAAATTACTAAAGAACCCCATCATGTTTCAATAACTACAATCAACTTCCTCAACTAAGTATTGTCTCTCACAAAAAGCGCAGCTATCTTCTTCCAACACTCTCCTTTTCAATAGATTATTTCGAGTAGGTAGCAAATTTTTGCATGCCCTCCAAAGAAAAATCTTGACCTTGTTCGGGATATTTAGATCCCATAACCATTTCCACACCCCCCTTTCACGAGCGGACGAACTATTACCTGGCCTTCCTTCCACTTCATAGTTAATTTTAATCGCAAGGTGGTAAGCACTACGAACTGAAAATAACCCACTTCGGTTATAATGCCAAATACACCGATCCTCATTAAATCTGCTTCCAAGAGGTATAGACAGTATACTCTTGCTATCTTCTTCGTAGAAACTATCTTTAATTAAATCAAACTTCCATTGGCCACTAACTCCATCAATTAGTTCACTCACCGTCGTCGTGGACGGCCAGTCACCTCTCGGAGTAAATATTTGAAAGGTACTTTCTCGAGGCAGCCATTTGTCTCCCCAGATTTTAATAGAACGACCATCTCCAATTCGCCACCGCAGCCCAGCCTCCAAAAGATTTTTCGCGCCCCAAATACTTCTCCATGTATATGATGGGTTCGGTCCCAAGGCTGCTCCAAGAACATTTGAATTTGGAAAATATCTTGCTTTGAAAATTTTGCCCAAAAGACTTTCGGAATTTTCCAATAAACGCCATAGCTGTTTTGCTAGTAATGCCGTATTAAACGCTTCCAAATCCCTAAAACCAAGCCCACCAAAATGTTTACTCATGCAAAGCTTTTTCCATTTTGTCCAGTGAATACCTTTACCATTCGCGTCCTCCCACCAAAATTTTGCTATTTTGTTTTCAAGATCTTTGATGAAAAAATCCGGCAATCTAAAACAGCTCATTGCATACGATGGGATTGCTTGAATTACCGCTTTAATTAGGATTTCTTTACCACCTCTTGATAGCCATTTTTCTTTCCATCCATGAAGACGTGAGCACACTTTATCAAGGATGTTGGCGAAAATTTGGCGTTTGGATTTGCCGACAACTGAAGGAAGCCCAAGGTACTTCCCGTGTTTGTCCACCACTTCCATTGGAAGAACTAAACGAATCCTCTCCTTCACTGGTTCACTTGTATTCTTGCTAAAGTCGAGGGGAAGACGTTATGCATTGTTTGTTCTATTGCTCGTTATCTCGACAAATATGGGCTATGAGTGATGTTCCGCGGTCAAGTTATTTAACGACGACAACAGACATGAACGAATGGATGAGAGAAATCAGAACCAACTCCGAGACTATTATTGTCGAAAAATGTGTTCTGCTTTGTTGGCAAATATGGAATGCTCGAAACAAGAAAATTTTCGAAGGGGATGTTCCAAATGCCATGGATATTGCAAATCTATCGAAGAAGTTGTGGAGCGAAATACATGAAGCCACAATAGAGGTTTTGCGCCCAAGAATTCAGAGGACTAACGAAGATGGGCGATGGCTACCCCCTAATCACGATGAAGTGAAACTAAATTTTGACGCGGCAGTGAATAATGTTGACGGCGTATGCAGCCTAGGTGTGATTGCAAGATCGAGTACGGGCGCATGTCTAGGATGGATATCTAGAAGGATAAAACAATATTTGGATCCGACATCGGCGGAGGCTAAAGCAGGATTAATGGCAATGGAGATGGCTAAAATCCACAATTGGGAAAATATAATATTAGAAGGCGATTCCTTAGTCGTAATATCAGCAATTAAAGATGCCTCGAGTTCTCGAGCAGAATATGGTAACATTATAGCAGATATACAGAGGTTGGGAGCAAGTTTACTGAAGTTTAGAGCTCAACACGTTCGGCGAAATGGTAATAAAGCAGCCCATGCAATTGCGGCTTTGTCGAAGAAAAAATCAAACTTTGTTCGTGAATTACCTGATGTGGTTTTGGATATTGTATCTTCTGATATGTCTGAATGAAAAGCTCTAATTCTTTCTCAAAAAAAAAAAAAAACTAAGTATTGTCTCACGGCAAAACCCTTTATTCAGTAGGTAAATTCGACAGTGTAAAAGTGAACGTGTAAGATAATACATAATTGAGGAGAGTGATTATAAATTATAATTACCAAAATATGAAGGGAGTTTTCGTAATTTGAACATATCTAGGAGGTTGGCCGTAATTTGACATATTATATATCTCTCGATCAGTTATTGTATGTTCAATTTTGATTTCAGACTTCGTTAAATTTTGATTTCAAACAATTTAGTCCCAAAAGATTGGAGTGAAAAATTAAAACTTGTCAATTAGTGGATCTTGAGCTTAAAAATTGCAATATAAGAGGAGGTTTTATGCTAAACTTTAAAAGTCCGATGAATTTAGCAATTCGAAATAACACAGAGGGCCGTTTTGCACTCAACTCTTTTACGATTTCAAATCGATCTTTCTTGAATTTTTAATTTTTAATTTTTTTCCTGAATAAAAATGTGCAAATCTCACTTATTGATAATCTAAATATTCCAAGAAGATCTAACGAACGAAAGAAACAAAATAAGTTGTCAGGGATTTAAATAGCAGAGAGGGGCAAGAGAATCTCAGTATAAACAAGAGAATATTTATTATTTTTTTTGGATGGCATATGTGATTTTGGTCATATTCTTGAATTTTGATTATTATTTATTAATTTATTATTATATGTTATAAGTTACAAACACACACAGAAACACACAGTGGGATGTGAGATTTTCTTGATAGACAGACAAGAGGACAGAAAATCTCAATATATAGTACAAAGGTTTAGTCAAAATCAATAAACATCCCAAACAGCTTTTTCTTATTAATTTATTGCTTCTTATATTTATATTTTTTAATTAACTTGGCCTTGTCGCTTTTCTATTGATTTCTTCTGCTTCTGCTCATATTCCTTTTATTTATTTAAAATATATATTTCTTTATTTTGTTGAAAATATATTTTTATATAAACAAGTACATATGAAGCAGCTTATATAATTATTTATTTATTTTCCCGGTGTGGTCAATTAACTCCTTATTTTTTTTTTGATAAGTGGTCAATTAACTCCTTAATAGTTGACTGTTTTAGTACTATGTTGAATAATCATGTCATTTAAATTTTTATTTTAAACCATTAAAAAATATTATGTTTTGTTTTGTTCTTTTATCTCTACTAATTTTGTAATTTCTTTTTCTTTCTTATCATGATGAAAATGCAACTGCTATAATGAAATTTAATAGTAATTAACTAATTGTTTATTTTTCTTATTATAATTGTTATTGTCGTGTATTAAATTATATGAAAATACAATAACCGCCATAATCAACAATTAACTTGCAATTTTTAAACAAAGATAGCCTTTTTATTTCTTTTTTTTTTCAAACAAAAAAAAAGCAGTTGAAATATGATTAAGGGACTTTATTAATTGTATTATTATTATTACAACATATGATTATTTCATGCAAATTCCTAATCAATAAATTAAACCTAATTCACAGAGCTACACTTCTTTCTAACTTGTCCACCACCACCACTACTAATCACTCCAATTCTACTAATCTTCACCATCGAAGCTGCGAAATCTCGTGCGAATAAATTCGGATCGACGCTATAATCCTTAACCATCGAAGCTGTTTTCGGATCTCCGACCAAAGCCTGGTCCGATTCGAGAAGTCCTGTGTTGTTAACTAGGTTCTTGTAATACATATTATCAAAACTGTTTATCGTCTGCGAATCCAACGGAGCAAGTTTTGTGTTCGATTTATCGGTATTCGGACAAGAATTCCGCAAACTCGAGAGGACCGAAGAATCGAGAGTTGGGTCCGGTTTGCCCGACCCTTTGAAGTTGAATAGCCTCCTCTTGAATGTGAAGCATTGAGCAAAACCTATAGTGTGTGCACCTGCAATAAATACACGTGTTACATAGAAATTAATAATAATAATAACTAGGGTAAATTACGGCCACCCCTATGGTATGACCAAATTACAAAAATACCCCTCTTGTTTGGGTAATTACAACCACCTCCCTCCTTTGAAATATTTTTATATAAAATTTATGTAATTCGGTTATTTACCGAATCAAATCATATATTCAGTTCGGTAAATGGTATGAAATGTTGGTGTACCGTAATTTCGGTTGGGTTTTAACGATTTAACATACATAAATTTACTTCTAGAGGTGCATTTTCGTAAGACAATACATAGTTGAGGGGGTGGCTGTAATTACCCAATTATGAGGGGGATTTTCGTAATTTGACCATAACTTAGGGGGTGGCCGTAATTTAAAAAAAAAAAGTAATATTAATAATACCTGATAAGACAACCACATCCTTGAGATCAAGACCCTTTGAGACAAATTTAGAAGTGATATTTTCAAGAGGTTCAAATGGTGAAGGCAATTGTTCATTTGCTGATTTTGCACTTGCTGTTAGCCCATCCAATCTTCCTAGTGGAACTTCCCAAAATGGCCCTCCTGACTACAATTAATTATAAATAAAAATATAATTAAATAAACTCCCTAGAGTATACAATATAATTAATGAAGTAATTAACACATAAAAGAATTTATCATACAAGAACAACAGCTTCTCTAGCAGCAAGGGCTAATATGTCGACACACGACACAATCGAGGGGCAAGATTTCTCAACCTCCGCCTTTATGTTTTCGATTACATCGTACCCTCTAACCGAATTACGGTTAGGCACAGCGTTCTTCTCTCCCTTGAAGCTTTTTGTGTCATCAAGAAGTATAGAACCTTCACAGCCCTATACATATACATACATATATATATGTTAAAAAATATGTAAACAACATAATTTATAAGTAATAATATTATTGATCAAGAATTGAGTAGTTATTACGTCTACGAAACAGTCGTGGAAGTGCATGCGAAGGAGCGAAGCTCCGATTCGGGTGTCGTTCTTGAACGCTGACAAAACACCCCACCTCACTATCATCGACAAATTAGGACAAGACTTATCGTAGAAATTGCAATTTAGTGGATCGTCGTCGGGTTTTTCGTAATGAGTACGGAGAGGTAGAGCATTGACCGAATGGAAGACCATGCACAGAAAAACTGCAAGATAAAAGGTTTTGTGATCCATTATTGATGCTTGATTGTGAAAGTGAAAATTAGGGTTTATGATATGATTTAGTGGTGGAGTTTGCTTCAATTTATAACCAAGAAAATAAATTAAAAAATATGGGATTTATTATTTAATATATATTATATTATATTATGTTATGTTATTGAAGAGAAATAATTAATTGGTGGGATTGGAGAGTGGCATTCCCACTTAGGTTCTTGAAGAAATTTATTCACGCACCATGTTCTTGATTAATAATGTAATTAATATGTGTTTTTTGATTTATTATTATTTTTATTTTATTTTTGCATGTTGTGAGAATTCTTGCACGTGACATAAGGCATAGGCTGCTTGTGATTTAGATAGATTAAATAAAATATATGTTGTAATTGTTGTTGTTTACGTATGATTTGCACAAAAAAAATTAAAATATATAGTGCAACATGCGAACATATATGTGAAAGTGGTATATTGCCTCAGCTGTACTTATCTAGGATCTTAGTATAAAAGAAACTGATAAAAAAATAGGGTAAGTGACGGAAACCCCTGAACTTAGGATAAATTACAAAACATACCTCCACCTATTCGTAATTATCAAAAAATCACTGACGTTCGTTCCCATCTAACACCGACCTCTTTACTGTGTATTTTTCACGGGATCTTTTTTATTCCATTGAATATTTCGTGAAAATTGTTAATTCTACCCTTGCAGACGTGACATTTCTTTATGCTACTTTTTGAAGACAAGAAGTTGTGAAGGTTTTATTGAAGAAGAATAAATATTCCGTGTAAAGGATCCCCTAAAGTTAATTTTGTCTTTTAATTAAAAAGTAGCATAAATAAATGCCACGTCTGCAGGGGTACAATCAGCATTTTTTTCGGGAATAATCCCTCCACAAAAAAAAGATTCCGTGAAAATTACACTATAAGGGGTTCGTTCGGTGTAAGACAAAAACAAACATTGGGGGGCTTTGGTAATTACATATAGGTGGGGGTGTTTTTTGTAATCTAGCCTAAGTTATGGGGGGTTTCGTAATTTTCCCAAAAAATATTGAATTAACAGATTTTTAGCATGTGGTTAATTAACAAAAACAAAAAACAAATTAAAATAAATTAATTTGTGGTGTGCAAGTGGAAATCAGATGTCAAAATTGCATTCAGTTATTGATGAATATTGTGCTTTGTGACAATGCATATGCTATTAAGGATACTGACAAATGTTGCACTTGCACCACTTTTATTTTATTAAATCAACAGAATTTAAGCTCTAAACGGCTCTATAATTATATATATAATATGAATTAATTGCATAAAACTCCTTGTGGCATTTTGAATTTGCTAAAAAGTTATGCATGTTATATTTATTAGCATAATATCCCCCTATATTATGTTTTTTTTAGGGAGACTTTTTGTCTTTGATTTTTCCAACACCGATGGAGGGGCTGTTTGGTAATAAAACTAATGCGGTGGTTTTTTTAGCAAATATGGTAAATACAGAGGTGCATTATGCAATATTATTATTTTTAATTAGGGAGTATTTGGTAATAAAAAATAGATCTCGAACCCATATGGGCTTGATTGAGCCCAATAAGAGTATAGTGAGATTTTTTTACACATGCACGAAAAGCCCAAGTTATTGGGTAGAGATGGGCCGAATCATTTCATATTATGGGCTTTCATAAATATTAATAATGATTTTTTTTTTTATTTAGAAATAACAGTGTAATTTTTCCACCAATAGTATGACGACATTTGGAAAGAAAAAGGTGATGGTGAGGTCTTATCCATCATAATTCATGTGAAATAAGAACGTGCACCATTTCAAATGTAGAATTTAGGATAATTACATACATAAGCATACAAATATCTTCAAATAAATAATTGCCACTAAATAAATATTTCCATATAAAAGAATATATTCCATCAAGTAGAATTTTCCACATGAATAATTGAGTATGTTTTTTTTTGTAAGGTAATTTTATGCTCAAATTATTTTTTTATTGTTTATATGTTTTTACATAATGTTGAACATATTTATTGAAAACTAAGAAGAATAACAGATTATTCATCTTTTAAATGGATTTAAATGTACCTTAACAGATTGTTCTATGTGCCAACATTCAGATCAATGTCCAAGAGTAGTGCGTTGCTTTGATTGCAGTCTTGGAGTTGGTTGTTGCATTTCGACGTGGATGATGTTTAGAACATAATCTATTTATTTTTATGTACATTTTTTGTTGATAAAATAAGATACAAATTTGTTCATTTTTCCTCCACCGTACTTGTGTTCCATTCTCGACATTATTAGTGGGTTGATTTTCTACATTAATACATTTTAATTTTCTGAATTAATCCCAATATCACACGGATGAATTACTAGTTTCCAAATAAAAGAATATTTTCCACAAATGAAAATATGGTTCTGAAAATCAATTAAGAATCACAAAGGGAAACCCTTGAGTGTAAGGAAGAGCTATTTAATTAGTTGGTTTTAGATCCCTATCACTAAAATTATCTCTAATTGTTGCCATCTAATCTATATTATAATGGATCTATCAATGTGGGGTTACCTCATTATATCTTGTCTTAAAGATTCGTTTTTCTCCATTATCTTGTTTGTGAAAAGGACTGTTTATCAAGTACTTTGGATAAGTATCACATCCCATTTCATTTTTTTTTTCCAAATTGCAATTTTATTCTCTTAGTGAGTAAAACGCTTTTGCAATTTGATCCTGCTCAAATGTCTATCGGGTAACTCAAGAGTCTTTGAGCCCACAAGAGTAGAGAATGTCGAGATACTGCCACGCGTCCGAGGTAACCATAGGACCGCTCCATTCTCTACTCTTGTGGCTCAAAGACTCTTGGGTTGCCCAATAGACATTTGAGCAACATCATTTTGGCGTCGTCTGTGGGAATGGAAACTAGATCGCATGTCACCTAGTGTTTTCAACTGTTTTGTAGGTTAACGAATGGAGCGGTCCCTTTGACTACCTCGAACGCGTGGCAGTGACTTTCGGCATTCTCTACCCTTGTATGCTCAAAGACTCTTGGGTTGCCCAATAGATATTTAAGCAGCATCACAATTTTTTTGAATTTAAAAACACAATTTAACGAAATCAAGTAAATACTAGGTTTGGAATATATCAGGCATTAAAAACTAGCATGATGTCACGACCCGCCAATTTTGGTCCAATCATTTGCCAGTTTCCTTTGGATTGGAAGATTAAGAAGTCAAAACTAAATCCAAATAGGGTTATGTCCAAGTTGGCCCAAATATATAGAAATATGTAGAGATTCTTGGAGTATTCTAGAAAGTTTTCTAGAACTAGTAGATATTTTGAAGAATTTTAGCCCAAATATATAGTAATATGTAGAGATTCTTGGAGGATCCTTGAAAAGCTTTCTAGAAGCCTCCCATTATAGATGTTTTATAGGAATTTTTTGGAGTGTTCTAGTAAATCACTCCTAGCTATTAGATCAAATAGATTTCCACCGTCCATTATAGAGATGGTCTAGTACAAATAGGAATAGGGTTCTCATTTGTAATCATCCAACAATAATCCAACAAATCTTAGACATTCAAGCAGTAAAAATACTTTTCTACAAAACTCTCTTATCGTCTTAGGTCCTTTCTTTGTTTTCCATCACTTAGCCATGACAATGAGTACAACTTAATGGGTTCCGAAGTCTGAGAATGATAAGTTGTGAAGTCCTTTCTTTGTTTTCCGTCACTTAACCATGACAATGAGTACAACTTAATAGGTTCGGGATTCTGAGAATGATAAGTTGTGCAGATCGAGTACTATTTCTTTGTTGTTAAGGGAATAAGTCCATGACAATGAATACAACTTAATAGGTGCGGATCGAGTACTATTTCTTTGTTGTTAATAGGTTCCGACTTCTGAGAATGATAAGTTAGCGTGGGAATATTCAACTTAAACTTTGAATTAATATCTATAAAGATTGAAAAAAAAATTAAAAGAGAGTTTTAATACTTGATTATTAGTTTATTTAGACGGCCGCAATAAATTATTTAATAATTAATTTCCCTTAATCCTTGGAAAAGTAAACAATTAATTTCCAAAAGTAAATAATTAATTTTCACGTGTAAATAATTAATCCTTTGAAAAGTAAATAATTAATTTCCAAAAGTAAATAATAATTATTTCCACGTGGTAAATTATAATAAATTATTTAATAATTAATTTCCCTTAATGCTTTGAAAAGTAAATAATTAATTTCCACAAGTAAATAATTAATTTCCACGTCTAAATAATTAATCCTTTGAAAAGTAAATAATTAATTTTCAAAAGTAAATAATAATTAATTTCCACGTGGTAAATTATAACGCTCTATGAGATAAGATCTATTTATGAAAAAATCTCTTATTTTTCTATAATTATGTCAAACCCCTTTCAATTTGTAGATTTCTTACAATAACACCCTGGTCCCTGAGATAAGATCTATTTATGAAAAAATCTCTTATTTTTCTATAATTACGTCAAACCCCTTTCAATTTGTAGATTTCTTACAATAACACCCTGGTCCCTGAGATAAGATCTATTTGTGAAAAAATCTCTTATTTTACTATAATTACGTCAAACCCCTTTCAGTTTGTAGATTTCTTACAATAACACCCTTTTGTAGGGTGTGGATGTAAGAAATTTACAAACTGCAGGGGATGGATGTAATTTCTCAAAAATGAGGGGTCTTTCGTAATTAGACTTTAAGTGGTTGTGATTTAAACTTAAGTTTGGTAAATTAATCAGTAAGCACAAATGATATCAAGAAATGGACTTTAAAAAACTAGAAGTTCCTTATGAAACAAGAACAAACGATAGTTAAAAAAAACTAATTATAAATAAATAAAAAAGCCGGTAGCAGGTAGAAAAACCTGCAAAAATTTCTTACACTCTACCTCAAGATTTTTTTTATATGTATTGTATATATAAAATCGATTATTACGATCGAAGTCGTGTCCCGTTAATCTCTCTTGGTATCTGCAAAACTCATTGGTGTGATGTATATAAAAATTATGAATCTCTCACAGATAAGTGAGTGTGGCTCTCAGATTTGTCGTCGTCTTCGTATTCACTGCTATACCCTACAGATGAACCACCTAACTGAAGAGGTCCTTCAGGTGAACCAGACTGGCAGTTGTTCTGCTTTGACGATTCGCCGCACTGTTCTTGTGACATCCACATACCACCAGATTTTAATGTTGCTTTTCGAGTGTGGAGCCGAAATTTCTGAAATCGGAACAAAAATTAAAATAGCATGAGTTTTGCAGATGAAGTGAATGGAACAGAACAACACTACATAAAAAGAATAAAACGCACTTGCAAATGACTCTTCACTTCATCATTAGTGAGACCATCGACTTGCATATGGTCTCGGATTTGCTTAGGAGTAGCAGCTGTGAAGCAGAGAGCAAAATTGAATTAGAAAGCGCCACGAGAAAAAACTAAGGCTAATTCAAAGAACTGAACTTAGAAATATACATTCAACATTATTTCGATTATGAAATACAAGATGCAACACTGAATTGAAAATAAAATATTTTGAGGTGTTCCATACTAGTTACTATCCGCAATATTTTTTCGTCAAATAACTCAACTAAGATACCAGCAAGAACTATAGCCCTTGTTATAAGTTTTGCAATACGATAATCGAAAATACCAAGCCGAAAACATGAAAAGGAAATCAAATCCAAAATATAAAAACACTTTGCTTTAATATATCATCATAAATCTGGTTAAGATTTTATCCCAACTATTCTTGATCTACACTAAGAATAATTAATCCAACTAACAAGTTTACGAGTTTCGAACCTTGAGAACCACCAAGGCTCTGCAGGGCATTGACAAACTTGCGATGCAACTCAGGCGACCAGCATCTTCTTTGCTTCCTAGAATTCTGCTGCTGTCCAGATTTCAAACTCGACCGAATATTAGTTGAGGAAAGCGATCCTAATTTGCTAGAACTGGATTTTGGGATAAAACTAATAGAGGTAATCGCATCCATCGAATTCTTGATTTCAGGTGTACAAAGAGACAGCTTCGGAACAGTCAACACATTCTTATCCTCCTTCCCCACAGTCATCACCGGAAAATTCGCACACCCTTTGAAAGGCACAAACGCTCTCCCCACTGTCCTGATTTTACCACTCTGGGATAAATCATCCATCACCCCCCGATTCACTTCTTCTTCCTTTCTCTATTCATCACACAAACAAAAAAAACATAAATAAACACAATCCCTGTAAAAAATGACAAACATTTGTTATCTATGTTGCTACCTTTTTCTTGTTCTCTGGTTTTAAGCTCAATTTGTTGTTGTTGAAATCGGTATCTGGATTCTGGTTATTAGCGTCGGAGTTCCATAGCTGAACAGAGCTCATCCAATTCATTTTCTCTTTGCTGCTAACATCCTTATCCTTTTCTTTGTTGTTGCCTTCAACTTTATCATCATCCTTTTCATCGGTGCAAATTTTCTTCAACGGTATGAATTCTTCCAGCACCGGCGGCTCGGCGTTACATTTCTCGAGCTCAGCCATCTCCTCCTTCATCTTTCCAATCTCTGCAATAAATTGAAATCAATTACGACCTAAATACAGAGTTCAAAAAAAATCAACCAAAATCATTCGTTTCCACAAATTCCATACACACAATTAATTTCACGGAAGAATGAAAAAAAAATTCTGAAAACAGAGACAAACAAAAATAAAAAATCCGAAACAAAAAATAAATTAATAGATGAGAAAATGAATTCACCTTCCTTAAGGAGGCGCATGCAATGAGGGAGCTCGCGTTTAAAACCGCCGATCTTGTTCATCTCATCCTGCAGACTGTTAACGTAATCGACGAGCTCCGAAATCTTCTCCGATAGAGCTTCACTCCTCGAAACTTGTGCAGAGATTCCGCCGATTGTTTCCTTATAGCACGAATTCGGTGAAAACCTACAATCTAAGGTGAGTTCCGACGAAAATAATGATGCCATTATTCTGTCAGATCTCCGATCTTCTCCTAATTTTCGTTTTCTGCTCTCCGATCAATTAATGTATGTATGTGTGTATGTATATATTTTCGTGCGTTAAAAATGAGTGTGAAAATGGTGGGGAGAGAGAAAGAGTGGGGAATAATAATATTGGAATGGGAAAAGATTCTGTTGAACAACGCCGAGTTTTGACAGAGGTGAGGCCGATATTTTTGCTGCGTGTGCTGTGTGTATATAATAGATACAGATAATTCTATTATATATATAGTATATAAATATATTTTATTTATATTTAAATAGGAAAAAGGCATTTTCAAGTCCTCGCATATTTGTTTTCCTTTTCTTTTCTTTGTATTGATAATCTTTTGCGTTTTCGAATTTCGGATCTTTTATCTCAAAGAATATTCTCATTTACTTCCTTTTTTCTTTTAAAAAATAATAGAATAGTATTTTGACTAATTATATATATATATATATATATATGTATAGTTAAACATCTATAAATTAATACATCAAAATTTCATTAATTTAGCGAAATATTAACTTATCGATAAATTAATAATTATTAATTTATACATTAATTAATAACTTATTAATTTATGAAATTACTTTTATTATTATTTTCAATAAAACATTTAGTTTTATTTTTTTACGTGTATATTATTTATTGTACCATTCGTTCAATGCACTATAGAGCCCGTTTCACGAATTGAAGCTCTTAAAACAGTAATGGTATAGAACGATTATGTTGAGTTATGAGAAAACTATACCAAAAGTTATAACCATGTTAAGAAAAGTGAGGGACGAGATTGATGATAATGTGAACTTCTACAAGATTCAAGCGAGAATTAAATTATATTCTATTAAGCCTTCATAGATCTATAAAATATGCACTGTACCATGTAATTTAAGAATTATTTCTATGCATTATTAATTTATATATTATATGGGGCTTCTTAAAATTTTCGAATGTGTATTATCTTATAAATTTAGCGAATTATTAATTTAGCACGTTTATCCCCGAGTCGGGACCGGAAAAATATATTATTTAAGCGAGGTTATTAATTTATCGGGTATTAATTTATCGATGTTCTACTGTACATATAAAAGAGTAGTACTATTTTAAAAGAAATAGTGGAATAAAAGTCGATGTTAAGATATACTTTTTATTACGACGTAGTAAATTCCACTTTATATCTTTGAAATATAGAATTTAAGTACACTGAACACAAAATAATATTTTGCACCATACAGTAATAGCTTATAAGCTTATTATCCAATCACTTAAAAAAATAAGACGTAACAACTAAAATAAGTTATCAGATGTAAGAGCGCATCATCCGATTAAAGCAAGTTTAGCCAAACAAACTCGTAATTAGGGTAACTCGATAAGCCCCTTAATCATTCTCGAACCAATCAACAAGTGGATCGAGGCCATTAGGTTTTCTACTACAAGCCCATTAAGCTTTTTAGTTTTTAAATAAATAAAAATAATAAATATATTTGAAATTTAGAAATTACTTTTAATCAAAGAACCTTCCTACGGTGGTCCCCCGCCTTCCTTCTTACAAGATTCACCACGTAATTTGGTGTCACATTGTCATTCATTCAGCCATATGTTTGTTGTTTGGAAAGAGAATAATATGAAATTGGAAATTGGAATTGTACAAGTGTGGGATACCTAAATGACTTTAGGGTTGAGCAAATTCGAAAAGAGGACAGCCAAACAGTCCCTATCAACACTATTCATTCATACACCCCTCACTATAGCTACAAAAGCATCTTTTTTTTTTTTTTTGTTTTAATTCACGTGATGGTTGGGAAGCAAAGCAAAAACCTATTGTTCACGGCATTTCTTGTGACACTTTTCTCTTTGTTCTCATTATTCTCCCACCTTCTATCGAATCTTTCTCTACTTTCTTTTTAGGGGCATTATTGTCATTTCACTTGATTGGATCTTTGTCTACTTTTCTTTTGGGAATTGTTGGTATGGTGGATCTAGACTTTTTAAGCATTAGCAAGAATTCATTTTTTTTAACTATAGGCGAATTACGGTCAGTCTGTTCGACTAAAATTACGAAAAAAACCTCACATATCTGGTAATTATAATCACCATTAAACACTCATTCTTTTGGTGTCAAATTTACTTACTGAATTAGTAGATTTTTTCGTAAGATTATACATAATTGAGGATGATGGTTGTAATTATTCAAACATATCGTAATCTGCCCCTATTTACTATAATGGTCAAAATCGAATTTTAACCCATCTTGGAATCATTATTTATTTGGGACATAAATCATGACGGTTTCTTTAAAATAAAATGAATTTTTGGATGAATTAAAACGTGACAAATAAATACTTTCATGTGTTAAATACATGTGTATAAATTTGAAAAATTGTGGATGAATAGAATTTTTTTATTTTCTGTGCGTGTGAATTTGTTAACATGAAGTGTCAAATATTAAGTGTTGAAATTTCTTGACAAAAGGTAGAAAAAAAAAAAAAAAAGAGTGAACATGTGCAAGTGGAAGGTAAAGCAAACGTGGCAGTGTGTGAGTGGGGGAAGATCTGTCGATTCCATTCGCCGCATATTCAACGGCTGTGCTTCATATCCTAGCATTCCTAATATTTCAAAGGGCCCCACCATCTTTAGATTCTATTTCCCATTTAATTTCAATTTTTAATTGGTAAGAAATTGAATTTTTTTTTTTTTTTTTTTTTTTTGTGGTTGGACCAAACACAGCTCAAAGAAGTGAAAAGGCGTGAAGTGCAATTTAGGGCCTTTCCCGTGGCTCACGGTCACGCCACCATCATTTGTTCCTTTCTTTCATTGTGGCAATCAGTGCGCTGTTTGCCACACCTAATTAATTTCCACTTTATTTTTTTTTTTTATTAAAAACTTATTATTATTAAAAAGAAATTAAAAAAAAAATGCTTGATTGGCCACCTTTTGCATCCAACTTTTAGTTGGCAAAAGCAAAACCCTTTTATATGGACAACAATCAACACATGACATATTATTTAATTTTATTATTATATTAATTATTTTTTTTCCCGGAATATATCAGTGAATAAATATTTGGGCTTTTATTTACAAGATTTTGGTAATATATATAAAACCGTAATTTGGCCTTTTATTATGAATTGGGCTCTAGTGAGCGCCCTTGGTAATTCATGGCCCTTTAATGATATTCATCAAGATTTTCAAATTATCCCCTATATTGCATTGCAGTCCCTATATATTCATGCTATATCAAAACCCATCCAAATCCATGCAACATTTTCACTCAACAAAAATATCATAAATAATAAATCAGGAACCAAATACACAAAAAGAAATTTTGATCTCCCACATACTCAAATTGACAGTGTTGTTCGCACTTCTATAGCATCTTGTTATAACTTATACGACTTTCCGATATGATCCATGTTAGATGAAAACTGTGTTACACATGCAATGCAAGATTTTAAGGAATCTACGAAAAATACGATCATGTTACTACTGTTGTCATGAGAGTTAGCAGAAAATAACTGTTTTAACTGCGCCAGCATTTTACCTTAGATTACTAAAGTGTCGACATCGAGAACAATAAAAATTCAACTTAAGCTGCAGAGTCAAATGTGGGATTTAAAATTGAACATAAAAATAGAGTTACCTTTGAGTAGTGTTGAGACAGTGAATCCATTGAAATAATCGACTTCAAAAAGTTTTATCGATTTCTCATCACATAAGACCCACCCTTCTCTTATCAGATGGATCCTGAAAACGAGGTATATTTGATTTATTCGACAGTTAATTAAATTTGGTGGGCTTCACTTGAAAAATAAAACGTAGATCCAAATGAGTTACAAACCTGCAGATCGTTTTCTTTTATGTATTGCCCCCTTTTTGGGTTGTTTACCTTTCGTCTTTGGCTCATCTGAGAAATAAAATATTAGAAGCATTCCAACACGATTTTACGGCAAAATTCAACCAATGGATATTGCAATATTCAATTCTTCCCCAGTGAAACTCACTTTTTTCTTTGTCTTGTTTGCTTTGCCGTTTCCTTTGCGCAGATTTGACTGGAGTGCCTGCATCGTTAACCATGGTTTAGTCACTAATAATAATTCTACAACAAATCTGTAACTAAGCAGAGCAGAATCTCGATTACAATTGATATTAACAATTTAACATAATAAACTCCCATATATCTTCGTACGAATACATAAAACCCGAATTTAAAAGCTTCTTACATGGAGATGTAGTTACAACTTCATCGAGCGGCCAAATATGCTTGGACAATGCTTTGTTCATTTTAAACATATCGACACTCTTCACGCGGAAAATCTGATGCAGAGCATCGTCGCATAAGATCTTTCTCCTATCCTTTGGATTTTGCAAATTGTGCTCCCTTATATACTCCCAGAGTTTCTTTACAACCTAGAAAACAAGACGAAGATCAAATTATTTGTTATATTTATTTTTACCACGAAACAATTATCACACTGGCAAACCTACCGCAGTCCTGGGTAGCTGTGAAACCCCAAATAATTCCTCGAGTTGTGGAGAAAGTGCACATGGCTTACAGAAGCCGCCTCCTTTCTTCTTCACATCTGTAACTCTACTGGAGGAAGTTGAAATCGCATATCATAAGATGCTTTTCTCGCAGATTTACAACACGAATTAAGACAGAAAAGATTGAATTTTTATTTTTTTTGGTTAATTATTATATAAAAAAAAAATAGAAAAAAAAATCGGCTGACCTAAAAAACTGCGGAGCAAATAAGAGAAGGGGAAAATCAAGAGCAAGAAGAATCACCTCTGTTTTCTCTTACTCACTTCGTCTTCATCTTCTTCGTCAGAAGCTTCTTCTTCTTCACCATTCTCATCCGCTCCCGTATTTTCCTTTTGTCCTTGCTCCTTCTCTACGGCGTCGTTTTGGGGATTTTCACCCACTTCTTCAACTTGTTCAACGACGTCGTTCTGGGCGGCGGCCGCATCTCGGAGGAAAAGGTCGATTTGCTCCCGAATGAAGACCCTGCGGCCGTATAAATTAACGGAGAACTCCTCCTCGAGACGGCGGCGGACGCATGCTGCGGTGGTGGTTTCTAGGTCGGATGCCCGGAGGATTTCGTGGAGGCGACCCACTATCTCGGAGTCCGAGACCATGCTTATTTTATCAATTCACACAGTTTTTCAAGTAAAAAAAGAAACAATTGCAGTCTGCTGTGCGTTTTACGTGGTGAAAAGTTTTGAGTGAGTTGCATGCAAAGAATAAAATGAGAAATTAGGGTTTTTAACTTTAAAACTTTTAATTAGAAATTGGAAAGAGGGATTTTATAATCAAATTATCAAATTAGGGTTTATGTGCGCAAGTACAGTTTTACCAAGGGCATTACCGGTACTTGGAAAATCTCTTCACAAGACTTCCATTTATGTACTAGATCTGGATAAACCCAATTCATTTTGTTTTATTTTAAACAGACTTTAAACCGAATTACCGTTTCTTTTAGTTAATCGTTATTTAAATTCAGCAAATAAGAGAACGCCACGTGGCGGAGGAGGGACCGGCCGAAAGCATCACTCAGCTCCCAAGTATCAAAGGAACCATAGTTGGAGAAGATTAATTAGGCGGACTGTCGTCATCGCTACTGAAATTTACGTTACTGGTTTCCGAACTTCCATTCGAAGATTCAATGCCTGCTTCTAGAAACTCTTTCAAATCTGCGAGTACAAAGGGTTCGGTTAGTTTCCAGAACTCCGCTGCATCGCTCCCAAGAAAACCGACCCAAAAGACCGTCCCTTTCCTCTTCACCCGACAATTCAAAGAATTCGCCTTCAATGATTTCGTAATTCTTAGTACATCCTCTTTACCAAACCTCAGCTTCAGCAGAATATCGCCCGATGATGTTCTGTAACCTCCATACATGTACCAATATGCAAGAACACGAGGTGTCAACCACCGATGTATTAGCTTCGGTATTACAGGTTGCCCCTCTGGACAAAACTGGTCAGCAAAGAACTTAAAATATGTGTGAGATACCGTTGTGAACTGATATGGAATATTTTCATCGTCGTTATCCATTAATTTAGAAGCCAACCATTCATGAAATTGGTTGTATATATGTCTTTTCAAGAAAGAATGGATCTTCAAATTCTCTCTGAACACAAAATTGACCGCACAGCTCTTCTTTTTTTCGTCTAGTTCAACCCTTAAGCCACCCAATAGTAAACCTATCAGGATTTCTCTCTGTTCTTTGCTGAGCTTCGTGCTTAGTGATTTCTCGACTTGTTTATGCTTTCAAACTCAGGATGTATTCAACCTTTCTTCTTCAAGGGAGACTCGGTTTCATACTTCTTTCTCGCGCATGAAATCGTAAATCTTTTCGGCTTTAGCATAATTAGCAGACGCGAGGTAGCCACTCAAGATGGTGTTGCATGATTTAGCGTCGACACCAATTGCCTCATCAGCATGCATTTGGTTGAAGATCTCTTCTGCCCTGTCAAGTTTGTTGGTTAACACCAAAGAATCCAAGTACAAACTGTAAACAGTCTGATTGGGCCGACATTTCTCCATGCACCGCAAGAAAGTGGACTCCACTTTATCGTGCAAGCTCAGATTGTAATACATATGGATCATATCGATAAAAGACCGTGTCAGTGGTTTCATGCCGCTTTCTATGAACTCCCCCATTAGAGATTCCGCAAGTTCTGTCTCTTGAGCTTTACACAATAGCTCAACGATTTTGTAGTACGAGACAACATTGGGTGGACCTCGTTTTTGCAAACTCCTGAATATTTCCAGGGATTTCATTGGTTTCCCGATTCTTGAATAAACCTCCATTAGATACAGAAAAGCTTGAGTCGGAGGTTTATTGTTAGAAGAAAGAATCTGTTTCCATGTTCTTTCAGCTTCCGCAAAATCACCTTCCTTAGCACAAGCTCTTAACACCGACACAAGCACTTCTGCACTCTCGACAATGCCCAGTGTTCTCATCTCTGCTCTTAACGACTCAATCCTTTCTTTATCGATAATATCTTGATAACTATGGAGCCAAATAAGCCCGCCATAAATATCATTGTGTATTTTGAGGCCATGTGTTGTGAGATTGTGAAAAACGAACTCCGCTTGTTTGAGATGCTGTTTACAGGATCCTCCCGGTTTGGTCACAAGGGCCTTAAAAAGAGAATTGTGCAAGCTTAGTCTAGGCTTGTAACCTCCCAAGTGAATCATCTGATTGTACACACCACATGCTTCCTCGATACAACTTGAACCAGAAGAACTTAGGTAAGCAACAATTAGAATATGGAATGTGGACTCATTAGGAATCAGACCCTGGTTGACTATGTCATCAAATATCTCGCGACATTTCAAGTATTTCCGCTCCTTACCCAAGTAATCGGCTAATTTGGTGGCGAGGGCAAAATCAAATCGAAACCAGTTTTGCTCCACCATCCATTTGTATACCTGAACCATACAAAATAACGAATTATAATTCGACACTAATTATTTTCAGATTTCCGTATATTAATTGAGCTTCTGTTATAATCCGCAGAATTTAGCAAGTTTATCATGACTGTTGGGGCAAAATTAAAACCTACTATCAGTTTTCCAAATGCTTTACAATTGGGGAAAATTACTCATCATCAATTGATTAAACCAAATGAATAATCAGAAAAGGGGAAGATCAATTTACCCTAAAAGCCGACTCGTTTTCGCGAATCCGCATACAATGAACGGCAACAAAAGTGACATCATCTTGCCTAATCCACTTCCGCTGCGCATTGAGCACCCGAATAAACGTGCCCGACCTGTGCGCCGGCAGCTCCTTGCACAGCCACGCCAATTTAGACCTCCGCCACTGCTCCGGAAGATCGTCGAGCTCCTTCACCTCCACCGCCGGCGACTCGAACCGTTTCAACTCAGTCGACTCGAACGAGCCATCGAAATTGTAACGTTCCGCTTCGTTATCTCTTAATACGTCAAAATCATCTTCCTTCGCCTCCTCTAGGGTTTCACACACCACATTTCTGGTGGAAACGGCGGCCGATGAGGAGGAGGAAAGTAGCGATAAGATGGGGTTTCGGTGCGGTTTGGAGCGGAGAGAGAGGCGGCGGAGGTGGAAGTAAGGGTAGGATCTCTGATTTTGTTGAGTAGGTGTAATTTGGTGATTGATGTAACGGAAGCTCAGAAGCATTGCTTAGACGGAGAATGGATACCGCAACGGCTCGCCGCCGGGAGGAAACTGGTGGCGCCGGCTGTTTAATCTGTTAATTGTTCTGTGATATTTTATTTTTTTGCGAGTGGATAAATCATAAATGGGTCAATTAATTAAATAATTTGTTGGGCTTCCATTAATTATAAATTGTAGCCCAAACAATTTTAAGTAGGCCAAAGTGTAAAACTAGATACAATTTTGAATTTTCAGTCCAAATTTTCTGAAAATAGGAAAAACTATAAAAAAAAGACTTGGGAAATTAAGCTCAATGTCTGAGGTAAGTTAAATTATGAAAAATTCCCTCATGTTTAGATATCTACAACCACCCGTCAACTATATAAATTTTCTTAGTGAAATATTCTTCAGTTTGTAACCGGTTTACCCCGTTCGAGCTCCACATTTAAAAACAAAATGATCATAAGATGTGTCTTTTGGCTTGTAAATATCAGATTGTGCTACATCAGAAACTGCATTTTTGAATAAAATGAGTACAAACTAGATAACAACATTTCACGGAATCTAGAAGTTTATGTTGAATTTGGCAACATAAAGGTTGGGATGTAAGAAAATTCATAACTAATGGGTGGTTATGAAACAAGATGGGTACTTTGGTAATTTACTCAAAAAACTTATTCTAAAATAAAAAAATTGGGCAAGACGCGTGTCAGCAAGAAAAACCATGCAGGCGTCCCTTGATAATATTCAAATAATAAAAAGATTTAAAGGGGTTATTTTAGTCATTTGATATCTAAGGGATTTTAAATGCCAGCACAGCAGCAACAATAATAGCCTGTTGTCAGAAAATAAATTAATTAAAAATTCTCTCTCTCTCTCTCTGGAAGCAGAAAGAAGGAAAAGAAGAAGCAAACTGTCAAAATGCACAAACTAAAAGGCAGCTCAATTCACGAGCACTTTCTCTCTCTCTCTCTCTCTCTCTCTCTCTCTCTCTTTCTCCACCTATACGTTCACGTATAAAGTATATATAAACCCTTAACCGCTGTCGCTTATATATACACATAATACATGTACGTGTATGCAACAAAAGTGACGCGCGCACAGTTGCAGAAAAGCCGTAAAAACGACGGCCAAATAAATAAATTGGTTAATTTATTATTATGGCCGCCGGGTAAGTGAGTTCTTCACGAGGGCATGCCACCACAACCCAACCACATCTCTCTATCTTCCTTCACCTCAATTTGAATTTGAATTCTTCTTTTTTTTTTAAGCTTTTTTGCTGGTTATGGGAGTTTGAAGGGGAGGGGGTGGAAATTGTGTATGGATCGGCCGCCGTCGACGGTGGGGCAGGCGGGTATGGATATGCCTATTATGCACGACAGTGATAGGTACGAATTGGTTAGGGATATCGGCTCCGGCAACTTTGGGGTGGCGCGTCTGATGAGGGATCGCCACACGAATGAACTTGTTGCTGTTAAGTACATCGAGAGGGGTGAGAAGGTAAGCTACTACTTGTTGATTTGGTTTTCTATTTGTGGTCGTACTCCAAGTGTTCGATCTAATGCCTCCGAAAAAATTATGGAATTTGTTTTTCTTTTTTTTCCGCTGTGACTCTGTTCTTTATATTTGTGTATCTAGATTTTGCTATAACTCTGTTTTTCTTCGTTTGATTGTTTTTTACTTCCAAATTAATATTATGCAATTAACGCGCTACGTAATAATATCGGTGTTGTTTTTAACTCTTTGTTCTTATATACACCGATAGATTGATGAAAATGTGCAGCGAGAAATTATTAACCACAGATCTCTGAGGCATCCAAATATTGTCAGGTTTAAAGAGGTAACAATCTATTATAAATAAAATCCACTCGTGTTTCGGAATATTATGAAGAAGCTTAATTAACAGTGTTCTGTTGTCTGCAAAAAAATTACTCTAGGTTCTGTTAACCCCAACTCATTTGGCTATTGTGATGGAATATGCTTCTGGTGGAGAGCTTTTCGAACGGATATGCAATGCAGGGAGATTCAGCGAGGATGAGGTACTTCGATCTAACGATTCTATATTTGTTTGAATGAATATTCATATATGCTTTATCTCGTTTTTATTTTATTTTTATAATTTTGGGTGTAGGCGCGGTTTTTCTTCCAGCAACTGATATCAGGAGTCAGCTACTGTCATGCTATGGTACTTGATTGAGCTCTTTTGTCTTTCTCATTGTGCCGTTTAACTATTGTACGTATTCTTGATGCGTTTTTCTTTTCTTACGTTTTTTGTAACTTTATGAAGCAAATATGCCACCGTGATTTGAAATTGGAGAATACGTTACTTGATGGAAGCCCTGCTCCTCGGTTGAAAATCTGTGATTTCGGCTATTCCAAGGTATTATCGATTGTCCCGCCTGTCGTGTGATTATTCAGCTTTGCTTAGTACTAACTTGGACGTAATTTATACTGCATGATTGCAAAACCGAGCATCTAAAAGTAATCACAAAATTATTCGATCTTGTTTTATTCGGCTATTTTCATCAGTGTAAATGTAACAACGGTGCTTGTCTTATTTTCAGTCGTCGGTGCTTCATTCACAACCAAAGTCAACTGTCGGCACCCCTGCATATATTGCCCCTGAGGTGTTGCTTAAAAAGGAGTACGATGGAAAGGTGAGAGTAGTTTATAAGAGAAACGGGTTTTGCAAGTGGGGAAACATTTTCGTGAATATCGTCGAGAATGGGGTTGACGAATTGAATTAAAGAAAGAAAGTAGGTAGTGAGTAGCTTCAGGCAGATCCATAGAATATAATAGATGAATTCAAACTTCCATATAGGCAAATAAAATACATAGTCAAGACAAAATGCAATATTAGTTTATCCTAAAAAATATAAGCTAAGCTTGCACAAACTTGTACAGATTGCAGATGTCTGGTCGTGTGGGGTTACGTTATATGTCATGCTAGTCGGTGCGTATCCCTTTGAAGACCCCGAAGAACCGAAAAACTTCCGAAAAACAATACAGGTACACTATCTTACCGTATTCGTATATTTTGATTTATTCGTTGATTTTCGTTACTCAATTTTACTTAATTTAACCCTTGACATGTCGACAGCGAATCTTGAACGTCCAATACTCAATCCCGGATTACGTCCACATATCTCCAGAATGCTGTCATTTAATTTCGAGGATATTTGTAGCGGACCCTGCAAAGGTTAGAGTTCTGTTTTTACTCATCAATCGTTGGAGTTTAATTGAAATTAAATTCTCGGGATTTATTTAAATGTGAAACTATGCGGTGACAGAGAATTACGATTCCGGAAATAAAGAACCACGAGTGGTTTCTAAAGAATCTCCCAACGGATCTAATGAATGATGGAATATCGAACAATCAGTTTGAAGAACCGGAGCAACCTATGCAGAGTGATCAAGAAATTATGCAGATAATTACGGAGGCTACTATCCCGCCAGCTGGTGCGAACAGCCTGAACCAGTATCTGACAGGTAGCCTCGATATTGACGATGACATGGACGAAGATTTGGAGAGCGATCCTGATCTTGATATCGATAGCAGTGGTGAGATTATCTATGCAATGTGATTGTTTCTTCAGCAGAAAGTTAAGTAGAGTTGTTATTTGTAATTTGATATCTGAATGAACTTTGTCAGTTCTTTCTTTTACTTGTTTCAGTAATTTCATGCAACTTTCTTAATTGCTGTGGTATTGGAAGTTATTTGAAAGCAAATCTATTGTTTTCTGCTTATTTTAACTTCAATTTGTTTAAGATAATTTACGAGAAGAACGAAAGCGAGCAGTCAGAAAATCGGAATAGGAATAAAAAAATTGTCGAAAGGGGAAACAGAAAATTCGGTAAATGCTAAGCGAAAAGTATCATAAATTACAAATAAGTTCAGGTTTATTTTTAAAGATAATTGAACTATTGTCATCTCAAAACTTCAGCTGGGACAACAGCATATTCCATCACCTGAAACTGTGCGATATTTCGAGCTTTTTCTCCAAGTCACTACCGGAACGAACCTTTTGCGTGGCCAAACAAATTTAATTAATGATTGGTTCTATTCGACTTTTCGATATATGTTTATTAGCCGAACTGCTCACAGAATTTCAACTCAAAACACATAAAACAACAGCAAATAAACCATAATATTTACAATGAATCAAGATTATCAAGCGTACCGTTCTAAGGAAACAAAGGCACTGTGAGGAGTCCCGTATTTTCCGGAATTCCCATCATCAAGTTCAGATTTTGCAATGCCTGACCAGAAGCTCCTTTCACAAGATTATCAATCTGCATACCACGTCTCAAATTTAGCCGAAAAAAAAAATTCAATTTTGTAGCTAATACAAATGCAAGAAAATATAAAAACTTACAACAGAGATAATTATTGCTCTTCCAGGAATTCGATCGGGAAACACATTCATCAAGCAATAGTTGGACCCTCTAACATGTCGAGTATGAGGAACCTCGTTCTTCTTCAACATAATAACAAATTCCTCCTTCTGTAAAAATACGAAGAAAATAAAAATTATAGAAGCGTAAAAGTATTATCATATATTATATTTTCATTATTACCTCGTAAAAGTTGCTTAAATGTTGATATAGATCGTCAGTCGATACTCCGTGGGCCATTTCCACATATATAGTTGATTGCATACCACGGCTCTTAAAAAATAAACGAATGCTAGTTACAAGAATTAAAAAAAAAAAATTAGTGTAGTAAACTTCGATAAATACGAGAGCAGCTAATTACCATTGGCATTAAATGTGGGGTGAAGCTAACAGTAACTTTCGATTTCGCAGCCTCCGATAATCCTTGTTCGATTTCAGGCACTAAGTCAACAACATAAACCAAGTTAGTGTTCGTGATTATAAATTAAACAATTATTAGCAAATGTAATCACTAACCATGACGATGCCTAGTCACACCGTAAGAATGAATCCCTTCGGCTATTTCAGTGTACAAATTTGCCTCCTTCGCACCACGTCCTTCAACCATAACAATTACGAAAAAATTTAATCAGCCAAGAAAAACAATATTAGTTGTATTTTTATTGCAAAAAACAAAGGCTGGGAAAATTAATTTAACCTGCTCCACTAACACCAGATTTTGAGTCGATAATGATATTCTTCACTTCGATGAGATTGGCCTGCAAAGACATTACGTACATTAACCATCGTTTGTTTGAAACTCATTACATATGATATATCCCGACTACACACACACACACACACACACACACACACACACACACACAAAAAAAAACCAAAAAAAAAAAAACGAACTTTTATTAAGGGGACAAGAGGAAGCTGGATAGAAGTTGGATAACAGCCAGGATTTGCAATTAGACGAGCATTTTCGATTTCGGATCTGGATAACTCTGTTAAACCGTATACAGCTTCTTTCTGCATTTACGGCAATAATTAGGTTCACGGAAAAGCGGTAACTACATTATTAAACCTTTCTTGGTAATCGAAAAATAAAATGGATCCATGAAAATGAATTCTTAATTCTTAAAACAGAAGTTCGCTCGATAAAGTTTCAAACCAAAAACCTGTAATTCTTGTGCTACATGAGGCTGACCGTACCATTCCTCATATTCACCAACATCTTGGAGCCGAAAATCCTACGTAATAATATCGATTAAACGAAAAATTACCATTGTGATGTACACCTGTCATAAAGAAAGAGACCCCAATTTCTTAGTCTAGATAAAAGTAAATACCGCGGATAGATCGACTATCTTCAAACTACTCGGGAGACCTTTGATAATTTCCTGCCAAAAAAAATAACTATTACTTTTAGATACAAGCATGAATATACATATCCGAATTTCGGAAAAAGGCGGTTAAAACTAAGGATCAAATTAGAGTAAGAAACGCAAAGTAGAATAGTTTGTGATGTTATTAATTAATAAAAAAATAAAAAAAACCTGAGTTGTCCCGTGCGGCAAGCAACAGAAAACAGCATCTACGTCGGAAAAATCGGCATCTTTGACAGCAACCAAATCAGGCAAATCCTACACAATCCGTGTAATGTAATAACGAAAAAACAATAACACAAAAACATAATGCGATTATAATTCATATCCGGGGTCAATGATATTACATACTTGTTTGACTAAATGAGGGAACACTGATCCGATTGATTGACCGGCTTTCCTATCTGCGGTCATCATCGTTATTTGGAAGTTGGGATGATTCGCAAGCAGCCTAATTATCTAAAAATATAAAATAAAACAAATGGAGAAGAAAATTAGTTCTCGACAATTTAGCACCAAAGAAACTAACTAACTAAACACAGAAGACAAATACCTCAGAGCCAGTATAGCCACTGGCTCCAAGAACCCCAACTCGGAACTTTTCGAATTTCCGGGCCTGAATTTCTTCAGTTCGTAAGCTCTGCGGTATTGACGTGACAACAGAAGCTCTAACACAAAGCTTCCTGGCCTTAGAATACTTCATTTCATCCTACCAAAAAAATTGATTACTCACATTATTCTTTTAATTTTTTTTACATTATAATCTCAAGAAATCAACAGCCCATATGCTAAAATCTAGAAAAGTTGTAAGCTGTAATCGGGTTTTAAATTTTAATAGCAGTAAGTCACCATTACTCATAAATCATAATCAATCCTAAAAACCCACGGGCCAAATTACTCATAATCAATCCTTAAAATCAATTTCATTAGCCCGAAAGAGAGAGAATGAAAAATCAATTCAGATTACAAGAATAAATAGTTGTGCATTTTGTGAATTTTTTCTTTTACCTGGCATCCAAAAAAGCAGCTGCGAGTACAGATTGAGTTAAAAGAGGATAAAGAACACATCTTTTCTTCACCCTTTTTTCACTAGTGGCCTTCAACCAGAAGAAGTGCTTAGTGACAGTGAAGCTGAGAATGCCTACTTTAATTTTTGGTTTTTGGGGTTTACGGGACAATTACTCCACCAGTCCGTTTGGCTAAGCTTGTTTAAAACATCTTATCTTACGAGCCCTCTCTCTAAATTTCATAACCGTAGAGAGGAAAAAGCTCAGTCCAATTCAATTTGTATGGGCTAGGCTTCACAAGTATGAACTAGGGGTGGATGAAATAAATTTTCGATTTTCGTTGATTACGATTCAAAAAAATTCCAATTTTTGAACGATATCTTTTTTTTTTTCACGCCGGATTTTTAGAAATTCCAATGTACGATTTTCGATTTCAATTTTCGTAAATCTCGATAACTACTGAATGGGTAAATTTTACTTTCTCCCCTTGTACTTTAGCCCGATATCACTTTATCTCCTTCTACTCTCAATTGCATCGATTTTCCGTCTTGTACTTTGGCTCGATATCACTTTACTCCCTTTCCACTCTCAATTGCATCGATTTGCCCCGTTGTACTTGAAAAATTGTCTCAATGTGGCCATCGCCATTTTTTCACACATTTAACGTTCACACCGTTTGGTCTAAGTCTAAAAATTACTAAAAAGTCATCCCTCACAGTTTAAATAATTATTAAAAAAATAAAAAATAATAATAAAAAAACAAAAAACAAAAAACAAAAAATAAAAAATAAAAAAAATCAAGACAATGATAAAATATAGTCCACGATGCCAGACACAATTTATTTATTTATTTTTATTTTTTTTAATAATTATTTAAATTGGGAGATGTGGTTTTTTTGTAATTTTCAAACTTAGATCAAAGGTGTAAAAACTAATGGCAAGTGCCACATTGAGACAATTTTTTAAGTACATGAGGGCAAATCGATGCAATTGGAGTAGAAGAGGCTAAAGTGATATCGATCCAAAGTAAAAGGGGAAAGTGGAATTTACCATGTGAATTTTTGTCTTTGTTATTTCTTTTAATTTGAAAAGTACAATTGATTTTTATTATTATTTTTTTAAGGGTAAATTACACCCACACCCCTGAAATATGCTTAAATAACTTAAGGTTTATGTGGTATCTATAATTACACTCATCCCCTTGAAACGTAGTTATAAACTCTAATGGGATAATGCATTAAATACATTATTACGAAGGAGTTCATACGACTATTGGTTTCAGGAAGTGGTGGAGACAACAAAGAGTTATGGGTGATTTAAGAAATATTGGGGGAGCCATGTCATCCCATTACTCCTCATAACTCTATGTTATCTCCACCACTAGCTAAAAGTATCCAATGCATTATCCCGTTAGAATTTGTAACTACATTTCAGGGGGTGACTGTAATTATCGATACCATAAGGACCTTAAAATTATTTAAGCATATCTCAGGGGTGTGAGTGTTGGATTTGTTCGAACCTCCACCCGGTGTTTTTCACCGAGTGTAGGGTCGAAGTAACCGTGAGTGTTGGGTGTGAGTGTGATTTACCCTTTTTTTAATTATCATAAAAATTTTATACATTTTTTTAAAATATAATAAAAAATAATTAAACATATATTATAATTTCAGAAATATTGTGCTATTCTTTTTTTTTTTTTACATGTTGCAAATGTTTTCATTATTGTTTTTTTTTTTATCACGGGTTTTTCACACTACTTCGAGATTACACGGGTGCTTTGCAGGTATTTAATACAATGATCCTAAGCAGTAAGTAGGAGATATAACAGTAATATGCTATTTCTTTTATATGGATGAAAGAATATATATATATACATACACACACAAGATGATGATACAAAAAGAAACAAGTATTTACAGTAACACAATGCTAGCAAAATGCTAACCCTGAGACTTCATCGATCCAAAGAAGAAAGAAACGGAGTTTGAGACACTCGATTTCGTACGACACGATTTTCGTCCGGCCTTGCGCTTGATTCTGTCGAAGCTTGTTGTGGCCTGAGCTCAGACAATCTAATTCTCTCGTCTGATATTCGATTCTAAACAACATAATACAAACAATAAAGTGAGTTCACTTACGTCCTTTTATTTTACTTAAGCTAATAAAAGACTTGAGAAAATAGAGACCGCAATATTAGTTACCTTGAGTTTAACATCTTGAATTTCCATTTCTAGGGAAACAACCCTGTTCGTAAGCTGTTCGAGCGCTTCTTCGGCTACAGATAGACTTATTTCAGCTGTTGGTCTTGTTATTCCAGCAGCCTGTTATTTTCAGTTCAGAAATATAAGCTAATGACATTTTGCCGTTTTTCTGTCTTTCGAAAACTAAATTTTCAGTATGATCAGACAAAAAACCGATCTCACCTTAAGTACAGTAGTACACAAGCCTAACAACTTCTGAGCTAACTGCAGTCTCTCCTCTTCGGTTTCCTGTTTCAGATAAACAAACATGTCCAATTAGAGGCTCTCGATATTTGTGTGTATTATGTGAGATTGCTTTGTAAGAATATTGATTTGCCTTCTAAAACTAACCTTCAAAATCTTGCCCAAGTGTTCCTCCTCGTCAAAATCAATGTAGGGGTTTCTACCATTTGCTGCACGGAATTGAGCTAGCTCTTCCTTAACACGAGAAAGAATAGATTCTGTTTTTCTCAGCTTAACACTGAGGTCCTCGTTCTGACACCTCAATGAATTGTTTTCTTCCTGTGAATTTATTAGGGATATTCGTTTAATACGAAGAAAAACAATTATATATAAAACATTCTGCAAATTTCAATAATTTGGAAAATAGTGTCTTGCTTTTATTTTTGCATGATGATGGATCCGCTGTTGAATATTCTGTTGACCAGACAACTTCTTAATCTCAGCTTCAAGTTCTGCCACCCTCTTCTTGTTAATACCATTGTCAATCTGAGAAAATTACAGTAGCACATAAAAATAAGTAACTAATCAAGAAATTTCATTTGTTATGAAAGATTGAAGTGGATACACTAAACCCCGCTTCTACCTTTAACATCCCATTTTCAGTTGCAAGCTGTTGATCTTGCTGTCGCAGTTTTTCCAATGCAACATGTGCAGCCATCGTTTCAGCCTGTTTTCTCTCGATCTCCTCTAGCCATCTAAAACAAAATTTGGGTGAAACTGGTGCAAATTTAGGGACTAAAACAAAATACCAAGATAATGTTAACAGTTCATTACCCTTTCCTCTCTTTAACAAACTCGTTTATTTGAAGCTTCAGATTAACCACTTCTTTCTCCTGGAAAAAACACCACCAAGATGCTATATTCAATATCTCCATATTACTATTACACGTTTGAAGTCAACTTGAAAGAAAAAAAAGGTTTACCTTTTCTTCAGCTTCAACGTTGTGGTGTTGAGCCGCCTCCATTAATGAGTGAAGTTGCTGATTATCCATTAAATTCTAGAATGTCAAAGAAACGGGGAAGTGAGTATGGCGTTCTTGACGGAGACATAATCTATTCGGAATTTATTGTGTTTGGACCAGTTACATTAATACATAACTGATGATGAACTGCTTGTTTGTTTTTCTATGCTACTTAACTCACCCCATCAGGTTATAAAAAGTTTGGTCAAAATGCGGTGAATTGATTTGCTAACTTACAGCATAGTTCTTCATATTCAGTTTTACACCTAGCAAATCCCGAATCACGTCATGAGTCATGCTTTCGGTGGCAGCCAATCTTGCCTTAAGCATGAATATCTGCAAGAAAAGATAAGGTATTCAGAATTAGAATATTCAGTTTACCGGTTCAAAAAGTCGGGCTGAGATAATTTATATTATATAAGAAATGTACCTCTTTCTGTCTGCTTACAGCAAGAGCCTCAAGTTCTTCTATTCGTTGCCTTCCCTCTTCATCCTTCTCAGATTTAATTTGTTGAACTAAGCCCAACCCAATGCATTTAAAAGGGGATCCTGAGCCTTTCGACTTTGAAGAATTCTTTTCCAACTTGTTCGATGACGAACTTGTGCTATGAGGGGGAGGAACTTCAGATTTGACTTGTTCTACCATGGCTTCCAATGCCTTGAACTGTTATGAGGAATGATAGTTAATTAATCAAATATCAATCCAATTCTTTTACTGAAACAACATGTAATGTGATGTTATGAACAATTAGTCCCACCTTTTGCTTGTATTCACTAGCCTGAGCCTCTGCATGCATATTTAGCTCCGATATATGAGCTTTGCATTGGGATATCTGTTGAAAAAAATACGAAAAGGATGCATTCACGTGTTTGATCCAAAATTATGATATATGTATAATTAATGATCTAGAAAAGAAAGAATATAACCTCGCCATCTCTGGCAGCAATTTCTTTTTCAAGAAGTTGTACCCGTTGAAGTGCTTCTTCAAGGTTCTTCTCTTTGTCACTTAGACATCTGAATACAAGTAATTCCAGTATTGATCAGATGATTCTACACAGCAGTTTTCCAATAAGACCAAGGCACTTAAAATGCAAAATTTCGGTTAAACCTTTTTATGTCGGAATCATTGCTCTGTAAGTTTTGCATTTGTTCTTTGACGCCAAGAAGCTCCAGCTCAAGTTCCTCCCTCTGCAACCTTTGCCTCTCAGCTTCTCCTTTGACAATGTCAACCTTGTGAAGAGGAAAATATCATGTCATAATGTTACAAATAAATGTTTCATATGCAGCAGGCTCTTACAAAAAGGAATACGTACCTTTTGCTCAAGAACGTTTATAGTGCACTCTAGCTCTTCAATGGACCGCTCTAATAGTCTCACTTCTTCTTCCTTTTCCTCAGCTTGGACTTTATGGTGTTCACCTATCTGCCATAAACAAGTTAAACATATTAAAGGACCGTTCAGTTAGTGTACCAGCCAAATATATATGTATATATATTAAGCCAAGGTCACCTCTTGAGCTTCGACAGCAATTGCTTCATTTTCTTCAGCAAGAGCTTTTGCCATCTCAAGCTCTTTCGTCAAACTAAGAACTTTATCATCCAGCTCATCCCTCTGACAGGTGACAGTATCCAAGTTGTTCCTCAACGATTCAGTTGTTTTGTTCATTTGGGCAAGAGACTTTTCCATTTCACAAACTTCCATCTCTAAGTTTTCAGTTTTCATCCTCGTCTCCATCATTTCCTTCTCCATGGATTTTTTTGCGTCCAAGGCATCTTTAGCACCAGCTAAAAGTTCAACATTGTTGTTGGATAGTGAATCTATTATCTCCTGATTTTTTGTAAGATCCATTTCAAGAGCAGATATTTTCGCTATCTTTTCTTGAAGTTGAACTTCAAGCACTCGACCTTCACCAACAGCTTTCTCCAGTTCAAGCGACTTCAATTCAAAATCTTTTTCCAATGCCATTAAAGAAGCTAGCAGCTCCTCTGTTTCATCTTTTTTGTCTTTACTGTTTGATGCAGACTCCTGTAGCAAACTCAAATCAAACAATAGCCCCTTAAGAATATCATCTTTTCTTGACAACTCTGTTTGAAGAGAGAGAAATTGAGAATCGAACTTCATAGCAAGATTCTCCATGCATTCCAACTGTTCCAGAAAATTGTACGTCCTTTCCATTTCGTCAACCATCTTCTGATGCATATCATCTACCTCAATAAGTTTCTCATTAACTAGATTGAGTAGTTTGCAGCTTACTTTATCCACATTTTGGGCCAAATCAACATTCTCCAAAGTTTTCAAGTTCAAAGCACTAAGGTGTTTAGCCTCATTATTCTCATGAACTCTCAGTTCATTTCTCAGAAACGTGTTTTCTTCTTTTACAGTGTTGAAATCACCCAGCTGGCTCTGCAAATCCTGGATTCTTAACTGCATTTCATCTTTGACAACAGATTGAGAAAGTTTGTGATCTTCTTCTAACTTGGCAATGCAAATCTCCAACACTGAAATGTTATTTCTTAGTCTCTGTTTTTCAATATCAAAAGCAGTCTCTTTACTCTCCAGCTCGAGCAGAAGTACACGGTGTTCTTCCTCATTGTTATTCAAATGATGCTGCAGTGTTTCATTATCCTTCTCAAGGCAGCTTATTCTTCCAAGTTCTTCATCTTTTATTTCCACCGCATTTTGCAGCATCTGAATTTGCTGATGAAGCTTAGAGATAAGAGTTGAAGAAGTTTCAAGAGCTGATTCCTTCGTCTTTAAATCTTCTAGTAATTTCTCATTCCCAGATTCCTTGTCAAGCAATATCAACTCACTGCAAGCAGCATCCAAGCTCTTCAATACTATGTCCCTCTTTAAGTTTTCGAGGACTTCATGAGTAATGCTACAAGTTCTCTCTACATCTGCTTTCAGGAGAGACATTTGCTTCAATTCAGTCTCTACCTCTGCTTTCAGGAGAGACGTTTGCTTCAACTCAGTCTCTACATCTGCTTTCAGGAGAGATGTTTGCTTCAACTCAGTTGACAATATCAGCAACTCAAAATCTTTAGCAGATAATTCTACCAAGAAATTCTCTTCCTGATATTCAAATAGTTCATCTTTCTCCTTCAGTAATCTTTCTTGATCCATAATAGATGCTAACGTGTTTTTGTTACTGAGATCAATCTCCTTCATTAGCATAGCCAATTCAGATCCCATGTCGTTCGACCTTTGCAGCATCACCTCTTCCTGTAACTGTAGATCATGTATCTTCTTCTCGAAAGAAGTAAGCTTAAGGGTGACTTCCCCATCTTCATCTACTTTACTTGATATACGTTCAAAACCTCTTTTGATATCTGTCAACAACTTCCCTTTGAGGATTCTACACATTTCAAGCTCTTTTCTTGATTTAACATTGTGCTCCCGAAGTTCAGAAATAATGGAATTTGACTCACCTAAACCATGGTGAAGAAGACCATTTTCTGCATTCAATCCATTTGCTGTCTCTAAGAGAATTCCCATGTGACAGAGATGCAAAACAGAGACAGCACAGTCCTTGACAATAATCTCCGACCAGACCTCCTCAAGCAATGTCTTGATTGAATCTGTCGATTCGTGAAGTTGAGACTTCACACTGAGTAATTCAGATGCTACAAACATCCATTCTTCCGTCGAAGTGGTCCGGAGTTCTGAAATAACATTCTCCAGTTCTAAAACCATCTTATTCATGATGACAAAATCCGATTCATACTGTTTTTCCAGTTTCCCATAATTCTGATCCTTCAGATCAATCGAGAGTTTCAGGCTTTGGACCTCTTTCATGAGAGTATTTCTCTCAGTGGTCAAGTCATGAGCATTAAGTTTCAAGGCTTCATTTGCTATCATCAACTCATTTATCATTATGTCTGCTTCCTTCACAGTGTCTTGAAATTCCTCAAATTTCTCTACAATACAGGACGCTTCAATGCTTTTCTGTGCAGCAACAACTTTAGCATCATAGACTTCAGCTTCCAGGCACTGCAAAAATGGGATTCCAATACAGAGTGAAAAGACCGTAAGATAATAATATCAGACATAATGCATGGTATTATAGTGAGTGTTTTTTACATATTATAGTTAGCTGCTAGTAGGTAGTAGCCGTATCATACAACATGTGACAGAAAGTACAAAATCATAAATAAAAGTGAGAATAAATCATCCTACCTCTATTTGCTGGAAGCAGGAAGTGGAACATTGATGTACCATTTCCTCCATTTTCCGTATCTTAGCATCCATAGTGTTAACTTTGCCCTCTAATTCCCCTCCAAAATTATCTATAGCATCTCGTAAACGAAGTGTCTGATTCACCATAGACTCGATGTTCTTATGGCTACATCTCTCAGTTGCCAAAATCTCTTCTTTCTCAGAGCACAACTTGACCATCTCAGCTTGCACATCTTTTAAGCTTTTGAGGGCATAATCTATCTCTTTCTTTAGGAGAATAATGGCACCATCTCTCCCCTTCACACTCTCCATTTCACTTTCAGACGCCAAACAGTTGTCATTAATATTACACGAGCCTAAAGCATTGAGATTCTCCACTGTTCTGGTACCTGTCTGCAACAAGAGTAAATTACTATGTCAAATGTCCAATAAAATCAGTTCGATGTTTCAGAAGTTAGAGTCTGTGTATATATTCCAACAAGAGAGGAATTAACGTACATACCCATGATTCACATTCCCCGTTGACAGGAGAACAAATTAACTCTGGAGCGTTATCTTTCTGCGGATGACCACTCTGCTTCACGTATTCACTTATGCTTAACTTTAGTGTCGAGACCCCAGAATTTAGCTCCTCGAGTTTTTCCCTGCTTTCCGAAAATTTAGTTTTTTCATTTTCTTCAAGCTTTACCTCAAGAGCTTCCCGGCGTTTTTGCTCTTCGGATAACTTCATAACGAGAGAATGATTCTTTTCGTTTGCTTCATCGATTATCGATGCCTGATTGTGAAGAGTTGCATCTTTTTGTGTGATAATTTCTTGAAACTCTCCAAGCTGGACATCCTTACCACTTAAAGAATTCTGATAGTCAGAGTTCAACTCCCACAATCTGTTCACAATCACCAAAGCAGCTGTTGCACAAGATGAAGCCATTTTAAGTCGACCCTCACCATTCCTAATTAAGCTCTGAAGTTCTGCAACAGTAGATGACTTATTATTTAAGTCAGAAGTTAAAAGGAGAATCTCCATATCCTTCTCACTGCACTCCTGTTGATGCGTCTCAGTCATAACCAAAGCCGCCCCTCTTAAAGACCTCAGCATGCACTCCATGTCATCTCTCCTATCTACTGCATCCTTTAAGCATCGATTGAGCTCTTCGATGACTACTTCTTGCTCAATACTATACTTTTTCATCTTCCCAAAGTGTTCGGAAATCCAACTTAGTTTAGATGCATCAACCTGGTCGGATACATCTTTGAAAGCCTCATGCCCACCAGAGAGAATACCTTCAATTTCACCAGCGATTAGTTCCCATTCTTCCGTAAGTGTTCTTAGCTGCTTCTCTTTGTCCTCTAGCAATTCAGCTAATTTCGCATTATCTGCACTCCTCATATGCAAATCTTCTTCCCTTGTTTTCATTTGACTTTGCAATATTGCCAACAAATCTCTACTCTCCGTCTCTTTCGTCTTACTATCATTGACTTCCTGTTGAAGAACAGAAAGTTCTTCCTGCAAGCAAACAATAACCTCGGCAGTTTCTGCCTCGACCTGCTTGCGCACTTCCTCCGCTTCTTCTTCATGAGATGTTTGAAATGCAAGGTCACTTTGATACCAATTGTTCAATCTCTTAGCTTTTTCAAGAGATTCATGCATCTTCTTCAGCTTTGCTTCTAAAGGAGAGTCCTCACTCTCTAAATTCTTAAGCAACGCAGGATGCTGCTTCAAATGAGAAATTTCAAGTTCCTTTTCTTTCAACAGTTCTTCATAGTGAACGTTAGAGTTCTTGAGATCTTCTATTTCATTGATCAATTGAATTTGTTGAGACTCGAGAGCTTCAAAAACCAACTTCACATTCTTTAGCTCTTCCTGGACTTCGTCATATTCTTTAGTTAGCGAAGCAACCGTTTCTTTTGACAGCTGAAGTTCTCTGTTTACGGATTTGGCCATATCCTCTGCTTCGGCATGGTGTAATCTCTCCTCTTGCAAAATAATTTTAAGAATGTCCAACTCCAGCTGTAAATCCATGATGTTTTCTGCAGACTTCCTAAGATTTCCACATCTTGTTCCTTCTTCATCCCTCTTGGTGGATGCTATTGCCTGATTTCTCAATAAAGGGACTTCCGCAATGGATTCCTGAATGAATCTTAAGTTAGTTAATTACCTATAACATATACATGATCGGAGAATCTATATATAAATAAAACATAAAAAGAAAAAGAAAAAGAAGTTCATCTTCCCGTCAACTCCACCCCAGCCAAATTACTCTTCACCATCTTCACCCTCCCCGCCCCTGCTTCGCCACCCAGCACCAATCACCCCCAAACTATCTAAGGTATTTCATTTACCCTGTTTTTTTTTTCTTTTTCTCAATTCAATTATATGTCAATTAATTGATGATTGGTCAAAAAAAAATTTTTTTTTTTTTTGGTAGAATGATTCGGTGATGATTAGCAGAGTGTTTCAGAAGATGACTGGTGGGAAGAAAGTGCACATCCCAGGGCTGAAATGATACACTTCCACAATTCCGCCACCTGCAGTAAAGCTCGGTGGCGGACTGGGCCAAACGGATCCTGGGTCGAATCCGAACCCAAAAACTGCAACCCAGACTGAATCGGACTCCATCGATTCGAATTTTCGTGAGAAGCAACACCATTAATGTGTTGGAGAAGACGACGTGAGAATGCTCCAATTGGGCCACATAATTATTTTTTCCTCGTTTTCATGTGGGAAAGAGAGGAGAACGAAAATTTAAGGAGGTAGAAGATTATAAAGCTACAATTTTATTTTTATCCAATAGCGCATTGACGGTGGTGGTCGGCAAATCAGAGGCGGCAAGCGGCGGAGGGCTAAAGATTGATGAAGAATAGTTTGATTGGGGGTGGCGGTAACGGGAAAAAGCCGACGCCGAAAATGGATGGAAAGTAGTTTGGTTGGGGTGGTGACGGGAAGAAGATGATTTTTTTTTATTTTTTATTTTATTTTTAAATTATTTATTTATATTTACCCAAAAAAAAAAAAAAAAAAAAAAAAAAAAAAAAAAAAGAAGAAAACAGGTGTAGGAGGAAAATGATCCATTTATCCTACCTCAAATCATGTGCTTCTCACGTGTTGTAACTTCCGGTCATTTTTGGGCAAAAGTAGAAAAATTTGCAACAAATAATGAAGTTCGGGTATGGTTATGCAAATTTTTTTTTTTTGTTTGGGGGGTAAAGTGCAAAAATGACCTAAGTTAAGGGGGGCAAAAATGATAAAATTAATACTAAGATAGTGTACCTTAATGACTTCTGCACTGCAATCATTCTCTTGAGTTGCAGACGAATGTAATTCTTCTAATTCTCTGTGGAAATATTATCATGAAATAAGAAAACAAAAAGTTAGAAAACCACATTTGAGACGAGATGACATCGATCGATAAACGAGTCTAAAGTTTCACCTTCGGAGCTTTGCATTTTCTTCAAGACAACTATTTATTTTGGCTTTGCTTTCCTCCAACTCAGAGAGAGTTCTCTTCAACTGCAAAAAACGGATACATATATATTAAAGATCGACGAAAATTCTCAAAGCAATAATGCTCAAAACTTCAGAAATACGACAATCGTACCTCCTCATGGAGCAAATCATTTTCATTATTGGCATTATTAGAAACCTGTGCCAAGATAGAAACATAATTTTAGTGGGAAACTTTCCGATGAATCATTAAAGTAGACGTTCAAAAGAAGTTGCATGACATCCCACCTTTGTATCGAGATGATTAAGATCGTTCGGGTTTCCATCGAGGGAAGAAATAAGCTGCAATCAAAAGAACAAGTTAAGAACCAAAATTAGTAGTGTCGAGACTTTGAAATTTTTGAGAATCACTATACATACCTGATTTCGCAGAGCAGATATTTCAGTCATCAAAATTTCCTTCTCCCCTTCTCCGTACAAGTCTTCGTAGCTATAAGTTCCACCAAGAAAAAATTTCCGAATAAAATCAAGCTTCGGGTTAAAAAAGCACAACGACACAAGACATATTTTGTGTAGGAAGAAAAATACCGTCGAACTTGCTCTAAAAGCTTGATATTTTCGCGGGCAAAGCGTGTCACTTCGGGATTTTTATGAATGCTTTCTCGCAAGAGCTGAATTTCTTCTGAAAGTGTCTTATTTTCGTTCAGTAAATAATCGTCTGCTGACATTAAACCACCAAGAAGTGACTCCATTCTTTGAATTTTGTCTTCTCTAAACTTCAACATCATCTTTGTGCACCTGGTGTCCTCCTCTCTTTGACTAACCTGACAAGCAACGTGGTTCCAAATTTTATCAGCCTTCGTTCGAGGGAGTTAACATGAAATATGTTCTACGTTTATTTTTAATAAAGAGGAGAGAGGTGTACCAGACGGTTCAACTGATGAATTTCAGCTTCAAGATTCTTAACTGAAGCTTCCGCCATCTGTTCTCTCCGTAAGGCGCCAGCAAGGGTGGTTTCCAATGATTTTAACTGTAATAATGAAATAAATACCAACAAATATGAATTGATCCAAGTAAAAGTTATTACTGAATGACTGGAAGGAGCCGGTACAAATTACTGCAAGAAAGAAAAAAAATAAAGCAGTATGATTTACCTGTTTACAAGACACTCTGAGAACTCCATTAGATTCGTTTCCTAGCATACCGGCTTGGTGTTCCTGTGCAAGTAGACTTTCATTACAATCATCCTCATATCTGTTTCTTGTGTCTACATCAATGGCTGACCCAAACGACAGTGATCGAGGCACTTTTTCACGTTTGAGGGTAGACAGCTCCTCCTGTCCCAACAACCAATTCTAAATTAGGTCCAGAGCAATTTTTGCACAGTAAAAAAACATATGAAACTATTTTAACCTTTAACAATTGTATCTCATGTTTCAACGCAATGACATCTCCTGACGAGTCTTCATTAATAACAGCCTGTATCATGAAGAATAGGACCAAACAAGCAGGTAAATATACAATCCAATAATGAAAACAGACTTGGTTTCACCGAGCATACAAAACCACTTACATTGTTCTGGATCAATTTTCCTCGTTGAGCAAACTTTAAAGTATTCAACGTTTCAGCTGCGGAGCTGTAGATGATGAATTTAGGTTTACAGCAAACAAAGCAAAGAGATTTTTTTTTTTTAGCATTTACATATATGCTTCTGCGGGAGTAAAATGAAGAAAAAGGAATTCCAAGACGGTGAAATTATTATTTACCAGATAGATGGGCTGACATTAGCAATTATCATTGTCTTCGAGTTTCCACCCAGAGAGTCCTGTATTTCATTTCATTTTAACTACACCAGAAAATAATTGTAATACTCTTTGTGTTATATAGAAGATAGAAAATAATAATGAACCTGAAGGAGAAATGTTAATCTTGAATCCCTGTACGGAACATGTCTTGGTTTTCCTTGTGCTAAATCCACTAAGACCATAATTACATGACTGCAAAAACAAGGATGTAAGGAAAGCTTGCACTAAACAATGTAGCATTTTAGCAGTAACTGAGAGCAATCTTAGTACCCTAGTGTTGACAATGATTTATTGATACTAGCAGCTTCTTTCAGACGTTCACCCTCAGCACCAGAAGACTTTTGCCTGTGGCGTATAACAGCATTACAAAATGATAAAACTATGCAAGATATGTCGATTCTTACATCAGAAAACATTAAGATATATTATTTTCAATACCTTTCAGAACCAGCAAGGTCAACAAGGTTCAGCCTGGCAAAGCGGAAGTTAGTGGCAGAATCCTTTTCCCACCGACTCTCGATGACACATGTAAAAACACTGTGTGAGCGACTGCTTTCTCTGTTCATATTAGTGGCAGCAACTCTTCTATTTGAAGATCCCTGAAGCAATAAACCCAAAAACTAAAGCACAGTGACATGATTTAAATAGATTGAAGACTGAAGATTATTTGAATCGTAATGGTCACCTGAGTCAAAAGCTGAAGAATGTCTCCCACGGTGTGGACTTCAAATTCTGATAGATTTTCAACGTACACTCCCTTTTTCATATCCTCTCGTAACTTAAGATGGAGACGAAACATGAGAATATATTCTGTTAGTTAGATAATAAAAGGGAGCAAATTGACTTAATTAGAAATCAGAAATACCATCAAATTTGTGGATGAAGGATCAAGGAGATCAGTAATTTGCTCGTTATAAATCTCAAGAAAAGAGCATTTGCAGTTGTACTTTAACTGCTCATCTCTTCGGCTTTCCTCTTCCTAAAATAAAATTGTGGTCATGACAATTGCCTGTGTAGGAGATTAATTTCACAAAATAAAATAGAGAGAGTCGAAAGTTACCGCTCTAATCCTTGCAAACAAGAATTCAAATATGCGAGGGGTCATTCCACGGTGTGGACTAGGCTTGACTTCCAGTTCTTCAATCTCGCCAAGCATTGTATAAGTCTTCCCACTACCCGTCTATATTTTGAAAACTTAGTTTGTAAAACCTCCATATTGAAGACAAATTCAATGCAATATTTCGTGCAGCTCAACCAGAAGATATACATGGGCTTAAAAGATAAAACTGATCTAGGTAGATATAGGATAATAGTGAATTCCTACTTTAAGTAGCTGAAACAAGCAGTATAATTGCAAATCCGTGCCCAATAAATTGCAAACAAGAGATTGTATACATTAGATAGCATGGCTCAGGTCTTAAGTTCAAAGAACCATATACCATAGGAAACCAAAATGCACTTCATTCTAAGGTCATAGAATATCTGATTCTTCAGAAATATGTAACTTATGCATTACCTGCCCATATGCGAACATGCAACTATTGTATCCAGACAAGCAATTCTCCACCATGGGCAGGCCAACCATCCTAAAAAGTGTCTCCTGCAAATGCAAGAGCATTAGTCACACAATATATCACAATTCATTTGCAAATCGAACAATTATACTGACCTGATCTATAGCTTCACATGCTACATGATCAAATACAAATCGGGACTCGGGTTGCCCTATCCAGGTGATGCTCTGTGCACTCTCCTGCTTCAAGCATCTACTGAAACCAAAATTGCTCTTCTCCATGTTATTCAGTGGTCGTATGCGAATCAACACCTAAATCAATGAAAAAAAAATTTGCAAATATAAACAACTTAACAGGGAAATTTATCATACATCCACAATTAAGAAAAGTAGCTTACTTGCACATTGTGTTCCATCCAAAAAGACGAGTCTTCCTTGAGTTCAAAATAAGGAACCTCAACAGTATTGACAATAGTGGATGGATTACAAGAACTCGGAATCCCTTTAGACAATGCGGCATAGTTAGCCATCCGAGCACCCATGTTAAGCACAGGCCTCGAGCCACTAGGTAACGAGAACCCCGGATTTGGAGGCCTGCTCACACTTTTAGTTGGTGTGCTTTGTGTTGAGTTACACTCGGAATAACTCACATGAGCCTTGCCCGCTCCCCTAGTGGAACCTGGAGTATTCATATTCGACACTACTCTACCCTCATCCTTCGGCTCGATTAAACTATTAGTGAATGGATTATCACTCTTCTGGGCCCAATTGAACCGATTTCTCGAAATCACCCCTTGTTTTTCTGGGGTGCGAAGGGGCATTGAAGTATCCGAGTGTTTAGCCTTTGGCTTAGTGGGAGTTCTATCAGGTCTATTGGGCTTGTAGCTACTTAATTCCTGATCGGAGACGACTTTCGGGATTCGTGAGGGCTCCTGAATTACATTCAAAGGGGGTCTTGAGGGGTCTGTGCTCATATGATGAGGGTTTGAAGAATCCCTAGGGTTAAGAGGCACATTCTCAACTTCCTCTGCGTCAGTGTTCTTGCCCGAATTTCGGCGCATGAATTTAAAGTCCCTCAACATTCTGCCACACCAACAAAGGAAACAAAAAAAAGTTACCGCTTTATTCAAACAACATACGACAGTTTCTTGTTGAAATTGGGGAAAGGGGAAAGAGAACGACAGTTTTTAAATATCAATAGAAAGTAAAGATTTCAAATTCTGCAGTATCCCCCGGAAAAGGAAAGAGCAGAGATTATTTCAAATAGCCAGAAATTTTTTTTTGATTTTACGAAGAAAATAAGGAAACATTGAGTAATGAATGCCAACCTGACAGCTGAAACGGTGAAAAGAACTCCGACACCACGAAAACCTGAAATTGTTCTGTGCTGATTTCTTAACCTAAATCATTTATTCTAATTTCTTCTTCCACCGATTAAAACACTCTTGAAGATGTTCTCTCTCTCTCTCTCTATCTCTCTCTCGCTCTATCTCTCTGGTAGTGAGTGAGTATCAGCGAGATTTGTGAATTGAAGAAGATGGGTAAAGATGGATGGACGAGATGAAGATCTACGATTTGAAATTGGGGAAATCGCGGTAGGGATTTTTGAATTTAGTAGGGGTATTTTTGGGAATAAGGGGGAAAAGTGTAATATAATATTAATTTTAATAAACGGCTATAAGAATTTGAATTTTCGTTGAGCTGTGGACCTCCTGCTGTACTGCTGGCCCCACAGTTAGACACTCATCCACCTTTATTCGCTAGCTATTACAAAATAAAAGAATAAAAAAAATATTTTTTAATTCGTAAATGGAAAATTAATTTGAATGAAACTTTGGCAAAAAAATTGAAATCAGAATTTCGAAAAATAGGATGATAAAAATTGGATTTTTTTTATCGGAATCGGAATGATTCAGAATTTTTCATTTTTTTAGTAACCAATAACATAAATATATAACAACATTGATATTATAAGTATAATTTTAGCAAATAAATTGAAAATTTCAGAAGTACGTCCGAAAATTGAAATTTGACCATAAAATGAGAAACTATTATGTATTTTCCAATTTCGTTCCAAAAACTTGAAATTTTCAAAAAAAAAAAACAAATCTTTCGGAATTTGAAAAGAAAACCATTCATTCAAAATCAAAAAATTTCAAATTGTATTTGACGAGATTCAACGGATCAAAAAAATCTCACCCGCGTACACGAGTAAAGTAATAGGCATGGTGATTGGCTGCTTGAGAGAGTAAAGAATTCGGCAAATAGTATTTGTACGCAAATGTCTAGAGTTCAAATATTGCTCATTTCCTACTTATATATCAAAATTATTTTTGTAAAGTAAATATTAACTTTAGGGAGATAATTATAATTTTCATATAATCTTCTTTTTTTTTTTTTTTTATAATAAGATCAAATTGTAGGGGTGGTAGTGTAACATAATTAATTGAACTTTTTTTCTCTATTTCCAATATAAAATGCCCTGTTTATAATTGTGTAAGTGTAACCAATGATTTTGGAGGACGGCCATAAATAAATTATTTTAAAGCATATAAACAATAATTTATGTTCTCCTGCAATGATTAAATCATAATCATAATAAATGAATTTATTATAATGAGCAATTTTAATATTTAAATAAATAAATTAATAAATAAAATCTTGCTTTCTTCTTCGTTGAGAATAGACACCAAACAGTGTTGATTTTCTGTACGACTGAAAATTGTAATTAATTAAATTAGAATATGCTTTTTATCCCTTCAAACCCATCGAAACACTTCAACTTAGATTATTTTTTATAAAATCAAATATATTATTATTAATATTAATTTATTATTATATTCCAACTGGATCAAGAAAATGGATAAGGGTTCTTCTTGATGACCTTAATCATTAGCAACAACAAACAATATATTAAATGACAATTAATTGTCACATTCAAATTCTGAAATAACATAGTCAATATATCTTGAAATATATATACATACAAAATCCAGTTGTCTCAGTGAAAAAAATCTCAATGATTTGCAGTTGATCAGATATTTATTTTTGTGTCTGCTTACTTGGAATAAAAATAAATAAATAAATGAATAAATAAAAAGGCCTTTTAATTTTGTATCTGTTTGTCTCTTGGGAGTTCAAAAAGGCATTTCAAATTATTTTCATAAGTTATCCATTCATTCATGTGACTGGAAACTATATATACTCATAAATGAATCACTTTTTATGGAGGGAAAGAAGAAATTAAGTGGGAATTTATATATTTTTATATATCAATTTATATTACAAAGAAAAAGAAAAAGAAAAAGAAAAAATGATGATTATTCAGAGGTTGGAAATGTGTTTAGGGTTACTGAAGTTGGCTATGGAGTTTGCTATGGTGTTTTTTGATGCTGTTGGCTGTGTTGTTAATCAGAGCCATTCTCTCCTTTCTGCTAACCCTAGTTACGCTGTTAACGTTCCGTATATCGGTCTTTTTCCTTAATTTTTTTCATGTACACAGTTCGGAATTTGTGCTATTTTTTCGTGTTTTTCATTTCAAGAATCAATATATATACACACACACACACACACACACATATTGTATATATTCATATTACAAAGTTTTGTTAGTGAGGGGTTTTGCTGTAATTTCTTTTGAAGAACTATTGTGGTCCTTGATGAGATATTTATATACGTTCATGTGTTGGCTGTCAATGAGTCACTTATTTAATAATTAGTTGATTGGAGTAATATTTTGTTTTTGTGTGGGGTACAATTTATAGAAGTGAAGTGTTTGCGAGTGTCGTTTAAAGTTTCGACATTCGTATTTGTCGCTTTGGACTAGTGCACGTGTACTGAAAAAATTAATAAATATGTGTGAATTCTAGAAGAAGAAAAAAAATGTGTTAAGTAACTGAAATATCCTTCTGATTAATTGTTTTACCATTGATTATATTTTTCAACTAATTAAGAATATTAAAGGCAAATTTGAGAAAATACGAAAAAATATAGATATCATTCGAATTTTAAAATCACAAGTAATTTGAAACAAAAAAATCTCTGCAAAACAAGAGAAATTTTGTGTATGGAGGGAATAATATCAATTGAATTATTAACTTCGAATATATATATATAATGACTAAAATACCGTTTGGAAGGGTAATTTAGTCATATTACATATACTTTCTTAAATTTACAAATGTAATTTAGTCATTAGTTTATATTTTGGATGATTTTTGAAGTGGTTAAATGTTAGTTGCAATGGAGTTAAGTCTTAACCGAAGATTCGATCTCAAAACATGCATTATACATCGACCGTAAAGAGTAGTTACCGATGATCGCGATCTTTAATATAATATAATCTTCTCGATAATACATCCCTTATCTTACAAGTTCGTAACACAAAGTTCATATATCGAATAATTCGAGAGCAATTATTTATTCACAAAAATACATGCACACTCGAAAACATCATAGTATATATATCAGTTCTTGAAATGATAAATTTGAATATTTTCGACATCAAGTTTCTTGTAGTTACTCCGTTTCCGAGCCGTGAAAAACTTCCCCCAATTATAAGCATTGTACTTGGCAGGATTACGCTCGTTCACAAGCTCCTCCAATGGCTCCACCGTAATATCGTGCCCTGGATTGAAGAAAAACGGAATCGAAAACCTCTCGTTTTCCGAATTCACCTTCACTCTATGCTCCACACTCTCATACTCATCATTGCTCCAAACCTGCAGCAACACAAAAATAAAATCAGACATATTTTTTCTTAAATAAAATAAATATTAATTGATTTATTACCTGGATAATGTCACCGACGTTGATAATGTATGCATCGGGTGTGGGTTTAACAAGAACCCATTCCCCGTCGGTTTTCCTCTTCACCTGGAGCCCGCCGACGTTATCTTGACCAAGAATGGTCAACGCCCCTGCATCTTTGTGTCGGCCCACGCCGAGAGCTAGATCGGGAATCGGGCACGGCGGATAGTAATTCAGCCGAATGAACGTCGTTTGCTTCTCGAAAAACCCGGCGAATCGATCTTTTTCCAACCCCAAACTCATGGCTATGAGCTGTAGTAACTTGTACGCCAGCTTCTCCACTTCTTCAGCGTACTCCTTGCACACATCCCTGTTAGAATTTGAACAAAATAAATAAAAAAAAGGAATATTTCCAGGGCATAAAGGAATCTTTCCAGGGCATAAGAGAATCTTTTCCAGGGGATAATGGAATCTTTCCGGGGCATAATGGAATCTTTCCAGGGGGAGTGAAAAACGAATTACCTGAATTCAGGAGGGTTTTCGGGCCATTGATTGATCATTTCATTAAGACGATCGTCGTCGGGTTCGTGTGAAGCAGGGATGAATGTCGGCTCGTTGACGGTGAAATCGAAGACTTCTTTCCAGTCTCTGACGTTCTTGGTGTGCTCGGTGTCGTAATATCCGGTGGGGTTTGCTTCGTCTCTGGAGACTCTCTTCTTCACGTGTTTGGGGAGGGAGAAGAATTTCCTGGAAACGGATTCGATTTTCCGGCGCGTGTGCGACGGGACGCCGTGGTTGATGACCTGGAAGAATCCCCAGTTTTTGCAGGCGGCGCCGATTTCGACGGCGAGGGCTGACAGCAGGGGGGAATTGGGATCGTCGTCGGATTGATCAGGGGAGATGATCAACGGTGAGAGATCGATTAACGGGATTCCTTCGGCTGTTATGGTTTGGGGTTTGGGTCGGTGTTCCAGGGCTTGGATGAAGGCTGGATCGACTTCTCCCATGGCGGAAGCTGTGAAAATTGTTTGGCAAGAACACAGTAATAATTATTAGCTGATTTTTTTTCACATTTTTTTTGTAAGTGTGGCAAGATGATGAAAATTTGTCGTTTAGTACGATGTAATAATTTTATTTTTTTGTAATGTATGTACATTGAACCTGGACATGTTTTGAGTATGCATGTGATCACCGTCTGGTTGTCGTACTGGTGTCTGGTTACTTCTATACTACACGTGTAGATGATGAAGATTACATCGGGTGAAGATTACATTGGGTGAATTTTTACCCTTGATCTACACATACACTAATGTGGGTGTGGGTGTGTCTTTGTGTGCTTATGAATAATACAGATCTATCTGATGTATTTCACCCGGTGTAGCATAGTATAAACCCTTGTGTGGAGATGCAAATTTGGTTTGTAGTAAATTTGAAACGGGTAGTAACCCTATTGAAATCCAACTTTTGTTAATCTTTTGGTAGGAAAAATCCGATGAAACCGAATGGGATTGGAATCAGCACTTTGGAAAAATGAAAAAGAAAAATTGGAAATTGGAATGAAAAGACCTGTTTCAAAAATCGAAAAAAAATCGGGTTGGAAAATTATAAGTGTTACTTTCAGAAGAAAATGATCGGAACTTTCTGGATTATCTTCGAAAATTTGAATTATTCCAATTCCAATCCAGAATACTAAAAAAAAAAACGAAATCGAAATTTTTGGAATCTATGAATTTATTTTTCCAAAATCGAAAAACTTCGGGTCAAATTATTGGGAAGTTTTTGGGCTTTCTATGGTTTCGGATTTGGGCCCAACTTTGACCATAAGCCCAATTTGGATTCCATATTTGCAGAAGAAACTGGGAACAATTTTATGAGGGGTTTTTCATTTTGTCAGTTCATAAACCCCAATTCTACGTTTTCGCTCAACAAATTTTCAGCCCTGAAGAGATTCGAAAGGTACGTGATTTTCATTTTGTCGACAACGTCGGCGAATCATTTATTTGTTTTTTCTTAGTTTCCAGGAATTCAGTTTCTTCTGTTACTTGTCGAAATTAAGGGCAGCGCATTTGAGTTCTTCACACATGGAATTGGATATTTCTTCCAATTAAGTTTCCTGTTGTTTTAATTCGAATTAATTTCTTCAGTTTAGTGTGAATACTTGAGCTGAACAAAAAAATGGATATAGAAAAATGTATAGTATAATTCGATTGAATAAATTAATAAATGGAGTATAGAAAAATGTATAGTATATATCTGGTCAATGTTGTTGATAGTATATTTTTTTATACTTATATTACAGATGGCTAGATGGGATGAGATTCTATCCCTGCCTGTGCAGAGCCCTCCAACTTTGGAGTTCGCTTCGAGTGATCTTGTGTGGTCCAAGATCGAAGGTTGGCGTGATAATATAGATAGACTTGCTCTGATTCCATTTGCCAGGGTCGATGATTTCGTTAGGGGGGAATCGAACAATAAAGAGTGTCCAACAAGATTCCATGTCGAGGCAAGGAGGAGGCGAACTGCAAAGACGTCTTACAAACCTAAAGTCGATGGAATTCTTGAATATATCTTGTACGTTTTTCTGCCAGACTCGTTATCATTATTTATTTATTCCTGCTATTGTTGTAGTTGTATTCTGAAGTTGATTTTTTAATTTTTTTTTTCAATAGGTACTGGTGCTCGTTCGGCCCGGATGATCATAGAAAAGGTGGTATTGTACGTCCTAGTAGGTCTACTTATGTGCCAAAAAATAAACCCTCTGGTCGACCAAATACGAAGAGGGGTTGCACTTGTCACTTTATTGTTAAGCGTTTAATTGCGGAACCATCAGTGGCGCTCGTTATATATAATCAAGATAAGCATGTGGATAAAAAGGGTTCTCCATGCCACGGCCCACAGGACAAGAAGGCTGTGGGAACTCGAGCTATGTATGCTCCGTATATCTCAGAAGAACTCCGCCTACGTGTATTGTCTCTCCTTCATGTTGGGGTCTCTGTAGAAACTATCATGCAGAGACACAACGAATCTGTGGAGAAACAAGGTGGTCCGTGTAATAGGGACGACCTTTTGACCCACAGATATGTTCGTAGACAAGAGCGGAGTATTCGGAGATCTACTTATGAGCTTGATGAAGATGATGTAGTCAGCATTAGCTTGTGGGTTGAGAGCCATCAAAATAATGTTTTCTTTTACGAAGATGTATCCGATTCCGACCCTTTAGTCCTGGGAATTCAGACAGAATGGCAGTTGCAGCAAATGATTCAATTCGGCAATTGTCGACTAGTTGCGTATCATTCCGAATTTGGTTCTAATAAGTTGAAGGTCTGTCCCGTTTTAGCCTTCCGTTGAGTTCCCTAAGTATATTTAAATTCCTTACAGCTCACGTAATTTTCCTGTTTAAATATACCAGTATCCTGTTCAGACCCTTGTTGTGTTCAACTCGGAAAATAAAGCTATCCCAGTAGCTTGGATAATCACTCCTAGATTTGCAAGCAGAGGTATTCACAGATGGATGCGGGCCCTGTACAATAGAGTTCGTGCAAAAGATCCTACGTGGAAGTTAGCTGGATTTGTAGTGGATGAGCCTTCAGCAGATATTCTAGCAATCAGGTACATTTTGAAGAATCTATCTCTTTCTCTCTCTCTCTCTCTCATCATTTAGTTGGAAATCTCGAATCATCGTTCCACGGTTGTTATGTTTTTAAAATTAGTTTCTGATCTAAAAAACCTGTATTTATTGTCTGATTAGTTTATTACGGGATCGACTTGCCTGATCAGTTTGTGGACAATTTATCGGGGTTGTGTAATTCTGTTAAGAACCGACTTCAATAACTGCTTCTCGTGTTCCTGTCCAATTTGTTTTATTCTTATTCGTGAGTATCAGGTGCTTGATCTTGTAGTATTTGTTTGTAGGGAAGTCTTTCACTGCTCAATACTGATATGCTTTTGGCGTGTTCGTCATGCATGGCATAAGAATTTGATGAAGAGATGCTCAGAGATGGAAACACGTGCCGAAATTGCAAAAAAGCTTGGCCAGGCGGTTAATAAAGTCTGCAAGGGACCAGGCTCCGCTAGTGCATTAGAAGATTTTACGGAAGATGCTGCAGAATTTATGGACTACTTCAAGGCAATTTGGTATCCAAAACTAGGTACTTTTTTTTAACCTTTTCGTGTCATCAAATCAAGAATATGTTACATGATTTGGTTATCTGAATTATCCGAATGTAAGTATGAATTTTCTAAATTTGTCCTAAATGAATTATTCTAACTAGGTACGTGGGCACGTGCACTCGAAACTCTTCCTCTTGCCAGCCAAGAGACCTGTGCAGCAATGGAGTTTTACCACAAACAGTTGAAGCTCAGGTTATTGAATGAAAAAGACCAAAGTGTGTACGAACGTGCTGATTGGCTCGTAAATAAGCTAGGCAACAAAGTGCATTCATATTTTTGGCTCGACGAATACTCGGGGAAAGCGGATTTTGCACGATACTCGAAGGGCGAATGGTTGAGTGGCCCAACAGCTTGGAGGAAATCGTTAAGGATCCCAGATTCTCATGTAAATATCGAGGGTCAATGTGCGAAAGTTATTGGGCTTAAGGATCAGGATAAAGCACATTTGGTATTGAACCCTGGTTCAGAATATGCAATATGCGACTGCGGTTGGTCGAAAATGGGGAACTTGTGCGAGCATGTTTTCAAAGCTATCAAATTTTGTCGTGATAAGGGTTCTGTTACACCGTCTATGAGTATGTTCCAGTACAGTAAGGCCTTGATTAAGATACTGAACTGCTCTCCCTTTGATTCTTTAGTTCGTGACCATGCTGCTTCGTTAGCCGTTTGGGTACAGATGCAGCTGAACGGTCAGATCGGTCCAGAAAAAGATCAAGAAACTGTGAACCTCAGTCCTGATAATGCTACGTCATCACAAGTTGAAAATCAGACGACCGATGAAAATCTCTGCCGTAATGCAGCCCAGGTTGTAATACCCGATGCTGACATGGAAGTTGATTCATCCATGGATGATACCTTGGATACAGCGAAGAATCTTCGTTCTAGTGACGATGAATCAAAAAATTCAGATGCCGTTGAACAAAATGCATAGCTTTCTATAAATGGCACAAACAATTCAATTTGCAGTGCAATTGGGAAGTGAAAAGGTTCTTGAAAGACGGGCTACTGGACCGAGTTGTATGCCAAGGAATGCAAGAATCAGTTATTATTGCAACATGAATTCCGGTGAACTCTGATCCTGGGATGTTGCCAGTTGTTGTCTTCAACTGATGTATGTATTAAAATGCTGCTGGCACCAAAATATTGCAGATGATTGTGATCATGGCAACATTGGAGAGCAATACCGATGAAGATTGCTGGATTTTGGCCAATCTCCCAACAATTGGGTGAAGTTGACCATGGTGTTAAGAGCCCGTGTGTGCCATTTATATGCAATTTTTCATTTGCTGAGATTGCATTCCGTAAGTTCTCACTCCTTTCTAAAACTCGGCGTGTTGCTCGAAAAGTCAAGCTGCCGAAAGTAGAAGATAATTTTTTTTTTCCTATCGTTTCATCGACATGCTTGGTTTGGTATCCAATGTTTATATATGTATATATAAATCGTTAGAATTTTTGGACTTATATAGTTTTCCATGCTCAATATTGTACCAAAATTGCTCTTAATCTGTTTATTGATATACATTTTTCGATGCAAAAAAACCTTTTCGGTTTAGACAGTTGATGCTATCGCTTTTCTGTTGTTATTTTCGCGTTTCTTGAAAAATTTATAATTTCATAAATAATCTTCTTTTCGTAACTCAATGGTTTGACTTGCTTACTACCATGATACTACACAATCGAGATATTTAACACAATCACATTCAGATAAGTCATAAAATTAAATACAGCAGTTTCCGCAGCTATCTCGGTTGATTAAAGCAAATTACACATGGGAACGAAAACAGGAGAATGTAACGAGTATGACAATTATCCAACAAAGATTACAGAATTATTTTCATCCCTTAAATAAAACAGCAGGAATGCAAATATGAAATGGGATTAATATTTAAGCGACTATTTACAAAATAAAAAATAATAATAATAAAAAAAGATTATTATTCTGCGTGTAGTAGCAGATGGAGCATGTTTCGACTTTCAAGCAGTAGGCATTGAGGTAGAGAGAACCAAGTAAGTCAAATACTGTAGCCCATCCTGCATTTTACCGACAGCTGTGCTATGATCGGCACGAAGATGTTCGTTAAATGACTTAGCCTTCTCTTGAACTGATTTTGTAGGAACAAGTTCGTTTGACTCAGCAGCACTTGTAATGGCCGCTAAATATGCTTCTGCTACATCTGATATACCTGAGTGCATAAGTAAGACAATGATAAATTAGAAAGACGATAGAATATTTCTGCAGTGGTGAACAGCATACGATCGAGAGTTAAAAGTTGCAGTTGTTCGTTAAAACCCGAAAATCATCCATGAATAGTTAGTTACTACTACACTATTTGCAAGCAAAACACTTATAAGGGTGGCACATGTACATGGATTAATAAGGAACAAAACTGTTCGAAGTTTGCACCTGAAGCGGAAGTAAAATAACAGCTAAGGTAAAGAAATAAACAATTTACCAGTAATAAAGCTGTTGAAAACTGTTTCGATACTTCCAGTCATTGATTGTGCCTTTGTTCTGATTATCTTAGCTTTTTCGACAGGATCCTCCGGCCAATCAATCTTCATATTTTCCTCTTCAATCTCTTGATCTCGAATTTTGCTTGCATTGGATATAATGGACTTTCCAAGCATCAGAAACTGAGTTACCGCAAAACAGCACATTTCAGAAAGCCGCTGCATAAAACCGGAAAAGGGGATCAGTTACATATTCACCGCCAGACTATCAACTCGTTAATTATTCAATGGCGATATTTCTGTGGGTAACTGAAAAATAAAAACAGTCATCTGCTTACATGAACACCCTCAGAATGAAGAGTATCAAGCCTCCCAGAAGTTCTCTGAGTTATGTCATTTGGAGGCAGTCCAGCCAAAGCAGTTGCAAAGCTGCAAAAGATTAGAGCCTGTTATAGCGTCATATAAAATTCCGATAAAAAAAACTAAGGAAAAGGAGTGACCATCTTGATATGATTGCACATTTTGGCCAGACATAACGTGAAGACAGAGACGGGAGATAGTCACTTAAATGCACATGCAATAATCACAATTATATGGAAGATTAAAAATGATAAATTCCAAATACTACCCTCAGTCATGTCAAAGTTTATCTCTATAATGTTACACCTAGAAACTAAAAGAAACAGCGAAAAATGAAGGAATATTTACCCAGCAGCCAATTCAGCAGCCTTACGAATGCTGGAATCATGTAATTTTTTCCACTCATCTATGCTGTCATCATTACCAGCCTCTATTTGCTTCCCTTTCTCCGAGTCGGTATAATTTCCATCAAGTTCCCCAGCCAAGTCAAAAATGTGTTGGACGTCTTTAAGCTTTCCATCACAAATTGTTTTTTCTTCAGAAGAGAGTTTAGCCTTTCTTCGGTTATATAATAGTACATAATGATTGGCTAATGCCTCCAACTCCTACATGGAAAGATAGCATTAACATTTAAAACAATCAACTAGGAACTAAATGCATATATAAATAAACATTTTGAAGTTAGTGAATACCTCCAACTGTTCTGGACCTCCATAGATATAAAAGCATCTGTCAAATGTAATTTCTTCAAATAATTGATCTTCATCAATTATTACACCAGAGTTTTTATCAACTTGCATCCCAGTTTCTGAGATCAAAAGATCCATTGTTTCTTTTCCAACTTGCTCAAGCACTTGCATACCCTTTGCTGTAAGAGCTTTTCCAGTCTGCATAACACAATTAAGAGTAAGATATTTGGACAGAATTCTGGAAGTAAAAAAGAATAGAGACGCTTATGTAACCTCTAAGAAAGATGGTGCAGCAGAACCAGTTGGCCCAGGTAGACCACCTTGTTGAATTGAATCAGCTAAATTCGAAGCTGAATTCTCAATCCTAGGAGAAAAGAAAATGATACAGGATCAGCAATTTGTAGTACCTCTACTGAGCTACTGCACTAACTAAAACTTGTCTTCTAACGCGAAATTCAAACTTGTTGATTAAATATATTTTCAGCTTGTGTAATTTCAAATATATTTTCCAAAAAAAATCTGTATAAAAAATATGCACATTTAAACTGATATATCGAAAATGATTTAGCTCAAGTTTTTTAATTAGAAGTTCCAAAAAAAAAACTCCAATTAAATCCCTCTAGATGCAATATGAGCATGATGGCTATACTAGTTGGCCTTTAGCCTCAGACAGTGTCAAGTTTCTGGTGAATGTTAACTATATTAAAATTGCACAACTATCCTGACATACTTGTGAGCTAAAGTAGCTCCCCCTTTCCATGCAGATCCAAGAGCTTGCCAAGCGCCTGAAGCAAAGGATTCCACTGACGTATCAAGAACCTTCAAACCCTGCAAGCATGATGGCTCACATGAGGTATATTATATGGAAATCAAATAATCCTCTCTGCAAATAGTTACGGACAGTATTCCACAAAGTACATAAAATTAGAGTCTTGAACGGCTGGTTGTGGGCGTTGGGATAAAGAGAGAACCGAATGAAGTTCAATAACATCTCATGGATATAATCAAGATATACCTGGCTAAGGAGAGATTCTTCGCTGGCCTTCTCTAGTTTATCCAGAGCTGCTTTGCGCCGCTCGTCATTCTCATCATCAGTTTCCTCTTCGCTTGCAGATACTTCTTTACTTCCCTCTTCAGGAGAATCCGGGTCTTCAGCGATAGTCTCTGAAATGCTCTTTGCTGCTGTCCTAGCAGCCTCAACAGCCTGAATTCACAAAAGCATGCAACTCAAACAAAAAGCAAAGGGAACTCATACAAACTGATCATAGTATCAAACATTTGAGAACTCTGTATGCATTAGGTCTCCGAACCTTTACAGAAATAACTAGAACATGAAAGAAAAAGTATTTCCATACTATTTTCAAGATAATAATGCTCTTTTTGAATGTCCTACAATCCAAACAGCATTCTAAGAGCACATTTCAATGTATATTTACTTTTGCATACACATATGGTATTACCAAATAACATGGCAAAACCCAAAGAACGATAATAGAGTTGATAAAATACATGGGATTCAAAATCGATTGGCCGGAAATCCATTTTATCACAATGTAACGTAGGACAGGAAACAGTTGCTCTAACCAGCAAACCAATCTATGATTAATGTTGTGGCAGATATTATCTAAAGCAAATGGAACAATAGTTTGTCAGTTAAATTTCATGCCAGGCATAATTGGACTTTCCTGAATGCAGATAAAAAGAAAAAAAACTAACCAAAAGAGAAACCTCATATTCAGATGCCATATCAAAGTAATATAATCCATCATACAACACATGACTACACTCAATTACACTCACATAACTGGTTCTCCCTCATACAAATGGTAATGTCCTAATTTGCATGGCTCATGAGCTCGTCAAATATCCGTAAATTTTCCCACATTCATTACAAATATTTTACCAGATTCACAAATACATCAAAGAGCCAGTCAAACACACCATAAGCTCCACGAGTGTAATGTGGAAAACGACTACTTCATAAACTCAATACGTCAAGCGACGAAAGATAAAGTGCTGTCCAAAGTTATATCCACAAGACACTGATAGTCAATACAATGTACCTTTTTTACTTCTATCTTTGACGATCTAGTGAGTTGATATTAAACTTTTCTACCAGATAATACATAGAATTTGTAAGCCATATCAACCCAATTAAACCACAATACAGTGACTAAGTAATATTTCTAACACGTAATAGCCCAGAGCTTTTACATCCAGATATCTTCTCACCGCAAATACATTTCCATCGCGAATAAGAAAGAAAAAAACAATTACGAGTCAAGCAACGACGAACTCCGCTTTCGGTAAAACCAAAAGCCGGTGTCAATAAATCATATTCAAAATATCACAACAAATGTGAGTAAATCAACTGAAGTTCGTCTTTCGGTAAATCCAAAATCCGTCGCCGATAGATATCATATTCAAAATCTCAACGTAATTACTCGAAAATAAACATACTAAACAGAAAATAGGTTTCCAAGGGTGAAAAAAAGATGCATACATTACGAGAGATCTCTTCAGCCGCCACGCTAGCAGCTCTCTGAAGATCTGTCAGATAAGAAAGAGGAGAAAACCCCCATCCGCCCCATCCACCGCCACCGCTTCCGGTTTCTACCACCGGAGAGGGTTTTGCTGCCTCGACGGCGGCGCTTTCCTCCACCTCCAGCAAAATTTCTGACTCAGATCGCTCCTTCGAATCGTCAGCCATCATCGAGCTCAATCACCAAATGTTTCCTGATTTGCTAAATAATTAATTGAAATTTAGGTCGATTTTGTTTTCTTTTATTTGAAAAATGAAAAAATGCCCTCCCCTTCCGCATCTGATCTACTTCAAACTCTACAAGACTACAACGTGTAATTGAAGGCAACGAAATGGACAAACGGCGTCGTTTCTACTCCTACTTCCATACTGTGTCGTTTTGAATATTGAGTATCGGCTCTTTCTAATATTTCAAAAATTCGAACTAATATTTACCGGCTAAAAAGCTTGAAATTAATAATTGTTGATTTATTTATTTTGGTCATATATTTATATTAATATTTTTTTATTTTTCGTGTAATAGTTTGTAATTTAATTCTTGAAATTTTGTTTCTATTGTATATAATTATTTATTTAATTTTATAAAGATTAGCTGGTTTTAGATGAGTAATATGGTTTTGCTATGTCCAAATTAAGTTAATATCATGAAATCCGAGACATAAAAAGATAAGAATTAACAGTAATATAGTGAAGGGGGAAATTGAGTAATAATTATAAATAATTTATTATGAAGTGTAGCAGTTTGGTTTGATGGAAAGAATAAATTGTAAAATAAGAGTGGATTAAGCTAAAAAGATTAAACCTAATAAAAATGGCAAGAACAAAACTTAGAAAATGAGTTTGTACATTGATTTATGGACTACTACTTGTGCAAAAGAATATAAAGAAGATGAAAACATGAAGCTCTTTAATAGCCCTGGATAGCTGGCGGAGGTGGTGACTGGTATTGTGCGCCCAAGTTATCCGGGAGTTGGATTGGTGCGAAAGCTGCAGAAGGCGGCGATAGCTGCGGTGGTGGTGGTGAGAAGACTGGTGGTGGTGGTGGTGGGGACTGTGTCGGAGGTGGTGGTGAGAAGACGGGTGGTGGTGGTGGGGAATGTGTTGGGGGTGGTGGGGAGAAGACGGGTGGTGGTGGTGGGGAGTGTGTTGGGGGTGGTGGTGAGAAGACGGGTGGTGGTGGTGGAGAGTGTACTGGAGGTGGTGGGGAGAAGACTGGTGGTGGTG